TTTAATGTTTCTGCATTCAAAAGTTTTTTAACGAGTGTACTAATTATAAGATTTCCGAAGTGATTTGTGATGTCATGATTTAATATCATTTTATCTGAAAACATTTCAAAAATCACCAAGTCATTGATCGAATTGCTGATAATTTTAGCCTTTACTTTTATAGCTTTATTTTAAAAATGATTTGTACTTTATATCAACAATTCATCGAATAGCTTTTTGTGTGTGTCTGGTACTACTGAATCATTGCTTGCAATTATAATTTTTTTCTCCATTTTTTTTCTTTTCAGAAATGTCCTTATGAGGCAATAAAAATTATAAATTTGCCGAGTAATTTAGCCAAAGATACAACTCATCGATTCAGTAAAAATTCCTTCAAACTGCATCGTTTACCAACGCCACGTACTGGAGAAGTTTCTTTTTAATATATTTTTAGCAATTTTTTGTGAACTATTTCAAAACTGTGGTACTGACTGATTAATAGTAGTCTTAGCATTAGTCATATTTAAATGGTATTTGAATAACTTTTGAAAATATGGAAGCATTCAAATATTCAACAAACGTGACACATGATTATAAATCTTTGCCATTAAGACATTCATAGTAGTGTTCTGTCGTTTTTGCTTGAAGATATTTTATTGATATCATCAAGGCTGTAAACGTAATTCTTTAGGTACTAGGTCTTGTTGGCACAAACGGAATTGGAAAATCGACAGCATTAAAAATTTTGGCTGGAAAATTAAAACCTAATCTTGGAAAATTTGAGGTAAGTGATAGGAATATAATTTACTGACTCATTTATTTCGAAATTCCTTGTTTTTCAGAAACACAGTGGTTGTCGAAATTTATTTTACCTTATATCTGCATGAATTTTCAATTTTGGTTATGGATTTTCAAGAAATAATTTACGGTTATCTCAGCTTAAACAAATTATTATAAGTTGTTGCAGTCTCCACCTGATTGGCCATCAATCTTATCCTACTTCCGTGGTTCAGAATTGCAAAATTATTTCACAAAAATATTAGAAGACAATTTGAAAGCCGTTGCAAAGCCACAATATGTTGATCAAATTCCAAAGTATGCAGTTTTTTTTTTTTTTTTTTTTGTTATTTTCTCTTCTAACGATGATGACATTGTTGCTTAGACGCAGATCATTCAAACGCAGATCAAACGCAGACCATCTTGTTACTCGCTGATTTTTTACAAATATTTCCCTCTTCTTTATATCTCACTCTAAGTGCGAAATATGAAATAATAGTTCGTATCTCAAACTGTATCATTATTTTAGGTAGATGTAAATAAGTGTATTGTTCACGATTGGAAAGATTTAAGCGATTTTTCAAATAATTTATAGGAAGAAATTTAGAAGGAAATTACTTCTCATTTATTTTATTTTATTGAGGATACTTTAAATTTGCAGGGCAGCGAAAGGACAGGTACAAGAATTATTGATAAAAAAGTGCGATCGAGAAAATTTGTTGCAAATTTACGAAGAGTTAGGTATAACCTTTTCCTTAAAGAAACTTTATTTTTTTTTGAAAAAAAAAACCTTCTAAAGTTTATTTATTAACTTATTGAGAATTTTGATTCTTTGTCCCTGTTTTGTTTTTTGTTTTTTTCAACAATTAAAGTCGTTTTTCAGAGCTTACTGGTGTCAAAGACCGAATGCTTGATCAGTTATCCGGCGGAGAATTGCAGCGTTTTGCAATAGCGATGTGCGTTGTGCAGCGTGCTGATGTTTACATGTTCGATGAGCCATCCAGTTATTTAGATGTGAAACAGCGCTTAAAAGCAGCTAAAATTATTCGAGATTTAGTAACACCACATAAGTGAGTTTTCTCTTTAGCATGTATAAAAACATAATTTCTAATTTTTCATGTGATCTAATTAAAATGAGCATTTTGTTATTTAGTCGTTACACTATTTTAAATATTCTTTTATCTTGTATTTCTTTTTTAACCTTGTATTTTATAAATGCTAAGTAGGTCTTTAAAACTTCTTAAGATTAAATTATCTTTTTTTTTTTCAGTTATGTCATTGTCGTAGAACATGATTTAGCTGTACTGGATTATCTCTCTGATTATGTATGCTGTCTCTATGGTATGCCAGGTGTTTATGGTGTTGTAACACTGCCATCTGGTGTTAGGGAAGGTATTAATATATTTTTGGATGGCTTCATTCCAACTGAAAACATGCGTTTCAGGTATAATGTTTAATTTGCAAATTAAGAAGAAAATTTAGAATGCACATGTCTTTTTTTTTCCTTTTTTCCAATTTGAACATTGCAGAGATTCGGAGTTATCCTTCAAAGTTACTGATCAAGCGGAGAAAGAAGTGGTCAAACGAACAGCTCGTTATACATATCCATCATTCACTAAGCATATAGGAAATTTTGAATTAAAAGTTGAAGGTGGTGAATTTACTGATTCTGAAATCATTGTTATGCTTGGAGAAAATGGAACTGGAAAGACAACAATGATTAGGTTTGTTTTATTTGGTGAATTAATGAAACGAATGTTGACTTTTCTGAATGGAAAAGATTTAATCATTGACTAATTGCAATTTTATAAGCTTTTGCTATCGTCACAAACGTATTTTTGTAGTAGGTGACAGTCATTTTCACAGAAATGTTCAGATGTTTTTTCTTCAGATATACTGAAAAACTTTTTGTAAGCATTCGGGAAAAGTTAATATAAATTTTTTATCTAGTTTGATAAGTCATTTTTGATTGAAATACATTCATTAGAAATTTTATTCTTGGATTTCAGGATTTTGGATTTAAAATAAAAAAAAAAAATGCACAATATTTTTTATGAAATATTTTAGGATTCTTGCTGGTAATTTGCAAGTGGATGATGATTTAACAGAAATTCCGCGGCTAAATATATCTTATAAACCGCAAAAGATTAGTCCAAAATCACAGTGTTCTGTGCGACATCTTTTATATGAAAAAATACCTGATATGGTTAATCATGCACAATTTAAGACGGATGTTTTATCACCATTAATGATCGATGATTTACTGAACCTTGAAGTAAAGCTTGTTCCTTTACACTGTTTTGTGTACTTAGAATTACTTTTCATAAAACTTGAATTCACAACCTTACTCGCTAACAATCATTCAGTGAGGAATAATTTGTCTTAAGTGTTAAACATTTTATTTTATACTACTGTATTATTTCAGTATCTATAAGTTTTGCCCAAGTAACAAGATAGTTTTTTATTTAATTAATTTATAAAATGCGTTTGAAAATAACATAGTCAAAGTTCAATATACTCGTAGGTGCAACATTTATCCGGAGGTGAATTACAACGAGTTGCACTAGCTTTATGTCTTGGAAAAGTAGCTGATGTTTATCTGATCGATGAACCAAGTGCATATCTTGATTCAGAGCAACGATTGCATGCTGCCAAAGTTATAAAAAGGTATGTTTAAGATTTAAATTCCGATTAATATCATTAATTTTTTGTAATTACATCAATCCATTAAATATTGTCATCATGATTTATAATGAGAAACATTAAGCAAAAACTATATATTCTTTAGTAAAAAGATTATGCAAAATGGTTTGGTCAAATATGATTTAACTTCATTGTCTTCTTGGAATTTTACTCGACTAATTAAGTAAATAGAAGTTGAAAGTTATTTCGTATGACTTTTTAGTATTCAGAAGAAAGAGTTTTTTTTTTTTTTTTTTTTTTTTGGATCTTACTATGATTATGGATGACTTAACATTAAATAAAGCATAATGTATGCTTACTATAATTTCACTTAATCAATAGGTTTATACTGCATGCCAAAAAGACGGCATTCGTTGTTGAGCATGATTTCTTGATGGGAACTTATCTTGCTGATCGTGTAATAGTTTTTGAAGGTATACCGTCAAAATCAGCTACCGCACAATCGTTAGTTTTTCAAAGCACTTTTTTTTTTTTAATTTCTTAGAAAAGACCACAATTTCTAATAATAACTTCAAGTTTATTTTTGTTTTGTTTTGTAGACCTCAGTCACTTTTGGAAGGTATGAACCGGTTTTTGCGACTTTTGGATATAACATTTCGACGTGATAAGGATAATTATCGCCCACGTATTAACAAAAAAGATTCTGTAAAAGATATGGAACAGAAGAAGAGTGGGAATTACTTCTTTCTAGATATAGATTAAAATTGGAAATAAACTTGTTTGCCATGATGTGGTTTTTCTTGGTGGGATATAAGTTTAATCACTTTTCTCTCTTGGCTCTTAAATAATAACTAGTTTTGCGGGATTATTTATGCAACAGTGTAATATCTTTACACTATTATGATTTGTCTGTCTTCCTTAGCTCTGATAATTTACTATTTGGATCTAAGAGTTGTTTATTTCGTCTTTATTTAACTTTGGCGACTTTTGTTGTATGCTCATCATGTGTTATTTTAGATTGCCTGGCCTTTTTGAGATAAATGTTTGGTGCAGGGGGTTGGCTTCTTAACTATTATATGAGATTTTTTAAGATTCACAATCTTTTATAATATAATCTTTTAGTTACAAAATTTACGGTGCACTTCACCTCTTGGCTTTCCAATTACGTTGATTTATTTTTTTAGGTTATGATATTTTCTTTGTGATTGTTTTTTGTTTTCGGTCATAATGCATGTTGTTTGCTTTTTGTTATAAATGTTTCGGTCTAGCTGTTACTCTCGTTGCTACTTTAAGAGCATTGAAGAATTGCAAGGTGAAAAATTTTCCAAATTTATAAAAACGTGAAATCAAAGCTTGGAATTTTTATTGATTATATTGAGAAAGTGAATTCTTAACCACTATAATTCGAGTTGCTCCCAAGTTAAAAAATCCTTTGTCCTTGTTCAAGCAATTAAATCACAATGAGAATGATTCAGCAAGAAAGTATATTCAAACTTTTGGCATTCCACTTTTATTCATATGTGAAATGATTAAAGACAAATTTCTGGTTAAATTAAATTAATGTTTGGAAAGAAATATTTCTGATTTTAATTGACCTTATATTATATAACGGACATATGCATATCGGAAACGGAGAAAATTTTACTGAAATCAACATTTGGCAAAGTGTTCGTTGTTTGTGTCTGAAAGTGAAAGTTAATTAATTTTAAATATTATTTCCATAATTCCAATCAAACATTATTGACCTTAATGAATCATTTAAATTGTATTTTCGGTAATGCATTTACAAGGAAACTTTTTTTATCAAATGTTTAAGAAAAATTTTAATTTTCCTATCTTTTTTTAATTTTCCTATCGTCTCTCAATCTTTCTTTGTTTTCCTCCCTTTCACTCTGTGAAATGGAAAAGAGAAAGAGAAAGACAGAGAGAGAGAGAGAGAGAGAGATAAGATATATGATAACGTTGTATGAAAATTGATCAGCATTGAATTGATTTGATCATTCTTTTTTGGTAGTTAGTTATTGAAGTAATAGTTTTCACGTGATCTGTAGATAGATCACGTGAGCACTCACTTAACGCTGAGTTTTTTGTGACGTATTTCTAAAGATGTTAAGCAAATTAATGGATGTTAACACAGCAATAAACGTTATACTTCATTGCAATTTATCAGAAGGAAGAAAAGAGAGAGAGAGAGGGAGAGGGAGAGAGAGAGAGAGAGAGGAACAGAAAGAAGTGAATTTTGAGCAACAAATTATTATTGATATGTCAGAAGAAACTTTTGAGTGTTAAAGGAGGTTTACTTGAAGAGATGAATCAAAGAATGAAAGGGTGGATGTGGAAGTCTCGAAATTAAATTTTATCAAAATTGATAAAATGAACAAAACTAGTCAATCATATTTTTTCTTTTTTTTCCTGTTTAAGATGAATAAATGGATTAGAAAATAATTAGCCAAATGTATTCTTTGCTAAATTACCATTTTTTTTCTCCTTTATTTCTTTTGTTTATCATTTTAAATTTACAAATTTTTTATCGAACGTTGATTTCTTATAAATAATAAATTTACTTTAACTTTATAATTAATACACTATTTTCAGCTCTATAAATAATAAATTTACTTTAACTTTATAATTAATACACTATTTTCAGCTCTATAAATAATAAATTTACTTTAACTTTATAATTAATACACTATTTTCAGCTCTATAAATAATAAATTTACTTTAACTTTATAATTAATACAATAGAAAATGAAAAATACTTACAATATAGCATAATCGTTCTTTTCCAAGTATTCCTGTTTCGCCTTTTAATTTCTTCATTAACTCTATCATTTGAATATTCTCATCTGGTACTACAAAATACACATTCCTTCTGTATATTGCAAAAATATCCGGATCCCAATCATAATCATCATCCGGATTCTGAAAAAAAAATAATTTTCAAATAATTAACCTTCAAAATTGCTTCTAATCATTAATTACAGAAATAAAATTTTTAATTTTTCAAAAAAAAAAAAAAATATTTTAAATTAACACACTGAGCCAATTATTTTTGTAATAAAATTCGAAATTTTTTTTACAAAAAATATATATATTTGAGCTAATTATTTCTGTAATGAGCTAATTATTTCTGTAATGTAATGAAATTTAAAAAATTACAAAAAAAAAAAAAAAAAAAAAAAACATTATTAATCATAGGGCAAATAAAAATTTCAAAAATAATATTTTTGCTATGAAATTTAAAATTTTTAAAAGATTGAAAAGCAAATGAGAAAATTCAATGAGTAAATAAAACAATTTACATAGTATTTCTCCAATATAGCATAAAGTAAAGCACTGGCAACTTCAAAATTATCAGCATAAAGTGGTCCAACTAATATTGGCAGTACATAGCCTCCAGCTGTCTCTCTCGAACATCCATAACCGATCACTTCATCCTAGCAGACATTTAGCACATCGAAGAAAGTTTATCGAAGACAAAAAAAAAAAAAAAATTTCCTAAAAAGTTATCAGAAAAAAAAAGACAAAAAATTTTTCAAATAATTCAAAATTCAATCAAAAAAAAAAAAGCAGAATACTTGTTGAAAAGCCACATAAGTATTGTAATTCTTTTGTTTAAGCCATTCCTTTAACCAAACATTTCGTTTCAAATGTGTCACATTACTGTCATATTTTAGCAATGCTATAAGTTCAACTTCCGAAAGATTGCTAAATCGAATGATTGTAATTTTTTCATTCTAAAAAAATTTACATATACAGCATAAATTTATTGATATAATTAATTTATTTCAAAATAATCTCATAATTAATTGATTGAAATTGTTAAATAAATGAATGAAAATAATTTTAAAATAGTAAAAGACTTGAAGTGTGGGAAATGCTGATGGATTGCTAATTTCATATGTAGCAAATTTCCATTGCTGCGAGAATGTTGTCACCAAACCAAAACGATGACATTTATTGGCCAAATGTGACACTAAATAAATATGAACTGTGAATAGTTAGCAAAATTAATCAAATTGAAAAAAATAGAAAATAGAAAACAGTTCAAAATTTTAGGAGACGAAAATTTTTGATTAATTAGCTAAAGAATTATTTTTTTTTTTTTGTCATTTGTCTTATAATAATTGTAAATATAAATATAATTCATAAAATATAAATTGAAATTTAACTTCTTTCGAGCTGATAATATTAAAATAGGTTCAAAAAGAAAGTGAGAAAATAAGTTAGCTAAACAAAAATGCAAATAATATACATATGAAATATTAAAAATAAACTTTAAAAAATACTTTAATAGTTAGTAAATTTTTGAAATAAAATTATTCTCACAATTATACTATTTAAATAATTAACCAATAACTGTATGAAATGTTTATTTCAATTTTTTTTTTTAATTTGTATTTATTTTATTTTTTTGAATTTTTTTTTTTTTTCATACACAAAAGAATTACATAAAAAAAAAGAGGAAACGTTTACATTAATGTTTACATATTCAAATATTTTAATTTTATTTTTTTTTTTCCCTATTGTTTAAATTTTTTAATTCGTTTTATTTTTTATGTTTTTTTCCTTTCACTTTTCTCTCTTTTTTTTTTTTTTTTCTTTTCAATTTTTCAATCCAAAAAAGAACAGATGGAAGTGAAAATTTACTTGAATGAAATATGACTGTTTGTCGTTGATTAATATTTCTTAATGCTTCGTCAAAAAGTTTACTTCCAATGCCCGAATGGCGGTACTCTTCGATCACATAGTAAACACCGATCACTGTCACATCATGACAGTATGCAATTACTATGCTACCGACTGGCTCGTCACCTATTTTTGAGAGCAAATGAGTAAGTGCAACGGAACGCTGAAGTGTTAGTTGGAGTAATAATTAAATAAATTGATGAAATTGTTTATTCTTAGCATTTTTTCTCGTTTTTTTGTTTTTTTTTTTTTTTTGATAATTTTTCAAAAATGTCAGTAACATTTCATTTTCATTCGTATTTCAAACAAAAAAAAGAAAAAAAAAACTGTCAAAAATTTATTTTTTTCCTTTTTTTTTGAAAAAAAAAAAAAGAACGAAAAAATTTAATTTTTTTATATGCAATAAAATTTTCAGTTTTTTTTTTTCTGCTTATTTTTGCAATATAAGAAAAGAAAAATGAAAAAAGAGAGAGAGAGAGAGAGAGAGGGGAAAAAATGGAAATAAATAAATTATTAAGAAAGTGATAATTATTAAATTTATCAATAATTTGCTTAAAAGTTTTGAATTAGAAAAGCATACAATTCATATATGCTATTGAAATTGAACAAATTAAAAAGTGAAAATTAGAAAAAAAAAAGATAAAATCGACCTGAAAAATGATTTAAAAATTAAAATTAATCTAAAACGATGCAAAAAGAAAGGAAGAAAAAACAACAAAAATTTATTTTTTAAATAACAATAATTCAAAATAATTATTCATATTATATTTACAAAAGAATAAGAAAATAAATAAAAATTTAATAATAAATACTAAAAATGTTTTACTTTGATTTTTAGCAATAATAAATCGATAATCACAGCTAGGAATTGTTTGCCATACATTTAGCGAATTATAATCCAATTTATATGAATCACTTTCATATGCTCGTGCAACCACCTGTCAATTAAAAAAAAAAAAAAAAAAAAAAAAGGGAAATAATTAAATAAAATCAGCTTAATTTCATATTTGTTGCTATTAATGCTAAAATATGACTGTATTTATTGAATTGAATAAACTTAATGAATTTTAATTAATTATATATTTAAAGAATTGTTTGAAATGTATATTTATGTATATTAATATAAAATTAGTCTGCAAAAATCACTTCTTACCTTCTCATAATCATTGTTGGTACCAAATGAAAATTTGTACCAAAAGCCATACTTTGAGTAAGCACCAATCCATGGATCACCACAATTTTTTGGATGATCCAAGTGATATGTTATCATTGATATCGGCTTGCCAATATCAGTTGGTATTTGACGTTTTAAAACTTCTTTAAATGGTTCTAATTTCATAGCCTAAAATTAGTAAAGTTAAGTTTAATGTAAAAATAATTATTATATATATATATTTTTTGGTTTAAAATAAATATTAGCAATCATTTATTTCACTATTTTTTCATTTTTCAAATTACTCAAAAAATTTTCAAATTTTAATTAAATCATTAATTCTTTTAATATTTAATTGAAAATGTCAATATCAGGTTTCGTTTTTCTTTTTTTTTTTTTTTATTTTTTGGTTGAGTTTAAAATGAACTTATGAAATATTAATGATCATCAAATTTTTAACTGGAATAAAGTCGTCGTTTGAAATAAAAAAAAAAAGAAAAAACACAGAAAACAGAAAGAAAAGAAGATGAAAAAGTTTTTTTTTGTTATTTGGAAAAAAAATTTAATTTTTCAAATAAAAAATTTTCAAATTACCTAACAAATAACTTTACATCAAACTTTTTTTACTAAAATGATAATAATAATAATAATAATAAAATAATAACTAAAAAATTTTTTGAGGCAAAATTATGACCGATTGAAAAAAATCATTGAAGGAAATTATTAAATATCATCCAAAAAAGAAAAAAAAAAGAAATTTTCCAACAAAAATATTGCTAATTTATTTGTGATACCAATGAGATATTTCTAACTAAAAATTAACTCTGTTAACTTTTCCTAGGCTATTTTATAAATTTGGGCCAATTACTTTGACATTTTTACATCAAATGATGATGAGATTACACAATTTCATCGTTTACAACCACAATAAGAGATTTTTTGGATAAAATTTATAAAATATTTCAGAGAACGAAGCATATCACAAAAGCAAAAGAACGTTTAGCATAAATTAATCAAAGTAAAAACAAAAAAAAAAAAAGAAACAAAATTTCAAAATGTGAAAATTCACTTTTACTATTTTTGTGTATTTAATTTACCAACTATCAACCATTTTCTTATTACTTTTAATAAACAATCAATAAAATTTGCTTCTTAAATTTTCTCTGTTTGCATTTAAAAATTGATTAATAAAAAATTTAAGAACAATTAATGAAATAGTAAAAATTAATTTTAGCTGCTGGCTATTAATTAGCTTGCAGCTAAATGACAAAAAGTTTTTATCAAAAACTTAGATTAGATTATGAACTAAAGAAAAATGTTAAAAAGTAAGTACCAGAAATTTAGGTTATGAACTTAAAAAAAAACAATAGATTGTTTATGGTTAATTTATGTGAAAGTAAACAATCGATATGAATCAATTTGATTCACAAAATTAATTATTACTTTATAATTTTGAAGCAAATTTTGCTCCTAATTAATTAGTGTTATGTTAATTAGAAAGTTGTGAAAGTAAAAATACTACAAAAATAATCGAATGGAAAAGATTGTGATAAGTTCGTTTTGCATTAGATTTACTTCTTGTTACAATCTTTAACTTTTATTTTACGTTAACTTTAGATATTTTAGATGATTTTAATTTTAATGTTTTTTTTTTTTTTAATTGTTAAAATTTTGGAAAATATTTTTATTTTTTTACAATCTAAAAAAATTTGCAGTCTTTCATAATTTGCACACTAATATGCTTTCAATAAGATATGATAATAAAAAATTTTCAAAATAATTTTCATCATTTCTTATATCAATTGACAATCATTTTTATAAAAGTTTTTTTTTTCGTTTCTGATTTTTACTTTTTTTTTTTTAAAGTTTAAACTAGTATTGTTACCATCTAAGCAAATTAAAGTTACATAGACTAAAAGTTAAAAGTGATTTGAAAATAAAAAGAACAAACATTTTTCTCCAAATTGTCAAAATTCAAAATTCAACAACAAAATTGATTAAACTGTTATTTCGAATATTCTCACAAATATGTAAATGAATAAGTAAATAAATAAACAAATAAATGTGTAAAAACTAATTTTGGTTGTTTACAATTAGTGAATTATCTGTTACAATCAAATTTTATAAAAATAAATTATTTCATTCAAAAAAAAAAATTTTTTTTTCTTTTCTAATATAAAATATATAAACAAATTTTGTGATAGAACCAAAAATCATTGCTAAGTAAAATTTTTTTTTAAAAAAAAATAAAAAAAAACATATTATAATTGTAATTTAATAAAGGTTAGCACAATTAATTAATTAATTAATTAATAATTACAAATTTTTCTTTCTGTTGCTTTTTGCTCTTCGAACATTTCAAATATCTTTTTTTCTTTTCTTTTTTTTTTAATTCTCTTTCTTTTGTCTTTTTTTTTCCCTTTAATTTCCATAAAAAAATATTCATAAAAGAACGATCTGTCACCTTTCTTCGTCAACAATCATTTCTTTCTTTCTTTCTCTCCCTCTCTCTCTCTCTTTTCTCAGGTATACCATTTTAATTATACTTAAATTTCATTTTCTCTTTCATATAAAACTCTTCCTTTCATCTATCATTCATTCTACCAATTGAAAATGAACAAAATTATTTAGTAAAACTAGCTTTTAACTTTTTTTTTTGTTAAATAGAAAGAAGTCAGTCATTATAAAGGTGCCTTCATGTACAGTCATTTCAATGTTAGTTTAAATACAAAAAGACGGAACAAATTTATTTTAAACTAAAATTTGTACTGAAAATTTCTCTGTCAATCTTAAACCTTGACCCTCTTTCCTTTTTGGTACATCGATTTAAGCTTTTATTATGAAAGATAATCACTACATTCTATTTTTTTCCTTTTTTTTTTTAATTTTTATGTTTTAAAAATATAAAATTAAATTTTAAATATAGAATCTAACATATGTTATTTATTTATTTATTATCACTAAGTAATATATTAACAGTAAATGCTTGCAAAAATTTTTTAATTAAGAGTTAAACATTAAAAAGAGAAAAAAAAAAGGAAGCGAATTACATTAAATATTTTTTAATTATTATTAAATTAATTCTAACAAAAAACTTTTTAAAGTGCAATTTTCTTTTTTTTTTTTTTTTTTCATTTCGTCGTCATTATTATAATTTAATCAATTATTCAATTGTTTTTTCTCTTTTTTTTTTAAGTTAAAATTTGATATAAATTATCAAATCAGAATGATACGTCTTATTGTATCACTAATAATTGTAATATTGTTTGAAAAAAATTATGGACAACAAACAGTACGGCAATGTACATGCAATGAAATTGAACCATGCAAAAAACTTGCGGTAGAATCAGTTTTACCGTGCTCTGATCAGTGTCAGGTAAGTTTATCTTTTAACTAATTAAGTAATTAATTAATTAGTTAATTAGTTAATTGTATTGATGCTTGAAATTGTTGCTTATCTTTTCTTTTTTTTTTGTTTTTCTTTCATAGTATTTCATTTAAATTTATCACTGTAATGTTTTTATTTCATTTAATTTATTCAATGAAATAATTATTAATTTAGATTTTGATTAAGGTATTCAATATTTTAATTGATATTAAGTAACATTAATTTAAAAAAAAAAACATACTTTAAAAAATTCATTATCATTAATAAATAAGTAATCAATTTCTAAATTCAAAAAAAAAAAAAAAAAAAAAAGAAAAAAATAGAATGAAAGAAATTTTATCAAAAATTTGAATTACAATTATCATTGTATTCAGCTATATTTAATTGCTTATATTAGCATTTTGTTATAGTTTATAGATATTGCATGAAAATTGTGAATTAATCTTTTAATTAAAATTTGAACATAATTAATAAATATTTTAATTTGCAACAAATTTTCTAACTTATGTTATTTTTAGTTTATTTCAAATATTTAATACAACTGTTTTCCCTCTTTCTTCCTCTCTCTCTCTCCCTCTCCCTCTCCCTCTCTCTCTCTCTCTCCCTACCTCATCATTTTTGTTTTTTATTGATAAAATTTGACTTTTTTAAGAAATTTGTCTCTTCCATGGGCGGTAATTATCAGCAAATTCGCAGCTGTTTCCAACAGAAACAACCAATCATCGATAAAGCAATGCAATGCTCCCAGGATGCATTCCCTGAAGCGTTTGTTTTCTTCTTCTTATTATTATTATTATTTCTCGCTGAAATGACAATAAATATTACAAAAACATTAATTTGATATGGTAGTAGGAGCAGTTGATAAGACTGATAACAATTACAAATGATAAATTATTATAATTTCAAATGAAAAATGAAATTATTGTTTTCATCCGTCATTTATTCTTCATTTTTTTTTTTCTAACTTTTTACTTTTATACTAATTGTATATATTATACTTTGTATAAGTAAATTATATACTTATACCTACCTGTTCAGGTGTTCACGGACACAACCAAAAATGATACCAAAACGATATACAAAGGGTATTGAAATTGCAGCTATGAATGAAATTAATAAACAATTACAAAGAATGGGTAAATAGCAAATTATTCAGTATTTTTCGTTTTTTTTTTTTTGTTTTGTTTTGTTTACTAATTTTACTATTTCAGATATAAATTTATCAAATAAAAAAAAAAAAGGCAATGAACAAAAGTGAATAAAATTTAAATGTTTTTTTTTTTTTTTTTTTTACATAAAAAAATTTAGAAATTTAGATAAAAATTAGAATTAATATATTCATTTATATTTTTTTCATCTAAGTAATTCAAGAATTCAAAAAATAAAGAAAATAGTGATTCAAAGAATGAACAATTTCATTTTGAAATGGATATTAGCTATAAAAATTGGTAGAAATTTTCATTACAAAATATTCAATTAATATTTAAATTTAAAATAAAAAAAAAAAATGAAACAAAAGAATTGGTTAATAATTTTTTCTTTTTAGGAATAGCAGAACAAGTTACCAATCTATTATCTCAAGGCCGACGATTTTTCAAATGCTTTCAATCATGTATGACAAAGAAATTAGGCAAATGCGCTGATGGGTATAAATTTATTTTAAAAAAATTAAATTAATAAAATCAATCAAATTTTCCAGAAAAAAAAAAATATTAAAATATTACTAATTTTCAAATCATTAGCTATTTAATGATATTCTATTCTGTTTTTTTTAAGGTATAATTTAATTATTCAAAAATTTTAAATATTTATTATTTGTAAATTTTCAAAAAAAAAAAAACATTAAAATGTTAATTTTAATTTTTAAGTCTAATTTTAATTTTAAATGCCTAATTTTAATTTCTATTTCAAATGTAATATTAAAATGCTAATTTTTGAAAATTTAATAATGTTTCATCTGCAGTTGTCATCTTGATTTGCCATCTGACAACGTTGTGGTACAAAAAATTAAAAGTTGCGCTCTTCGCAGTGGAGTGCAAACTGCAGCCATGAAGGATCTCTGTTTTTGCATTGAAAGAGGTGGCATCCGGTAAGTTTTTTTTTTATTAATTAATTAATTAGTTAATTAAGATAAGTCAAACTGTAAATATGCAAATTGAAAGAGCAATGAACAGAATAAATAATTTGATCATTGATTTTTTCAACAGAAAATATTTACGGAACTAACTGATAGAGAAAATTGGAACTTTTAATTTTTTAAAATAATAATATTTAAGATATGGATATTAATTTACATTCCTTTTAATCTTATGAAAATTTTTAAAATTATTTTGAGTGCATTTTTGAAAAACGAAAGAAAATTGTTTAATACTGAAAAGCTTAAGTAAATAGCATAAATTATTAATATTTTGTAAAACAATGATGAAATTAAACAATTTTCACTTTCAGTTTACTAATGGAATTGCAAAATACCATTTGTTTAATGAAAAGTAATGAAAAAAAAAAAAATATTTATAAATAACAAAAATCTATTTGAAATATTTTTTATTATCATAATTTTATAATATAAAACAAAAAAAGAGAAATTTTCAGGCAACTTGCTGGTATCTGTCCTCGTATACAAATTTTCGAAACGAAATAAAATTGTTGAAAAATGGAAATAACACCGGAAAGTAATTCATTCAAAAAATTTGTTTTCAAAAAAAAAGAAAAAAGTTTGATAACATTCAATAATTAATTGCACAAAAAAAATTTTTCATTAGAATTTTCTGCGAACATTTTTCACTTTTTTTTTCTTTCAAATATTAATTACAAAACACACAAAAAAAAAAAACCAGTTTTAAATTTGAAATTGAAAAAAAAAATTATTATTTTGTTTTTTTGTTAAAATAATTACAAAGGAAAAAAAATGCATAAATTTGGAATAGTTGAAATTTTTATTATTTTTTTTTTTTTTTTCATGAAATGATTACAATGAAATATGTTTTTAATTAATTTCTTTTCTTTTTTTTTTTTTTTTTCATTGAAAATTTAATTACTTTTTTTTTTTACTGTCACATATGAATGAATTTAAACAAGAAATTATTATAACAATGCATTATGTAAATCACACGTTGGCATTGTCACATGTAAACTGTCCAAAGTGACCTGTAAATATATCAGTAAATATTAATTATGCAAATGAATAAACTTTTCATAGATAACAAACAAGTCATAAAATTCGAATTAATTATTTCATAAACTGAAAAGAAAATACAATTATAATAGAGAAAGAAAATAAAACTTAAACAATTCAATTTAATAATAAATTTGAATATCCAAAAAATAAAGCACACACAATCGTCAAAATTTTATCACAGATAAATCCAATTAACTCATAAGTTTTCATAAAATTAAACATACATACTTATCTCAATATTATTTTTAAGAGAACACAGAAAACATAGTAAATTTGCACTAACAAAATTGAACAGTCCAAAAAGTTAGTTCAAAGTTGTGTGCCACGGAAAATTTTCAAAGTTTGTGACACATCAAAATTATTAATTTTTACTGTAAAAACCTTACGAAACGATATGAGGTGTAAGCTTACGAAACGATATGAGGTGTAAGCTTACGAAACGATATGAGGTGTAAGCTTACGAAACGATATGAGGTGTAAGCTTACGAAACGATATGAGGTGTAAGCTTACGAAACGATATGAGGTGTAAGCTTACGAAACGATATGAGGTGTAAGCTTACGAAACGATATGAGGTGTAAGCTTACGAAACGATATGAGGTGTAAGCTTACGAAACGATATGAGGTGTAAGCTTACGAAACGATATGAGGTGTAAGCTTACGAAACGATATGAGATGTAAGCTAACCGTTCGTACTAATTCCCAAGCATTATGTCCACAAAATGTATTGATTATAGGTTGACAACAGCGCAAATAATCATCCATAATTTCACATAAAAGCTACAATAATAAAATGATTAAAATATTTTCATATATAATTTCTTCTTTTTTTTTTTTTTTTTTTGAAATTTAATAAAAGAAACAAAAACCTCAAAATATTGACTGTAATTAGTTGGAATTTTTATCTTTTGTGCTGTTGTTATTGCTTCATTTGCTTTTTTTCTGCATTTCACATAATTACTTTCTGCTTCTACCTATAAACAAAATTGTATTTGAAATAAAAATTTGAGATATTTTTAAACGAAAATTAAATGAATTAGCGTTCATAATTTAAATTCTAGCTTATTAGCACTTGAAATATGCAAGTTAACAAGTTTCTTTTTAAAAATTTTTTTCTTTTTTTTAAAAATTTCTTGAAGAAACTTAAAAGTAATTAATATAATTGAATGAAATAATGGTTGAAAATATGATTAAATGTAAAGAATAAAGCAAAAAGAAAAATGAAATTAATACTAAGTAAGATTTTTGTACTTTTTAAATTTACAAATTATCACTCACTTTAAAATACTAATATGTATGTATGACAAATGATAAGTTTACCTCAGCAAAACAGGTGGCATAAGTTTCAAAAAATTGATATCCCTCACCACACATGTAGCCATAACTAGCATCGATAGCTTGCACTGATATACTTGAACAAGATATATCTCGAGTGCACTCCTGTAGATTATTCATCATTAATCACGAGTAATTCAGCTTATCATGAGTAATTCAGCTTGTCATGAGTAATTGAATTTATCGTGAGTAATTGAGCCTATCACGAGTATTGACCTTATCATGAATAATTGAGTTTATCATGAGTAATTCAGCTTGTCATGAGTATTGACCTCATCATGAGTAATTGAATTTATCGTGAGTAATTGAGCCTATCACGAGTATTGACCTTATCATGAATAATTGAGTTTATCATGAGTAATTCAGCTTGTCATGAGCATTGACCTCATCATGAGTAATTGAGCTTATCATGAACAATTGAGCTTATCAGTCTAAAATTTCCACTTACAGTAAAAAATTTTTGTGCCTATTTCTAGTGCTTAAAATTTTTTTTCAAAAAATTTTTGAAAAATGAAAGCTTAAGTATTATCAAAAAGTAACTGTTATTGCTTTAGTATTGTATATTAGCGCTTTTATTTTACATTTTTACAAAGGAAAAAAAGAAAAAAAATTATAAATTTTAACAAAAATGCATCATTAGCTTTTGAAATTTGTCATTTCTTTCTGTCAACAATAGCAATTAATTTAATTTAAATGCAAAATATCTCTAAGCATAAATGAAAATAAACACTACTTGAATCAAACTCAATCAATTATATCAGAGAGTTTCATTCTGTAAATAAAAGCTTATTTCATACATTTTTCAACGTTTTTAAAAGTACTTCAAAGTTTGAAAAATAAAATGAACTTCAAATTGAAACATTACAATAAAATAAAAAATTCTAAAAAATTTAACAAGTCTTAGAGAGGCAGAAAAAGAGAGCGAGAGAGAGAGGGAGAGAGAGGGAAGATTTGAATAAATATAAAAGTTGAAAACCTTGAAATGAGCATAAATATCACAAAGTTCTCGAAAGATATTTATTCCTTGAACAGGAAATTGTATTGCACCTGTTTCTTGCAATTTTTCTGCATAATCCAAAATTGGCTTAAAAAAAAGAAATAATTAATTAGGAAATAAAAAAATATAAAATACAAAACTATATTCTTTCTTGTAATAATCAATGTAATAAATAGATTGCCTACAATTAATATAAATAACATTAAGGATGATCTTATCATTCACTTATCACTGATCTTATCATCAGTTGTATAATAACACAATTGATCTCTCTTTTCTTGCAAGAAATTTCTAGAGAAAAAAGAAAATGCATTAAATAGAATGTCGATAATATAGGAAAAAAATGATTGCAATATAAAATGCAAATTAAATTGCTTCGTTTTTCATTTTTTATTTTTAAATTTCATTTCTAAGCTTAAACTTAAGAAAGAATTTTTCCTTTCATACAGCTTACCATCCTATTTTTTGCTTAAATTTACTTTTATATGAAATTCAAGATTGAATAAATATTGAATAATAAATGCAAGCAGAATATTAATTTCTTAAAATATAACTTTGAAAAGAAATTTTTAAAAAACAAAAGAAGAAAAAATATAATTCCTGAAGACATTTATTGATTGATTGTTCAGTAAATGCAGTACACTTCGTAATATCAGCTGATAATCGATTCTTATCATTATCATTATCAGTGATTGCTGTTATCGAATTCAAATGTCCCTTTACAAGAGCAACAACAACAGTAAGCCAAATCCAACTAATTGTTCTCATTCTAAAAAGTACTAAAATAAAAAATCTCCAAATACTTTGAGTAATTATTTTTGCTTCATTAATTTTTTAAAATACTTTAATCCTATAATATTGAGAAAATTTCTTAAAATATCAAAGTCTCAAATTTAATTCAAAAAATTTAACAACAATTTGCTGAAAAAAAAAAAAAAAAGAAGAAACAGAATTTTGCAATAATATTGTAAATAATTTTTTTCAAAAAATTTCAAGTAAAATTTAGAAAAAAAAAACTATAATATTTAATATAACTATTTTATAAAATATATAAAATAGAAATAATTAATAACAAATAATATATTATCACAAAGAAAAACATTTCTGTCTAATATTTCGAATCAATTTGCTATAAATTTTATTTTTGAAAAAAAAAAAAAAAAAATTAAGCATGATAAAAGCCTATGCCATTTTACCTTATATATACATACATTTGGCCATCATTTCATTCCCTCTTCACTTGCCCTCTTTGCTTCCTCTCTTTTTTTCCCTCTCTCTCTCCCTCTCTCTCCCTCCCTCTCTCTCTCTCTCTCTCTGTCATTTGTTCCATTTGAATATGAAAATTTCATTTCTTTCCACACTATTTCATATCTTCCTTACATTCTCAAATGGAACATGAAGTAGCAGTAAATCAGTTAAAATTAAATTCAATTATGTATAACAAAAGGAGAAAGAGAGAGAGAGAGGGAGAGAGAGAGAGAGGGAGAGAGAGAGGGAATAAGGTTAGAGAGCAGAAAGCAGCTGTGACACATTTTTCAGACTTTCACTATAAATCTATGCTACTACCTCAAAAAAAAAGAGAAAAAAAAAGGGAGAATCTTAAATTTTTTTAATTTCATTTTCTTCTTTTCTTTTTTTTTTGTGTTTAAGAAAAGAAAAGAAACGAAAGATTTTTCTAGAGTGTTTACATCTTTCTTTTTGATTGAGTGAGAAAAAGAAAAAAATGAATAAAGAACAAAAGATACTACAATTAATTCTTTTTCATTCTTTTAATATTTGTTAAATTAATTTTACATAAACAATTGCATTTTCTCTTCTTTTTGCATAGCACTTTACATTTTAATAACAGAAATTGAAATGGCAATCTAAATTTTCATTTAATTTTTGATATTTTTATGATAAAAAGATTGCAAATTTGAATTTAAATAAATTTAACATAGATTTGAAATTTATTTTAAGAAACTTAACATTGCATTGCAGCAATGTGGAAATTCATTAAATTGTGAAAAATGACAAACAAATTAAATTCGTTTTTTCGAAGCTTTTTTTCACAGTTAATTATTCGTTTCCCTTACAAAATCATATTTAAATATTTCAGATTTAATAATCTTTTTTCATTCAATGAAATTTCAATTGCTTAATTCTTGTTTCTTTTTCTTTTTTTTGTCTTTGTTTTTTCATGATTGTTTATTTTCCATTGAAAAGATTTTCTCCACTTTCAACACTCTTTCATTCCATACATAAAATACTTCCTCGTTTATTATTTCAAGAAATACTGACATTATTTCAAGAAATACTGACATAATTTCAAGAAATACTGATATTATTTCAGGAAATACTGATATTATTTCAAGAAATACTGATATTATTTCAGGAAATACTGATATTATTTCAGGAAATACTTACAGAAATAATCAATGAATTACATCAAAATATAGGATGCAACTGAACGAGTTGATTTCATACGTAAAGAAAGAAATATTTGATGCATCCTTAAAAGAAATCATTTTATGAAAGCAGCAGGAAAGCATCGAGAACTGAGAGATGATGTTTTCTTAGTTAGACTCTCGAATAGTTTTATGGTAAATCAGAAATAATTCTAAAGTATAAATATTATAAGTAAGATAAACACATTAGCTACCTGTTAGGGGATAAGATATTTTCATTACGTGAGTGCATATATTGGGTTACGGCCGTGAATTGCCGCCCTTGAGTAATTCGTGGCAGCGAACTGTGGAGGGTTCGAGATGGTTGGTATTGGGATATTGGGAGTTCCCGGGAATAACGGGGGTTGAGTTTGATGCAATATAGGACATATGAATAATGGGTGTTATTATTTATAAGCGTAAAAGGTAGATAGGTTATCACATATGAGCAGATGGAAGAAAATTGAGAATGAAAAGAAAAAAAAAATTAAAATTTGCCTTTAAGGATTAAGCATGATTAATTGTTAATTTACTTGTTGTAGAATTTATCTTTTTGTTGTTGTATAAAATGAAGAGGATTTTGTGACATGTCTTCTTTTTTCTTGTTTTCTTTGTTAATTTTTTAACTGATTAAAATTATTAAAAACTTATCCTTGAATATTATGTTCAGGAAATGGGTCGACGGCAAGGCAATGTATTTGATAGAAAAGAAATAATGGATTTAATGCAACAGCGATTGGATGGTTCTATCAAAAGTTTGCGCGAATTAAAGGATAGGATTGCAGAGGAAACGGGTGAACAGATTGCACTTACAACACTGTGGCAGCAAATTCACAAAATGAGGGTTTCTTTTACTATAAGAGAATGGCTATACGTGAAATCTCAATTTAAGTGACGACTGTTAAGTTGTTTTACTTAATTTACATGAAAACTAAGTTGTATTGTACGAATCACCTGAATTCAGTTTAAATATTGGCAGTTTTTTTTTTGCTATCTATTGGTAGTTTTTTTGAACATTCGGAATATATCCCTCTATAATGGGCTCTGCTCAGTTTTTTTCTTCGGGATAAAGAGCTAAAAGTCGTTAATGCAAGTTTTTAGGGGGAAGTTTTTAGGGAGAGTTGGTCGAAAATAAATCTGGTTATGCTCGAATGACTACATCACGTGTTTCACGAATTGATGGTTCGAGAGTTAGTATCCAGCGGGGAAATGATAGTGTTGGTAGACGTGCTCCATCGATTGGGGTTGAACTTCCAGATGGTTCGTTCTTCAAACTTTTGGAATCAGTAGTTCACATTACTTGGAGGAAATGAATAAGAACTTACAAAAATTCAATTTTTTGAACACTAAATGACAAGTAGATGATAGTTTGGTTGATAAAGTTTATTGCCAGAATATAGCATGAGTTTTTTTTTTGGTTAGATTCAAAAGTTGAAGTTGATTTCTTACTACGATTTTTAGCCACTGGCTCTTCATTACGTCGATCAACTCGCGCTTCTAAACGGAAAAGCTATTCACCGGCCCCTATGTCATCCAGACTTGATCCGAAGAAGTCTCGTACTGGGTAAAAATTCAATTATTTCAACATTTATTTATGTATTACTAAGTTCAAACAGCTGTAAGAAACCGTCTATGTGTCATTTAATAGAGTTGGATGGAAAAAGTTGGCTATGTCTAAGTATTTCTTAGATATTAATAATGCTTTTATTTTCTTACAGCACAACACCAGTATCTAGTAGCAACATAACTTTAGTTTCTCATTCCCTAAGATGTTTGGGAATGCCGAAAAAGGAGAAAGTCGTCAGACGAAAAAGAATTGATGAGCCACAAATTTGGGACAAAAATGTGGAAGAGTCAATTAGACAAGAAGCTTTGAGGTTATTGAAATTTTTTTTTTGTGTGTCATTATCGATTTTTATTTCTATCTGTTTATTATCTTTGAACATGTCACTTTTCCATTGTCTCATATTATGCTTTCATTTTTTCAGTGCTTCTTGTCGTCATTTTGCTTACTCGCTAAGAGTGGCATAGCTAAGAGGGTGTAAATCAGCTGAGGTTTCACTGTGTTTTGATCATGTCTGTTTCAGAATAAAATGTTTTTTTTTTCTTGCCAAAATAGAAGAATCAAGGAGTAGGTGTTGAGGAGATTACTGTTGATAGAAAATAAGAATATGTACAAGGCAGAGTCGTTCTAAATATTGTTTTTCTGATTTTAGACATGAGGAAGAAACTGCTGATGATCCCCTGGCTAAGGCAAAATCAAAAGTGTGGTTATTTTGTGAAAAATTCGACGAAGATGGTGAATCAAAAGCAAAATGCAGAATTTGTGGGATGGTGAGCTTTTATTTTCTAAATAGTTTTCTGGAAAAGGTGAAGTCTTTTTTTTGTCGTACATCATTAATATAATGGTAGCATGTAAGGTAAGTTATTCGATCTTAACAGAAGTTTGCAAAGGATTGGTGAAAATATAACTGTGGTAGTTTTTGTAAGCTTTAACTAATCAGTCTTCTTTCTTCTGTACAGTGTTCCAATGATTCTCTTCTACTTCCAGGTTATGGTACGTAAGCTGGGCTCAACGAGGGCAATGCTACGTCACCTGCGAAAAATGCACGACAATCTCATTGAAGGTATCATAAGACCGGTAACAAAACGTATTACAGCAATTGCTGGAAAACCGAGAGGTGATGATGGCTTTGATATTGATGATGATAGTGCATGGGTGGAAGAGGTTGATGAAGAAGATTTCGACGATTATGATGGTATGGCAATTTTAGCTTCCTGAAATTACGTTAATACTTTTATTCTTGCGAATTTTTTAAAAATGATATAGAATTCCTACATTTATGTTATCTCAAGGGAGGTTGATTGAAAACTTCTTTATATGTGAGTGGAAAAAAAAAAATTGAAGAGGAACCAGCAAGAAGTTAGTTTGTCAGTAAGGGTGTGTGTCTGCTTTCAAAAACTTTCGCAGAAAACAATGACATATAAAGAAATCATTTACTGAAGAATATTCAAGTTTCGATACGACGAATTTTTTCATGTTTTTGTTATGTCAAGATTTTATGTTAAGAACAGCAATATGCAGTTGCGCAACATTGTGTTGATAAAGGGAAAGTCATAGCCTACAACAATTATTCAGATGAAGGAGGCCCATCATATGCTGGCGAAGTATTCATTCGAGAAGATGGCTCGTAAGTAAATGAATGAAAATTTATATTTTTTTAATAATTTTTTTGTATCTACTGATTGATTTTGCTTTACTCTGCTAATTGACGAGACAATCCAATTTCATTTTTATATTTTCAAAATCCTCAAGTGAACTTCAGTTATGCTGATGGAGACGAATTTGTCGACGTGGTATATGTGCAAGACGGCACTTCGTTTGAGGAAATTATTTCAAAGTCGAATGATGGAAGTGCATTTGTCAATAAGTAATTCCAGCTGTTATAATTTATTGTATTATTGGTATATATGACAAAAAGCAGAAATTGATATGTCTAATTCGTATTTGCTTCTAATTTATTTTGCAGCGAATTACCTGCAATGGAAAATAGAAATGAAGAAGCTGCTGTACCTTCACGTTTGAAACGCAGCATTTCCGATTCCGAACTAGCGCGGCCATCCTCTAGAAATGGTAACAATGATCTTGAGCATTACGAAGATACAAATTTGGTATGTTTTTTGATATTTTATTACATAAGATGTTTTAAAGCCAGAAAATTACATAAATAAGAGCGCTTTAATATGAAATTGATAATTGCCACAATAATATGGCGTTGGAGTAGAACAATTTTATAGCGCATGGAGTAATATTTCCTATCATTGTTTTTATTTTTCTGATTTTTATTATTAAAATAGTATTTCCATATGTTTCAGGAGACAGATAGATCAATAGGAAATCTAAATTTGTTAAGTGGAGGAGAAAAAAGGCGACAAGATATAGATGATGAACACTTTAGCCGCACTATCACCTCATCCATTTTAACATTCCCTCCAGAGCAACGAGAACTTGTGCGTTGCGCTGTTATGCAGTGTATAGAGGAACTGAGATCGGTTGAATCAACCACGGCCGAAGAAGCAGAAGTTCATGAAGTAACCGATGAAGAACTGGTTCAAATCTCTGATGTTTAAGTTTGATTGTTGTTGTTTAAAGGAGAGATTTTAATTGCTTCAATTCAGAAATTTATTTCTAACGTGGAATTTTTCACTCATTTCTTGGATTCAGTCATTATAAAATTAATACATGTTCGTTGATTTGTCGTATTGATATTCGACTCTAAAACCTTGAACTTTTTGATATTTATGTTATATGAATACCAAATACTTAATTTCTAAAAGTAAATCGCTTTTAAATATTCATCAAGAATATATGGACAGTTTTTTTGGACTATAAATTTGATCGCAGCATTTTATGGTTTTTACTCATATTTGTTTCATATTTATAAAATCATCAAGCCATTTATTTGCTTGCTGTACGCTAATTCATGAATTTCATTGTAATTCTCAAGGTTTTTTTTTTTTTTTTTTAAACTAATTTTGAAGTCCTATAAAATGAAACAATGTCCATGTAATTAAGCAATTTCCTAATTGTGAACGAAAATCGAATTAAATATCATGTTTTTCATCCGTTTTGTTATCATTTTATTTTTTTTCCCTCTTTGTTTTAGACAATGGCTTTAGCTGTGAATCTTTTGTGCTTGTATATCCCGAAGTTTTAATCTCCTAAGAAGTGTATAAGGTTTGTATCTAATATCAAAATTTCTGAATGCCTTTTGAAATTAGTTCTTTAGTTTATTCATATTAAAAAGATGCATTTCGGTGATATTTGCACTGATGCAGAAGAATTATACTTATTTGGAAAATTTCACAAATCAAATCGATTCTTTATGTAAAAAAAAAAAAAAAAAAAAAAAAAAAAACCTTGCTTTCATAAGAAATTATACTTATTCAATCACTGTATGCTGTTCAAGTTTTAATGACATAAAGAGACCTTTTAAATAGTGCTCAACTTCACGTTTATCGATGCTAGTAAAATTCGTTACGGCAATCTTCTCGTTAATAAATGCGACAAGCTTATCTTCTTCTGATAGCATACCGTAAGCCTGAAAAAAAAAAGAAGTTCTAGAAGTCCTTAAATGTTACTAATACATTTTTTTGTTGTGTTAGTAGCATTTTAGGCTAAGCTCTTGTAAATATTTCATGGCTTAATAAGGTAAACATACTCTCAGTTGATTGTTATCGTTTGGTGTTAATGCATTCAGGAAATATGCAATATTCGCTTTCAAATTACTATTTAAGAATTTATTCCAAACTTTATTGTACGATCTTCGTAGCATCTCATGTAGTGGAAGCAAAAAAATGTTTTTGGAAACAAACCTTTATGATTTGGTTAAATTGTTATTCGGGGGAGAAGTTTGATGTCAGGGAGATGTGTTGGATGCCAGCTAAATATTTGGGCAACAATTGAATAAAACTGATTCGGAGGATTGGATGATTTTTTTTTAACTGATCTAATTGACAAAAGTATGGTTATAAATCTACATTGATGTTAGACAATGATCCAAACAAAGGAGAGGAGGTGCTTGCATGGGCACCAGTCGCTAATAAAGAGCTTATTAGATAACCGCATGATTATGATAGCTAACAAAGAACAATGTAGATATCCTCATGATTGTAAGGATTGCTAACAAAGAACGATGTAAATTGTTTCAATATGTAGAAGCATAAATTTGGAAACAAAGAGTCCGAAGTATAAGCATTATTTGCGGAAATTACGTAGATATCTTTACTACAATTTGCAACTCATATTTTTAGATCGCGATATTAAAATCCGCGACACTCCCGACCGAAGGAGCTAAATGCTTTAGTTCGTTGGACAGCTTTGGTTGATTGCTTCGCCTTATAGCGCTTCTAGTTCGTAGAGCAATTGGTTCTTGTTCATTGACATTTTGCACTGATTTGTTAAACATTGTTGGTTGAGGGTCAATTTCCTCACCTTTGACTTCCAGTGGGTATAACATATTCACCGGTCTGTTGAGTATTTTTCCTTTCGGTAATTCTATCGAGACACTTCTCACTTCTCCATCCTTTCCTGTTTTGATTTCTCTTATTCTGGCTAGTTTCCACATGCCACGGGGAATTTCTGGTTCATTTAGTAACACAATCTCTCCCTCGTGGGGAGTTCTTTTTACTACATCTCTCGGAGAAGAGTGTTCCCTTTGTGCTCTTTCTTTAAGAGTATTTAAATATTCCTCTTTCCATATTTCCCAGAAGGCATCGAGGGCCTTTAGTGTATTTGACCAGTATTGAATGAGTTTTTCTCTCGAATCCAATTTATGAGGGATAAAATCATCCATTTCATTCTTGTTTTTAGCAGGCATGATTAGATGCGCATTCGGTAGTATAAAGTCAATTGGACGCAATATGATACAATCATCAAAATTTACGTAAGTTAGTGGTCGAGTATTCAAAATACTTTCCACTTCCGCTACTAGCGTAATCAATTCCCGTTCCCATAATAACTTTCTGCCGATGGCTCTTTTCATTGCCCTTTTTGTTAACCCAATAAGTCGCTCATATACTCCTCCGTTCCAAGGCGCCTTTGGTATTATATTTTTCCAGATCATTTTCCTTTCCGCTAGGAATTCATTTAATTGTTGTTTCACAATGATTTTAAAAATTAACTGGAATTGACCAGCGTTGTCGCTTAAGATTAATTCTGGAAAGCCTCGTCTTGCTGTAAATCTTCTGAAAACATGTAAAAAGCTTTCGGCTGAAAGAGTTTCTACTACTTCTAGATGTACAGCTCTTGTTGTGAAACATGTGAATAGTGCTACCCATCTTTTTGTTAGCCCATTATCACTCCTGATATTCACAGGACCTAAATAGTCTAGTCCTACTCGCGCAAAGGGTCTTGATCTTGTGGTCCGAGATGCTGGAAGATCAGCCATAGTTGGTAATTTGAATGGTTTAGTTGTCCAGCGTCTGCACTTCATGCACTTATTCAAGATTCGTTTGACTTCCGTTCTACCTTTTGGGATCCATATCGTCGATCTCAGATTTGAGAGTGTATGAGCAATTCCAGCATGATACAGTTGTTCATGTCGTTGCTGAATAAAGAGTTCAGTTATGGTGTTGTGTCTCGGGAGATATATTGGGTGTAAGTTACTCTCTTTCATTTCAGAGTTAACTACGCGGCTTTTGTATCTCCATAGTTCGTTATCATAGAACAAATTCCATTTGATTATTTCATCTTTGGTAACTCCTTCTGACTGTGCTTGTTTGAATAGCACAATTTCTGACAACTCGTAATCCTGTGTTGTCAATATATTCTTTTCTTTCGTTGCCATCTTTAGCCAAGGAATTTCCCTTTTCATTGTTAATCTTATGAATTTCAGAACCCAACCAGTTGTTCTTATTAATCTTGACCATTTGCTAAAACGACTAGCATCTAAGATTCCGAAATGTTTGTTTATGATAATTGGTTCTGTGATGTGGGCCACAATTTCTTCATCCTGGTAATCCTCATTGTAATTGTATTTCCACTGTGGCCATTTTGATTCGTTTTCTGTTAACCACTTTGGTCCTTTCCACCAAAGATCATATCCTTTTAGTTTATTCGGAGAGATTCCTTTTGTAGCTATATCAGCTGGGTTTTGTTCACTTGGGATATATCTAAAATGGATTTTCGCCTTTCGTATTTCTTCTACCCTATTTTGTATGAACGTTGGTAGTAAACGGGAACTATTGTGAACCCAATGAAGCGCACATTGAGAATCGGACCATAAAATTGTTATCACGTCCTCAAGCTCTTTTTGTTTTAATACGAATTGTACCATTCTCACTCCGATGAGTATTGCCAGTAATTCTAATCGAGGTATTGACATTCCTTTAATTGGCGCAATTCGGGATTTAGCAAACACTAAGAATACTTCTCTTTCTTGAGTTCGAATGTATAAAGCTGCTGAGTATGCAGCAGTTGATGCGTCAGTAAAAACATGAAATTGTACTTGCTTGGAACAATTTGTTGTGAATCTTGGTAGATCCTTTAGTTTCTTTGGCCATTCGTTCGTGAGTAATTTCCACGTGGTTTCATCCTCCTCACTTATAGTTTGATCCCATGAAAGGTTCTTTTTCCACAAAGTTTGGAGAAACAATTTGAATCTTATCAGTATAGGAACTATGAATCCTAGTGGGTCATATTGTGAGGCTACGAATTGCAATATAATTCTTTTAGTTAATTTCTTACCAAACCATGGTTTTAACGTTACTTGAATGATATCTTGTTTGTGGTACCAATTGAGACCTAGAATTTTTTTAATTGAACTTACCTCTGCTCGATCTTGTACCGGAAGTTTTTCATTGACTTCTTGGTCGTTAGAGAGAAATTCCCGTACATTCATTGATGCTTCATTGAATATAATTTTAATTTCCTTATAATTGGAAAGAGCTTCGTTGGTTCCTTTGGTTGGTATTATAATGTTATCGACATAGAGATTTTTCCTTAACTCGAGTGCGATTTTGCTTTTACAAGTTTCCAAATGATAATTGAGTGTAGCGGACAATAAAAATGGAGATGATACAATTCCAAATGGAACTCGTTGGAAACGGTAACAACTTACGTTTTCTTCGTTAACTGGACTTCGAATGTCTTTCAACCAAAGAAATCGAGTGCAGTTTCTATCTGTTGGATGCAATTCTATTTGCAAGAACGCCTTTTCTACGTCTGCTATTATTACATTTTTCATTGTACGGAAACGTAGCAAAACTCCAACCAAATCAGGGAGTGTTATTGGTCCCCGATATAAAACATCATTTAAACTTTTCATTCCTTTACAATGAGCTGATGCATCATAAACTATCCTCAGATTTGTCGTGGTTTTATTTGGTGTTATTACTTCGTGATGAGGCAGATAATGAATAATACCAACTTCATTCATTTCCGATGACACTTTCTCAATTATATTGGAATTGAGTTGTTCTTCAATAGTTTGATTGTATCGACTTAGTAATTGAGGTTTCATTTTAAGCCTCCTAATTAACGACTTTAATCTTCCAAGGCAAAGTCCGAAATTATCGCTTAGTTTGTTCTTTGAATCTTTCCAAGGCCAACAAACTTGATATCTTCCCTTGTCCCTAGTGATAGTTTGTTTAAATTGCTGCAATGCTTTTTCATCATTGTCAGAGTTTATTTTGTCTTGTATACCCATTAATTCCAGTTTCCAAAAGTGATCTAAGTCTGGAATATTGACGGCATTGACTTGAGAAATCGGACTTACTGATGTGGTTTCTGAAATACTGTCGTGTATTTCATTTATATACCCACTTCCAGCTATTATAGGTCCAACCTTTGTATGGATCAATGAAAATCCTGATTTTAAGTTCTCTGCTTGGTCAAACTGGATAAACTTGAAGAAGTGATCCGCACCTATGAGTATGTCCGGTTGTTTCCATTTGTTTTTGAAATTACTAAACTGATTTCGTTTGTCTATCATCAACAATTCCTTTTTGTTTAGATTAACTACTTGCAATTCATTCGTCAAGTGGTTAACTGTTATTACATCTAATCGGATTATTTCTTTATTTCCAATTTTTACTCCGATTTCAGTTTTAGTAGTGATACACGTTTTTGGCGTCTTATCACCAAATGAAGCAATTTTTATTTCCATCTCGTTAGTTTCTTGTAGATTCAATCGATAAGCCAAATCCTTTGATATGAACGATAATTGAGAACCAATATCGAATAGAATTAAGCCTTTTGTTGGATTTTTGGGCGATTTGGATTGGTTACATTTATTTCCTTACATAACAGTAAGGTTCGCTTTTTCCATTGATTTCCTTTTTCGGTAATGGAGTTAGCGATTGTGACTGAACCCAACCTTTCTTTGTTGGAATCCACTGCTTGCGTGAGTTCCTTGTAGTTGTTGGGACACAGTGCTGTATTGTGTGGACTTTTACAATGGAAACACAAAGGTTTCCCTTTTTTACAATCACTTGTTGCATGTCCTTTTCGTAAACATTTGAAACATGCAGTGATTTCTCTCAAACGTTCCATCCGGAGTTTGAGAGTGGGATAGATGTTACATTCATTGTTCCAGTGGTCCTTATTGCAAAATACGCATGGTTTCCTTTTCCCATTTATAGAAATTTTTCCTGGAACCTTTTTTGATTTGATTGTATTATCTCCCTTTGTTTGGTTGATTGTGGCGAAAGCTGACGTTTCGCCTCTAACATTATTTTTGTTTGTTTTCTTCTCCCTTGTGTCTGCTTGACTTCTAGCAACTTCTTCATTTCTTAGAACTAGTTTTGTCAGGTACTGCCGGATATCCTTAACTGACCAACTCGTCGAATCCTCTTTCAATTGGTATAATTTATCAATTATCCACGCTGGTAGTTTATTTTCAATTGTAATTTCGATGCTTGAATGCTCTAAATTTTCACCTATAGCTTCCAGTTGTCGAAATGTTCTCTCCATGGCTTCTATGGTTGCTTTCCACTCTCGGTCATTTTTTTTGATGGTATTCAACTCGTTGTAGAGTGATTTCTTTATAAGGAAAGGTTTACCATATTTCTCTTTTAGTAAACCTATTATAACATCGTAGTTTTCTGGCGCTATATCATAACCTCTTACAGATAACAAAGCATCTCCTTTAAGACATGATATCAGATAGTTTAACTTTTGAATATCTGGGATGCTTTGCTCATGGACTGCTGCCTTGAAACTACACCAAAATTGCCTCCACAATTTTGGATCCCCACTAAACGTTATTAGTGGTAATTGAGGAAGTTTTATTTCTGCTTGATTTGTGTGAATCATACTATTCTTTGGAAATGATTCTTTGACCTCTTCTTGTTTTAAATGTTGTAGTACCGAGCAATATTCATCAGTATGTATTTTAAGGGTAATAATAGTTTCTCTTGTTCTAGTGATTAAACTTAAAATACCTTGTGGATCGTCAACCATATTGGCGTATTTCGTCTCCTCTTCCTTTCTCCTCGTTGCTATTGTCAAGCTCTGAATATTATCCAGCCAATTTTGATTAGCTGTTTCGAGTAACCCAGCATAATATTCGAGATGTGCGATCTTCTCCTTGACGATTCGCAATTTAATTTCGTATTGATGCTGAAGTTCCCCTCGTGATAGTGTTTGAGACGGGGAGGTCAGATCGAGTTCACTTGCTTCTTTAAGAAGTTCTAGAGTTCTCGACTTCGATAATTCGCTTCCTTTTCTTATACTGTCGGACATGTCCCGGCTCGTGGCACCAAAATTGTAGTGGAAGCAAAAAAATGTTTTTGGAAACAAACCTTTATGATTTGGTTAAATTGTTATTCGGGGGAGAAGTTTGATGTCAGGGAGATGTGTTGGATGCCAGCTAAATATTTGGGCAACAATTGAATAAAACTGATTCGGAGGATTGGATGATTTTTTTTACTGACCTAATTGACAATAGTATGGTTATAAATCTACATTGATGTTAGACAATGATCGAAACAAAGGAGAGGAGGTGCTTGCATGGGCACCAGTTGCTAATAAAGAGCTTATTAGATAACCGCATGATTATGATAGCTAACAAAGAACAATGTAGATATCCTCATGATTGTAAGGATTGCTAACAAAGAACGATGTAAATTGTTTCAATATGTAGAAGCATAAATTTGGAAACAAAGAGTCCGAAGTATAAGCATTATTTGCGGAAATTACGTAGATATCTTTACTACAATTTGCAACTCATATTTTTAGATCGCGATATTAAAATCCGCGACATCTCATATTGATCATGCGGCAAACTCTACAAATTAAGCTTTCTTTTCATATTTAATAAAAAAAATTTCTTTTCTTTGGACGTTGAAAAGGAATTAATAATCAGAATGTCTATTTAGTAAATTATTTTGACTAAATTGCTACTGGAATGTTCTTGTTTTGCTATTTCTAAATGTATGTGAAATTGATTGGTAATATTAAATCATAATTTTCGATTAGAAATAATTTTAAATTTAATTAAGTATGAGGGATCGTATCATTTTTTATGTTATGCATAATGATAAATGTATAAAAGAAGCATTTTTCTTAAACTATAGTTAAATTATATAGACGACTTTAATCATCTCTTACTTTATTTGAACATTATTAAATATATGTTGAATTTTGCTAAATTTACATTGTATTTGTTGAGATAAAAGTCTCGAAGTGATGCCAAATTGTTAATATTTTCCATTCGATTTACAAAATTTCGCTCATCCTTCGTCATATTCAGTGCTACTAATTGAATAATTTTAATACTTTCAATTTCTTCATTGAGAAATTCCGTCATTGCCGTAATTTCCTCATCTGTACACATCAGAAGCATCCAAAAAGAAAAAATGATTGCAAAAGATATTTTGAGAAACAAAAAACAAGTATATTTTGAATGTATCAAATGCAATATGATATAAAGAGAATTGTATAATCTACAATTTAACTCAGATATTTTTGAAATTTGATCGAAAGCATTCAAATTAACTTTATTTCTCAATAATTCATCGATCGCATCATATTGTGCAATTTGCGCCAATCGATCAATTTTACTGCGAAAGTTTGCATTGATACCAGCAATTGTACGAATTTTTGCAATACATGAATCAACCTTTGATATGAATAATTTCAGTGAATCAGTTGAATTGTGCTGAAATTAAAATTAATTATTATTGCAAATGTTTTTCTTTCTTTTTAACATTGGATAAGTTTGCTTGGAAATTTCTCATTTTCGTCTATTTAATCTATTTCTTGTAACTGTCGTGTAATACTTATAAAATGTATACTTATGTAATACTGTATTATAAGATATATTACTTATAAAATATTACCTTACTATTGAATAGCTGTTAGAAAATTTGTGCTAATAACATGTGTAACATACTTACTTCGTTTCTATTTTCTAAAGTTGAACTTGTAGCGAAAATTGTACACAATAAAAGCATATAACGAAGTGTAACAGTTTTCATCTCTTTGAATTATTTTAAATCACTTCCTCTAATTAAATCCTATATTTGATATTAAAATACACAAAAAGATGATGCCATTAACTGTCATCCGATTAAACAAATTACAAATAGCAAATGATTCAAGCGCACTTTGCAACTAATAATTAAACTAATAAACAAATTACAAATAGCAAATGATTCAAGCGCACTTTGTCACGCGCATTTAAACTAACAGTCCTGTTAATATCCCAATTAATAAGCACTATGTATGATTACAATTATGCAATTCTTGTAAACTACAATTATATCAACAGTACAACAGGAAACTCAAGGCATTGCAAAAGGGCGCTGATCCAGGGCGGGATCGAACCGCCGACCTTCTGCGTGTAAAGCAGATGTGATAACCACTACACCACTGGACCGCTTGTCACATTACAAACATTTATGCATAATGCGATGAAATTTTAAATTGAATATTACCTGTGCTTTCTTATTTGATGTGAGTGTGCATGAAAGTGTAATGAAATATCTGTGTTTTGTGTGCAATCGCTGTTGGCTTATCTTTGCAGCAAAGCTCTCTCTCTCCATGGAGAAAGGCAAGCATTGAGAAGTCATTAGTTTCCAGTAAGAAATGAGTTTGCTTGCATATATAATTTATGATAAAGTCAGCCATATCATATCATAACAAATGTTGTTCCATGTCATATTATAATCATAATAATATCATATCATGTATCATAATAGATATCTTAGAAATCATATCAATTATCATATCATATCTCATCATGACATATCATATCATATCATATCTTATCATGACATATCATATCATACCATAATCCCACTATATCATCGACATCTATGAATTCTATGTCGAACAATATATAATGAAAGAATATAAGATAGAAATAAGTACTGAATAATAACTTTGTAAACTTTATTATTTACTTTTTAGCTTATCTGTTAGCTTATTTAATTCTTTACTGTTCTAATTGTGTCTTTGCTTAACAAATATGAATGAAATTCAAAATCTCTAATGCTAATTCTAATAAAACTTTTTTATTCATTATTGAACAGAAAGCCTAAAGTAATTTCATTGCTTTTTATTCAAATTAGCACAAATGTAACGAATAGCAAAATATTATTAATCAAATTAACTAATAAATAAATAAATAAAAATTTAATTGTAAATAAATGCTATGAAATCAATTATGAACAATTTCACATCCTTTTTTCTGTTATTTCTAACTAAATTCATATTCTTTCTCTTTATAAAAATTAATTTACATGTTCAATCTCTTATCTGATAAGCAATCATATCATAAACCTTACATTGTAATCAGATCCCTTACAATAAACTACTCCACTAACTACCTTTTGTGCTAATCAAACTTCTATATATATTCGAGATTATTATCAAACTGTCACTTCTTACAAAAGTTCTACCAAAGAGACAAAATCCTTCGAATATTTTTTGATTAATTCTGCAACATTGTGTGATATAATTTCCTGAATAGAGCATATTCCGAAATCAGAAATCAAAGATTGAAATACACCCTCTCAGATTATTCCTCTCTCTAAAACAGAAATTCATATCAATCTTCAACCAATATGCAAATTAGTGTCACAAGCTGGGAATACCTACAACAATAATTCTAAGCACACAACCGATAGAAGCTCTTCTGAAGGAAGTCGAAAGGATGGAATGATGTGACATTCATTGTTGGAGCAAATACTGATCAAATGTTGGTCAGAGAAGAGAAGGAGAAACTTTAAGGGATGTGAAATTGATTATATTTGTTTACAATTTGAATGATTTCTTTTACTTATACTTACTGCTTGCAATGAGAAATGATGCTAAAGTGGTTAAGCTAATGAATGGAGTGGTTTAATTAGCTGTAAGCGTTATCAGCACGACTAAGAGTAAGGTTGTACAGCTGTGATAAGTTATCAGTGTTGGGATGAGAATATGATTTGTTAGATTTGTTGTTGCATATACATGGAATGGAGATGAACTAGAACTGTGACAGAATATGATGGATCGAAATGATTCAAATTATCACGCTGAACCGCTGAAATGTAATGCAACGCATGGAAGACCGGTTCCGGTTTCATTCCGAATGATTTATTAAATTTGAAATTGCTAATTCATCTTTTGCATTGTTTTATCAATGGAAATTTATTGTGTGACTTATTTCAAAAATCTTTTTGTTCTGAAATTTACTAAATATTTAGATGTGTAATCGATAAATTTAGACAACAAATATTATCGAAAATATCAGTGAAATTTTCAGATATGCTTTATCAGTTATCAAATGTTTCTTATTTGTAGTTTATTCCATCGAATAAATTTTCATATATTATCAAAGAATAAGTGTAATGTGAATGATTAAATAATAAATATTGAAAAAAAAAATTATTTATTTCAGTAGTTTACAAATTCATTTGTTATTTGTTTTGCATGCAGTAATTTTAATCAGTGCATGTCATTGCATGCTAATTAATTATAGCAGAGATAATTTATTCATTATCAAGGTGAGATGACAAAGACAGTCATCCATGTATAATTTGAAATACTTATTTTGTTGATTGATCAAAATATCAACCTTATAGGTGTGTCAACTAAGTCTAACTAATTTTTTCCCTTCAAAAATAATTCATTCACTTTTTGATTATTTCAATCTTTCCATATGACAAGATGAATATTAGCGCAAATTGTATATAAATTTTAATACGAATTCAAATTGTGCATTTAATCAGTTATAAATACAAGAAAAATAAATCAGAATGAAACTTATCAGTACTGATATTGATTAAAATGATTAAATGAAGGATGATACGGTTATCAGTCTCAGCAGTGATAGGTGTTAATTATAAATAATTGACAATTAGGACATCCATGATGGCATGAAGCAGTAATAATCACTGTCATCGTTATCATTTTGTCATCTTTTTTTCCAACTGCTTTCAGTAATAATTAAATAAATTAACTCTTTCTGCCGCAAGTGGTTTTTTAAATATGAAAATTAAACATTTCATTGATAATATTCACTGATAATTCTTTCATTGATACATAGTTTATTCGATAAAATTATTTTTCAATAGTTAAATTATAAAATTTCAGTCATATTTTGAATTAAAAAAATAAGTAAAATTAAAATAAAATCTTAGCTATTTTATAAACAAAATTAGCTATTGTTGGTTTAATAAATAATTTCAAAACTAATTTAATAAAACTTCCATTTAAAATAATAAAATGAAAGTGCATCAATTTACTCATTTTTTTAATGCCATACAGAAATAAATGAAATTTTGATCATAAATTATCAATATTTTAAATAATATTCAAAAAAATCAATGCTTGAAACACTTTTTTTTTTTTGAATGAATTTCAGCAACGAAAGATTTTGAATAGTTTCCTTCTTTCTATTTCCTTTTAATTAATATAGAAGAAAATAATATAATATTGAAATTGCTACCAAAAAATAATATATTTGAAATATATATATATATGTATATTTTTTTTTGAAATGAATATTCATTACCAATTTATTAATTAATTTAGTTTGTTCATCCTTTTTCTTTGCTCTTTTTAATAATTATACAAAAAAACTTTGCAAGGGCTTTTCAAATTGTCTAAGTCAAACTTTAAAATTTTTATTTATTTTATTTATAATTTTTATTTACATTTTATTCACAGCATTGCCTTTTATTTACTTAGTGCATCTAATTCTGATACAATTAATAATTCTAATTAAATAAATCTAATGAAGCTAAATGACTCAGAAATAAATAAACAAATCTTTTTAATCCAATATTAATTTCATCAATTTCGATCCAACTATTTGCATTTTAAATGAATCAATTCATGCGAGAATGAATTTACACATAAATTATGAATTATACTGAAAACCTGAAAGTGAAGAATAAAAATAATTTAATAATTGATATGATTTTATGAGTATATTCTGGTGCAGTTTTAATATGAAATTAATTTCGCTCTTTTAAATTCAAATTTGAAGTATAATTCAAGTGGACAGAAGAAAAGAGAAAGAGAGAAAAAAGGAGAAAAGATGATGACCAAATGCGAATTCTTTCATTAAAATGAATAAACATTTCAATTATTGATATCAATATTTTAATCAGAATTTCAAATTAAAACAGACAGATGCTCCTGGCATTAGTTTTGAAATAAACAAATATAAAATTTTTTTAAACTTATAATTTCCATTTGTGATAAATCATAAAGTGTTTTGAATTTTATTTAAAAATTTTGCTACCAAAATAAGCAAGTATTGATTGATTGGTTGATTGATAGAGACATATTATCAGCAAAATTATCACAAAAATTATTTGAAATTACCATTTTCTTTAATAAACTTAATTCATCCTCTTTAATGAGTAATTATGTTTTAAGTTAATCTACCATAATTATCTTTAAGCATAATACTTTAAGAATTTTAAAGTAGGCATTCACTCTTAACTAAAGTTTGTAAAAGAGTAGATAAGAATTAAGTATGGAAGAGGGGAGATAATTATTTTTACTTTGCCATTTTGAAATGATATTTGAAGTGAATACTTTCCTTAGGGATTATGTAAGAAAGCGCTTTTGTCTTCTTTCTCCTAAATGAATTGAAATGAAAAAAGCATTTTTTTTCTTTTTAAATCTTATATTTGATAATTTTAGCAAATTAAAAAATAAATTAAACTTTTTAAGCTAAATTCTATTTTGATAATTTGCCTTCATCCATTTTTTTTTTTTGCTTCCTATCATTTGAATATTTTATTTTTATTCGAAATTTTAATCAAAAAATCATTCACTCATTGCTTTCCTTTCTTTAATGAAAAGTAAAAGGAAATTTTGTTTATTTATTATAATTTATAATACACTAACATTTGCTTAAAAAAAATTTATATAAAATATCAGAAATATCATAATTATGCTAATTTCAATGCTTACTTATTTATCATAATAACACATTTTATAATCAACAAAATTCATGAAATTAAAATTAATCAATAACTTAGATTTTTTCAGCTAAGACAAATGTTTTCTTCTCAAAATTTAAAAAATCCTAATTATGTTAAATGATTAAATTAACTTAACTCATTTTTTCAGAAAAAAAAAAAATTTGTTATTATAATACAATGACGAAAGATTTTTTTCTTGAATTTATTGAAATTATAATGAAATTTTTCCATTAAATAGCAAATTTATTCCAAATTAATTCATTTAATACCACTTTATCAAATCTTTTATCACACTTTAAACATTTGCAACTTTTCAAAATTTTTATATCTTAGATTATATTTGTAATTTAACACTGTTATCACAATTAAGTTATCATATCTCTTATCTTCACAATATTTACTACTATTTGTTAATTAATTTCAAGAAAATAGTAATTCATGTTCTTTTCCATTTTTTATTATTAATTTTTATTTCAATGTGATTTTTGTTTACAAATTGTCACTCATACAATATATTCACATAGTGACTGTTAGGCTTAATTTTATTAAATTTTATATTTAATTTTATTAAATTTTAATCCTTCTAAACCATCAACTTATCAGTTCAATGCATATGCATTTCTAATTGACAAAAACAAAAACTTTCAATCAAAGAAGAAAGAAATTCACTTATTTACAATCCTTAAAGTTTTATTGGTTTTTAATTTTAGAGTTAAAAAAAGAAAAAAAGCTATGAGTGCACAAAAGTGCATAGAAGTTATTTGTTTAGCATTAGTTATAAGATTGCAGTGTGCAAGTTTCACTGCATGCATGCAAGTTAAATTTGCAAGTCAAAAAAAAAAGTTGGCATTTGCTGATAATAACCGTACAAATTGTTATCATTTCAATCATTTTATCATATTTAATTTAATTATTTCAGTCCAATTTTTATATAAATTAATAAATTTTTTTGAAAATGAATGAATTAATAAGAAAATAAATGGAAATTTCTTTTCCTATTAAATAGCTAAATTACAAAAAAAAATAAAATAAATCTAAGAATTTTTGGTTAATAAACAATTTTCTATTTTTTACTCATTTTTCTCTCCTTCTCTCTCTCTCTCTTACTTCCATTCTTTTATTATTGGGTAATATTTCTATATTTCTGTAACATCACTACTAACGAGCAATATTTCTATGATTGTATTTTTCTTTTCCTTTTTCTTTCTCATTCTTTTCCATTTTATTCTTTAATGAAAATTTATATTAAAAATTCAATTACTTATCGAATTCATTAACTTTCATTTTCCTTTTTTTGTAACTTTAGATTGATATATATTCTTGTTAATTTGTCTAACAAATTTATTTCATACATAATAATTCGTTTACTTAAATTAATCAGTTCAATTTCAATTCCAATTTCGATTTCAATTTCATAGCTGTTTTCTTGCTTTTACCACAAAAGACTGTTTTAATGAGTCCAAGAAATTAATTACCAAATAATTGAGCGATCACACAGACTTAATTGTTTCGCTCATTTCTTAATTTAAAATTAACTTAAGCAAATTTAAATTTATTCACTCAATTTTGCATCATTCATTTTTTCTCATCAAAAAAAAAAAAAAAAAAAAAGGAATTTTTAAAAAATATAAAAAGAGAAAATGCAGTTTTGTTATAAGAAAAAGATTATACTTACTTATATTCTTCATCTCATAACTTAGATATTTACTTTAAATATTGAAGTAGACGGATTAGATGTATTTACCATTTCAAATGCAAATTTTCATCTCAAATAGTAACAATTTTTAGTGAAAATAATCTCTTTGTCACATATTTTTCTATGCTATTATGGTTGCAATTTTATCTGAATTTCTTATTTATATCATTCTAATTTACAAAATTATTTCTGCAAAAGAAGGTTTGTTCAATTAATTAAATGCAAAATTAATGAAAAATTTTTGTTAAAAAAATAGCTATGATATTTTAGTTTTATTTTTAGGTTAAAAATAACAAAATTTTAGATAATAAAAGAAATTTAATCGAAAATGCATTTTACAAGTATTCAGACTATTCCTTCAATCAAACATTTACACATTTAATAAAAAAAAAAAATTATAAAATTTTATACATTTCACATATTTAATTCAAATGAGAGATTTTTCTATAATATTTATTGAAGCAAAAAAAAAAAAAAAAAAAAACTTTTTTTATTAGTTTTTGATGGCGAAGTGCAGAATGTAGGCGGTGGAGAGGCGCAAAAGAATGATTATCCATTACCGCTTTCCAGTAATTTATACGGTAAACGCGTCAATTACGGTATGTATTTAATATCTATTTAGTTAATTTGTTAAAATTAAACAAAAATTTCAATAAAATTTTAAATAAAATTTGAATAATAAATAAAAATTTATCAAAGGAAAAAAAACTAAAATTAAATTATTTAAATTTAGAGAAAAATTCTAATAAACCTAAAAGTAATTACATGCATACATACATACATACATACACAAACATACATACACAGACACATACACACAGACACATACACAGATATACAAACATTTATGCAGTAAACATAAAATTTAAAGCTTGGAAATGGGAAATCCTTAATTCGATGCATCATTAAATCAGCTAAAAAAATAATTAAATTCAGATGTGATAATGATAATAAATTTGCTTTTCAGTTTTAATGCCTTTGATGGGAGGAATGTATGGCAAAAGAGCTCATAGTGATATCTATGATAAGTCTTATCAGCCATTATCATTATCAGCAGCAGATGAATACAACAATAAACGTTTATCATTGCTATCAAAGATTATACACAAAGAGAATGGTTATTAGATTTGGAAAACTTTTTTTTGAAAAAATATTTTTTGTCATTTAATTTTATTAATTAAAATAATTATTGTCATATATTTAGATATTATTAACATTGTGGCATTTTAGATATGGCACAGTTCAATCCATTATCACATTATCATATCAATGAAAAAGTTGGACATTCACCATATCAGACATTACGACAGCATTATCAGTTAGAGGATGATAACAATGATTACTACAATCAGATAAATGATAATTCACATCTTCTTCAATTATTACTCAAATTAAGATCGCTGCTAATGAATGATGAATTTAATAATTGAAATGTAAATTAAAGTGGTATTTGGCTTTCATTGTTGCATTACTGAAAGAAAGCACTCATTTGCATATATTAAGTATTTAATTAAATATTAGAAAAAAGAAAGCAAAAAGTTAATTAGTTTTCTCTTTGTTTGCTAATTACGAAAGCTATTCATTATTATTTACAATCTTTTCATGAAATCACTTTAATTTATAATATTGAATTAAAAGAAAGTTTTCTAAATTGCAACTTTTTAAGAAATGAATTTCATTAAAATGAATTCCATGTTGTATCATTAATTTCTAATTTTTTAAACTCAGAACTCAGTACAGCAAATTTTTCATAGTTTAAATTTCAAAGTCATTCTGTCATCAATAAAAGCATAAATTACAGATTACAGTACAAATAGATGCTTGCTTATATGTTTGAAACTGTTTTAAATTCGAAAATGAAATCATTTGGAGGAATAATTTGAAATGATTTAATTAGAAATTATCCTAAAAATATTCGATATATCAATTATTATTTTAATATTATTTTGTCTTTTTTTCTTTCATAAATTTATTAATGCTATTTTTTGCATGTAATATGAAAAATTTTAGCATAAAATTTAGGAAATAAATTTTTTCAAATTTCATAAAAATCAATAAAATTTGTTAATGGCATAATTTTGACGGTTGGCATGCAGTCGTTCACATTTTTCATATTTTCATTGCTAGCAAATATACATTTCGCAGGTTTTTTTCATTTATTTAAACTTATATATGTGTGTAAATATTAGAAAATAAAATTTTAGAAAATTAAAAAACGAAATTTTTTTTTTTTTTGTAATTTTAATGTGACTAATAAAATAATGAATAAAATTAATTTTGATAGTACAAAAAACTTTAGGTTTTATATGAACTGAAAAATTTGAAATTAAAGAAAGTTAATAATCTTTGAAGTTTGAAATTGAGGAAAGTTAATAATCCTTTTGATGCAAAGAAAATAAGCTAATAATTTCAATGTCATTAATTAATTTTAAAGAGAGTGTTGTTTGCATTCCACCAAGTGTACCAGCAAAAGATAACCAAGGTGTTGAATGTTGCAGACTACCTTCGGTATTTACTAATTACTTTCAGTTTAATCTTTTAACAAATAGAGAGAGAAAGAGAGAGAGAGGAAGAGAGAGGGAGAAAGAGAAAAGGTAAACAATTATGATCTCTTTCTAATTATCTTCCAAAATTAGCCACAAACTTTTCTATTATTAAATAATTTCTCTATAAACATTATATATTACTACTGTTGTTTTTGAGAAGTAATAATTAAATTCTAAAATTTAAATTTCCTTCTTTTTTTTTCTATTATTTCTCTTTGCATTTACATAAATAAAACTTTTTAGGAACAAAACATTCTTTTGAAATATGAAATTTCTTTTTATAAATAAAAATTTTATAGGAAATATTTCCTCATAAAGTAATTTATGAGGAATTTTGCAACACAGTTTATTTTGGTGTCATGGCGGATGGTCCAAATGGTCGATTTTGTCGATTGAGTAGCATCCAACTGAGACGTACTTTCTTTATAATTCATTTTCACTTCATTTTCTTATCTTTATCATATCAGTTGATAAGCGATCTCGATAATGTCATTATTTGACTCCACTATCATATCTTTATCATATCAGTTGATAAGCGATCTCGATAATGTCATCATTCGACTCCACTATCATATCTTTATCATATCAGTTGATAAGCGATCTCGATAATGCCATCATTTAACTCCACTATCATATCTTTATCATATCAGTTGATAAACGATCTCGATAATGTCATTATTTGACTCCACTATCATATCTTTATCATATCAGTTGATAAGCGATCTCGATAATGTCATCATTTGACTCCACTATCATATCCTTATCATATCAGTTGATAACTAATCTTCCTAATAATTTCACCATTTTACTTCACTACCTTATAATTAATTGTAATTAATCATCTTAGCAATTCCATCATTTTACTTCACTATCATGCCTTTATCATATCAGTTGATAAGTAACCCTGTAACTTCACCATTTTATTTTTGATAAGTGACTTAAATAAAATTACACAGCAAATATTCCAAAATTTTGCAATGATTTCTACATTTTTCGGTGTAATATATCATAAATTTAAATTTCAAAATGATATTTGCATACATTTATGTCAATCAAAATTATCAAATGTTTTTTTAATGAGAGATCAAAAAAAATTTAGTAAAATTATAGCACTGTAGAAGAAATTCTTGTTTTTTATCCAGAAAAAAAAACTAAAACATTTAATTTGAAATTACAATTTCTTTCCTTCTTTGATTTTATTCTCTCTCGCCCTTTCTCTCTCCCTCTCTCTATTAGTATCATTTATAAAATTTCGAAAGTAGCAATAACTTTTAGATTTTTAACATATTGTTTTTTTTTTGTAGTTTATATATGTATTTTAAAATAATGATAAAATGAAAGAATTATTTTAATATATTTTTTAGAATCGGTGGAGTGTGACTCTGGATGGGTTAAATTTTTCGAAGGATTTAATCAATTTTGCTATAAAGCAGTATATTCTCTCTTTTTTTTTAAAAAAAAAAAAAAAAGGAAAAACAAAATTTTCTTTTGCAATATTTTTCTTTTCTTTTTAGCATAAATTAAGAAATTATAAAAAAATAAAAATAAAAATTTGGAAGGAATTAATTTCAAAAACAATAATAAATCAAAAGTATTGCATTTATTTAATTAATTCAGTTAATGAATTATTATAAAAGAAATTTAAGCAATTTAAAAACAAAATTTTTCTTATTTTCTTGCAAATTATTAATATTATTATTATATGAATGAAATAATTATCAGTCAAATAATTACAAAAAGCAAATAATCAAATTAATTAATAATATTAATTAATTTAATTATTTCATTTCGAATTATACAATAATTTTTTATTCATTCAATTTTATTAAATTTTAGTTTTCCATCAAAAATGAAACATTCGATATAGCAAATAAGGCAATCGGTGATCCATGTGAAAATGAAAGGAAGTCGGCGAGGCTTGTGCGAATACCAAATCAAAGCATTAATATGTTTCTTTATGGTTTGTAGTTCGATTTGGGATTTTAAGTTAAAATATCTCATAAATTTTACTTAAATACTTATTTCTTTTTTTATTTATATTAATTTTGCTATTTGTTATATTTCAAATTAAAGTATGCAAAAAAAAAAAGTAATTGAAATATTTGTTTGCATTTGCATTTATTACAATTTTTGCTCTTTGTTAGAAAATTTTAAAAATTATTTAGGATAAAAAATTAGAAATTTTATTTAAATATTTAGCTTAGAAATTTTTAGCTCTCTTTGTGTGATTATGTAAATTTTGCTCTTTATTATAATTAAAAATTATTTTTTTACCTAAATATTTAACTTATTTATTTAATTCCCTTCGGCTTTGTATAAATTTTTTTTATTTACTACATTTAGAAATTATTTACAGTTAACAATTAATTAATTAACAATATTTATTGATTGTTTCTTTTTTTTTTTTTTTTAAGTGAAAGTATTAAATGGTGCACAAAATTTATCATGTTTTACAACGGATGAAAATACTTATTATTACTACATTGGCTTATACAGGCTTGTTTATCTTTAGTAAATAAAAATTGTTTATGAAAAAAAAAATTTAAAAATTTACATAAACATTTTTAGAATAATTTGCAAATTGCCTCAAATTTTTTATGAACATTGTTTACTAATCAAATTGCATTTTATTAGTTATTTTAAATTTTAGCTGCGTAATTTAGTATTAAATAAAATTATTGCTAATTGAACTATGATAATTTAATTTTATCATTATCATTCTTATTGTTATATTATCAGCAACACTTTATAAATATGATAAAATCATTGGAAAAATTCAAAAAAAAAAAAAAAAAAAGGAGAAAGTATAACATAAGTTAATCACAAAAATTATATATTTCGAATCTTTCTTTAAACTAAAAATTAAAAATAACAAAAACTAATTAATCGCATAACTAATTTCTTTGTCTTTGCTATTTTCAGAAAAGATTTCGACTGGCGGTGGTATGCTTATCACGAAAAAGCTTACTCACATTTGGAAGAACAGGGACAAATTCTGTTGGATTATTTGAATTCACCACGACCACAACACGTTTGGTCTGATGGAACAGAAATTTTTGCGAAGGGTTGGAATGATATCAATGATATCACCACGAATGTTATCATTTCTAATTGTTGGTTTAGTGATGGTTGATAATTTAATTCAATTTTAATAAAAAAATCTTAATTATAGACATAATTAATTAATAGAATTAAATTGATTTTGAATTAATAAAATTAATGAAAAATCTTAATAGAAATAATAGAATTTCTTTTTTCTAATATTATAAGAGTTTTTTTTTTTTTTTTTTTTTTTTAAAACATATTTGTCGTTTTTTTTTCTTTTAATTCATTTTTTTAATGAATAAATTAACTGAAATTAAATACAATCATAGAAAGTAATTGTTTTTTCTTTTTTGTATTATACATAGGAAATAGGCTTGAAAAAAAGCTATAATATCAGAAAATAATTTTATTAATTTTTTAATTTTTAATTTCATTAAAAAAAGCTGCAACAATAAATTTGGTTTAATTACTGAAAAGTTAAATTAATAATAAAAAACAGAATAATGAATTTAAGTTAATTAATAAAAATTAATGAAAACAGCTAATACAAATACCACATTTTACATTTCTTAATTAAAATAGAAATTATAGGTGGGATGTGGCGCGATGTCAATAATTCTCGAACAAATTTTAAGCATGGCAAAAAACTTGTGCCAAATCAAGGCTTTATTTGTGCTTATCATGTGTGATAACAGTAATTCAAGTGATTATTTATCATCTTTTCTCGACAGTGATAATCGTTAACAGTGATAATGTTTATTTGAATAATTATATTTTGTGATTAATTTACAAAAATAATGTTATACCATTATTAAAATGATTAATAAAGTATAAAAATAAAACAAAAAAAAAAATTCTCATTAAAATTTTATTAAACTTTTTCTTTGCTAAGCCAATTTACTAAAGTTTTATCTTTGCTAGGCTTTTTTTTTTTTTCAAAATAAATGAATTCTTGAATGGGCAATACTTTTATCCATGTTTTCATCCTTCAACTATTAGTGTATATATAATTTATTTTTTCTTTTTTAATTATTTTCCATCCTAAAATTTTATTCGAATTATCAAAGCTTTAAATATTATTTATCAAATTATTCATTTTTCATATAATCATTAAAATTATTGAAAATGTGACATCTGCTTTTGTGTTTTTTTTTTTTTTTAAGTTATAAAATTAACTATGAATTCTTTCAGTTACTTATTCAAACTATTTTAATTTCTAAATGTTCAAAAAAAAATTTCAATTATTTTTTTATAATTTATCGAAAATGTTTTGACTATTTGGTTCACTTCATTGCTATATTTCCAACTAACACTGAATTTCCAAATTAATAAAAAAAAATTTTTTTCTTTTTTCAGTTAATTTTAAATTTTTTGAAACTTCATAGATTTCATAGAAAAACCAATTTCTAATTTTCTAAAACCTTAAAAAAAAAATGAGATATTTTTAAAAAAAAATTTTCAATTTCTGCTGATTTATTTGAAAATTGGAAATTTCATACTCAATATTAATTCATTTTACTGATTTGAATTTTTCATTTATCAAATCTTGAAAGAAATCAGTTTCAATAGTAATTGTCTGAATTTTATTTCAAATCACATTTTAATTTCGAGTTACTAATTAAAGTATTTATTACAGGTAACACAGGTACAGGTAAATTACAGGTAATACAGGTACAGATAAATTACAGGTAACACAGGTAGCATACATATATTCCATTTTTATTTTATTTACTGCATGCTTTTTTTGCTTGTTTCAAACTATGTAATTAATATTTTGAGGTAAATAAGCAATAATATAGTTCAAAATGTTTTTTTTTTTTTGTTTTCAAATTTCTAAATTATTATTTTTTTGCTCAAAAAAAAAAAAAAAACAAATCTTTTTTTAATAATTTATTGAACAATTTCTAATCTCTAAATTATATTCCTTAAATCTTTCAAATTTTTTATAATTTTTGATTATTCCTTTTTTTTTTTTTGAATAAAAACTTATATTTGTAGTATAATTATTATAAAATTGCATTTTAATTTTGCATAAATTAAAGAAATTTAATAGTAATTTTAAAGAAATGATTGAGCTTATAAAGGTTGCAAATTGCTTTGCGCAATTTCATTTCTGCGTCGATATGTCGTCCACGACTGTTCCCGAAGCTGGTGAAGCTGTTCAGGAGGAGAATGATAATAATGATATTGAATATGTTGAAGTATTATCATTTCATTTCTTATCACTTATTTATCATTTGATTAATTTAAACTAAGAAATGCCAATATCATTTATTTTATCTTTCTTATCAGTTCATATCACATCTGTAATTATTTACTATCATTTCAAATTATGCTAATTTGCTTTAAGAATTATTAATATGTAAAATAAGAATAAATCAAGTGCTCAAATAGTATTAATTAAAAGTGATAAGCATATTTTGAAATGTTTTCTGCTATATTTGTAAATATTTTTTTTAAAAAAAAAACTTTACTTTAAATTTTTGAAAAAGCTTTCAAATTTTAGGTTGATGCAAGTACCAAAGAACTTGATTTAACGCGGCATCGAATTAAAAAGATTGAAGGATTTGACTTTTTGCACAGCATCGAACATTTGTGTTTACGTTGGAATTTAATTAAAAAAATTGAAAATTTGCATATGCTTGTTACACTCACTGAACTTGACCTTTATGATAATCAGGTCTTTGTGTTATTTTAGGTTTTTATATTATTAATTAAGTTTAATATTAATTTAGTTCAATTTTCCCTTTTCTTTTCCTTCTTTTAATTTTCAAATTTTAAATCTTTTAAAATAGTAATAAAATAATAGCAGCAGCAAGCAGAAAAAAAAATAATATTTATCACATTGGTAAAGAGAAATTTGCATAAATTTTAGATTACTAAAATTGAAAATCTCGATGAATTGGTTAATTTGGAATCATTGGATTTATCATTTAATCGTATTACAGTGCTGGAAAATTTGTCAGCATTGAAAAAGCTTAAAAATGCGTATTTTGTTCATAATAAAATTCGAAAAATTGAAGGACTTGATGAGGTAAAATAATTGAAAACTTTTTCTTTCAATCATAATTTATATTCATTTTCAATTTTGTTTGTTTTTTGTTGAAAATTTAACAAAATTTGAGGAAATGATTGATTATTTTCAGCTCACTGAATTGGAATATTTGGAACTTGGCGATAATCAAATTAAAAAAATTGAAAATCTTTCAAAAAATACCAAAATTAAACGATTATTTCTGGGTGCTAATCAAATTGCTAATATTGAAAATTTAGATTTATTAAATGACATTGAAGTGCTCAGTCTTCCAGCTAATGCTATTCAAGAAATTAAGGTGACAATTTAAAAAAGAATAAAAATAAGAGACTGAAACGATTTTAATTTCTATTTTTAGATTTTACAGGTAAATTTTTACTAATTTTTAAGCTTTGAAATTTAACAAAGCCATTTTATTCGAGATTTTAGGCAAATTTCAGAATATTTTTGTATTAGCTTTGATTTGCTCAAAGTAAAAAAAAAAAAATAAAAAAATTGGCGAGAAGCGATTGTACGAAGCATTCAACGACAGATCAAAATTTAAATTAAAAAACCATCTAATTAAACATATTTGAATTGAAATACTACCAATATTCTATTTACAAAAAAGGAAATAATTTTCTTTTGCAATGCTTTTTGAATTTTGAATTCTTTTTCATTTTATTTTATCAATTAATTTATAAGAATTGCAATTGGCATTCAGTTTTTAGTATTTTCCACTGAAATAATACCTTGAAATAATTCATAAAAATAAAGTACTTAAATTGTTTTTAGGGTTTAAATAACCTAAAAGCACTTCGAGAGTTATATCTGTCACAAAATGGCGTCAAATGTATCACTGGCCTAGAAAATAATACAAATTTGGAAATTCTTGATTTAAATTACAATCGACTGATTTCCATTTCAAATATTGATCATCTTCAAAAACTTACCGATTTTTGGGCTAAAAAAAACAATGTTTGCTAATTTTACCATAAATTATTATTCGTTTTTTTTTTTTGTATGAATAGATGATTACTTCAAATTAAAATTGAATTTATATTCTTAATTAAAAATATTGATGTAAAACGTATATGTTTGAATTTTTTGAAAAAGATGGATAAAATTAATTTCATTTTTTAAAAAATTTAAACAAAATTTGAACACACATTTATTTATTATATATACATAAATAAATTATAATTCTTGTTTACATTAAATTAAAAAATATTAAAGCAATGAAATTATTTCATTTATTTAAATTATTATTTCAATTACCTAATTTGATTATATTTAGATTAAAAAATAAAGCTATTTCAGTCATTCAAATTATTACAAATTTTCCAAATGGAATTATTTGGTTCAATATGTAAATATATATTTACTTACCTAACAATAAATTTAGCTCGCTAAAATGTCTGATGTACTTGAATTGATTAAATTACCAAATTTGAAATTAATTTATTTGGAAATGAATCCACTCGCTGAATGTGGCACATATCGAAGTAAAATAATTCATATGTTACCACAAATAGAGAAACTTGATGCAACTTATTGTCGCATTGGTTAGTTGTTTACTCTTCTTTTATTTGTTCAATTTGTTTACTTTTAATTTGTTTACTTTTAGCATTCTTTTTTTTTGATTCGTAAATATTAATTTTTCTTTTTATTATCTTTAATTTGAATATTTTCTTTCTTATTTTGACATTTTTAATTTTATTTTTGCTTAATTTTTGAATTTTCAGGAAAGAGAAATTGGTGACTGTCGCAGATGAGCGAAACAATCAAAGAGAAATTAATAATTTCAATTCTTTTTTCTTTTTTGTCACTGATATACAAAGCAAATAATTTTTCTTTTTTTTTGCAAAAAATAAAATAAAATAAAATTTTCATTACTAAAACAAAGAATTACACTAATGGAAATGTAAAATATAAATTATTGAAATGGCATATAAAATGAAAATTTTTGAATTATTTAATTATTATTACTGTAATCTTTTTTTTGCGCACAAAAATAAATAAATAAATAAACAATTTCAATTCAAAATTTTTTCAAATAACGAAGCCATTTTTAACAAATATTAAATTATTTTTAAAACTTTTCTAACAAAATCTATTTAGCATATTTTATTTGAATCATTTTTATAAAATTGTAGCAAAATTGTCTGGAATTTTATTACAGTTATACAGTACAAATATTTAATTTTATCACACAATTCGATTTCTTTTTTGGTTTAAAATTTAATTTTACATTCAAATATTTTTTGCTTTATAGCAAAAAAGAAAGAAAAATTTACGCCAATTGTTTACATTTCACACCAAGCATTTTCCGCTCGAATCTAAACAAAATTTAATTTTAATAGTTTAGAAAAATTTATAATAATTTTTTTTTGTACTAACTTTAAGACAAAACTAATAATCAATAAAGGGAATATTTTTAAATTTGACATTTTTTATGTTTCATAAAATTTAATTTAGATTTTGATTTTTTTTTTTGTTTTTTTTTTAGTAATATTTTGAGAAAAAAAAAAGAAAAAGTTATTTCTTTATTTTACTTTTTAACACTTACACGCGCTTCTTCTTCGGGAGTAAAATCATTTTCAATATTAAAAAAGGCTCTTAACTCTTCCACCGTCTTTCCTTTGATATGATTCGAGATCGTTTTGCAGCCAGATGAGAGTAAATCGCTGACATCCAAGTAATTTGCTGCCTTAAATTTATATTTTAATTTTAACATAATTTTCCAATTTTTCAAGAAGAATTTAACAGATTATAAGCAAAGTTTAATTTGAATATTTTTAAAAGCCTTTTGCTAACCTGTACAAGCTCGAACAATTCCTTATTGTCCGGCAAAGCAAGAAAATTTTGTCGCCAAACCCTTTCCTCCTCTGATTTAGCTGCTTCAACTGTGAGATGTGCTTGATGTGTGCACCATTCGAGAACCTTTAAAAATAGAAAATAACACTAAAGTATTTCATTTATATTTATAACAAACAAAAAATAATTTTAAGTAAAATTTCTCATTTATTATTTGTTCAAATTTTGTTGCATATAATCACAATTTCATTTATTTATTTTCTTGAAATATATATATTTTTTTTCTTTCGTTCTTAATTTTTGTATGTATTTCAAATGGAAATTTAGTTTAAAGTTTTTTGGAAGGATACAAAGAAAAGTTAAAAATTATTATCATGAAATTTAAAATTTCATAAATTTAATACACAATGCGTAAATTGAAAAGTTATAAATTGAAAGCAAAATCCTGAAATTCCTGAAATGCTTTGAAGGTAGAATAATTCCGGACGAACAAATTGTGTTAATTAATTACGGAAATAAATAAATGCTCCTAAAATAAGTTTGCTTGAGTTAAATACTATTTTATTACACACAAAATTTTATGAAATATTAAAATTAGACTTTTTTCTTTTTTTTTTATTTCCATAATTAACGATATTACTTACGGAAAATTGCTGTACACTACTTCACGTCATTTTTTATTGCATATCTATGAAATTTGTGTAATAATCACTTAGTAGGTAAGATACTTATTTACCTGTCACCATTTACTTGTCACCATCTACCTGTCATCATTACCTGTCACCATCTACCTGTCACCATCTACCTGTCATCATCTACCTGTCATCATTACCTGTCACCATTTACTTGTCACCATCTACCTGTCATCATTACCTGTCACCATCTACCTTTCACCATCCACCTGTCATCATTACCTGTCACCATTTACTTGTCACCATCTACCTGTCATCATTACCTGTCACCATCTACCTTTCACCATCTACCTGTCATCATTACCTGTCACCATCTACCTTTCACCATCTACCTGTCATCATTACCTGTCACCATCTACCTTCACATCTACTGTCATCTACCTGTCATCATTACCTGTCACCATTTTACCTGTCATCATCTACCTGTCATCATTACCTGTCATCATTACCTGTCACCATCTACCTGTCATCATTACCTGTCACCATCTACCTGTCATCATCTACCTGTCATCATTACCTGTCACCATCTACCTGTCATCATCTACCTGTCATCATTACCTGTCACCATTTACTTGTCACCATCTACCTGTCATCATTACCTGTCACCATCTACCTGTCACCATCTACCTGTCATCATTACCTGTCACCATCTACCTGTCACCATCCACCTGTCATCATCTACCTGTCATCATTACCTGTCACCATCTACCTGTCACCATCTACCTGTCATCATTACCTGTCACCATCTACCTTTCACCATCTACCTGTCATCATTACCTGTCACCATCTACCTTTCACCATCTACCTGTCATCATTACCTGTCACCATCTACCTTGTCACCATCTACCTGTCATCATTACCTGTCACCATTTACTTGTCACCATCTACCTGTCATCATTACCTGTCACCATTTACTTGTCACCATCTACCTGTCATCATTACCTGTCACCATCTACCTGTCACCATTACTTGTCACCATCTACCCGTCATCATTACCTATCACCATCTACCTGTTACCATCTACCTGTCATCATCTACCTTTCACCATCCACCTGTCATCATTACCTGTCACCATCTACCTTTCACCATCTACCTGTCATCATTACCTGTCACCATCTACCTTTCACCATCTACCTGTCATCATTACCTGTCACCATTTACTTGTCACCATCTACCTGTCATCATTACCTGTCACCATCTACCTGTCATCATTTACCTGTCATCATCTACCTTTCATCACTACCTGTCACCATCTACCTGTCATCATTACCTATCACCATCTACCTGTCACCATCTACCTGTCATCATCTACCTGTCACCATCCACCTGTCATCATTTACCTGTCCTAATCATACGCTATCATAAGACTCAAAAATTAAATTTACTAAATATTAATGAAATAATAGATAATTATAGATATTAAAACGTTTTCTTTTCTCATGAATTAATGATGTGATATTAATTAATTTATGGATTTAATGTTTTGTGCTTTTTTTTTTTTAATAAAACAGTTCGACTGATATTATTCTTTTCTCAACCAAATTTAATTAAAATGATAAAGATTTAAAAAGTAAAAATTTGAGTAAAAATTCACTAAAACATATGAAACTGAAAATTGATTGTATTATTTTTCAATTTACTAATTGCTACTTGTTTCGATGTTATCTAGTAGCAATACTGAAATGTAATTAATTAATTTCAATACAGAATAATTAATATTTGCAAAAAAATTTTTCTCGTTTTATTATAAGTTTACAAAAAGTACCTTTTTAATAGTTTTAGCAGGTAATTCAATAGGTAAGTCAAAAGCTGGCTGTGATTCATCAACTTGATCGATTAGTAAATCTAAATTTTCGCTGATAGAAATGAAAAGCATTTATTATTTAATTTTTTTCTAAAACTTATTTGCAATTCAAATATTATTAATCTAAAATGGAAAAGCAAATAAAATTTTTTTCTTAAATTTCAAATAAAAAAAAAAAAGTTTACAATTGTAAACATATAAAAACACTTTTTTATATATAAAATTAAAAAAAAAAAAAACTTTTTCTTTTTTAAAAAAGACAAAGCAATTTCTGCCTGTTAACATATTTTTGATAGTTTTTGACTGTGATATAACATCCATATCAACAGTTATCTTTTCTCCATCCAGTGATAATAAATTGATACTTCGCTTATCAGATTGTGTGATATCAGTTTCAGACTAAAAATTTTATTTCAATTAAACAATGTGAATCTCTTCGTTTTCAATCTTAAATAATTTTATTTTTAATTAAATGTTAGGGTTTGTAAATTGGAAAGCAATTGATAAAATCACTGTTTGCCACATAATTTTGATTTTTACGATTTAGAGTTGGCATAAGATGAGAGTATTTAATTTTAAATATAAAATTTAAATTAAATCTAATATTATAATCCTATTACGTTGCTATTTTAATAGCTTACCGTCATGGCTGATAAAAAAAAAAACAGAAAAACAGAGAATGTTTTGTTGAAAAGAACCGCACAATACGATTTAATTTGCGAATAATAATTACAAATAGTTAATAATTCGATTTTATTAACAATTCAAAAATATGCAAATTAAATTAATATTATTAAACATTTACATAATTTACAAGTTTCAATGCATGGTAATAATAATAAATCAAAAAAGAGAGAGGAAAAATTGGTATTTTACAATTTTTGATTACAAATAAAATTACAAATAAATAATACAAAAAATTATTTTACTAATATAATTGCAAATTTTACTTTTAAAATTTATTTCCATCAAATAAGTGATTTGCTTTGTTTTGCACAAATCAATGTTTATAAAATTATTATAAATTATGCCAATTTTATCAGAATGATATATTACTCCTGTTATCACTATCATTTGTATCACTTCTTGCTCGCATATCAATAATCGTTATCTGTGATGCTCTAAGACCTTCAGGTGTTCCTGGATTATGGATACCTTTCTCGTGGTACCAAATAAAATTGCTGACTTTGCCAGGTTGCACAAGGGCAGGTGACAATGACTGCTTTCGAATTAGAAATGGTTTCTCTGGTAACATTCCGTGCTGTGTTCTCGGTGAAATGGAACGTGACTTATATAATCGATGCTAGAAGTAGGAAGGAAGAGAGAAATTTGCATAAAATTCATTAATTTATCTGAACTTTTGTCTAAATATCAGTCTATCACAATGATAAACTGATATTGATATTTCATTTAGAGTGATAAAATGATTATCATTATCATTATTATTATTATTATATACTTTCTCTCTCTCTCTCTTAATGAGTAATATTTTAGTAAATTGTTAAAATGAAATAAAATAATTTTGGCAATAATATTGGAAAAAGCTTTTTGCATTTTGCTCATTTCAACAATGATAAAAAAACTTTTTTTTTTCTTTTTTCCCCTTTATCATAAGCAAATTTTCTTTTCTTTTTTGAAAAAATATATTTTAAATAATTTTTAGTATTCGAATAATTAATTTTAGTTATAAAATAATCATTGAATGAATTAATATTCAAACGAATCAATTTAAGATGAATATGTGCTGACTGATAATTGATAACTGATAATCATTTATGATAAATTTTTAATTTCATGTGTTTATATAGGTTATTTCAGATTAAATTAACATTAATTAATACTAACAGTTCTATTTATTGATGAAATGAGAGAGAGAGGGAGAGGGAGAAAAGATAATGAACTGTTTGTAGTGGTGCAGTGCTGATTATTAGCTGATATCATTGATTTGCTTTAGTTGTTGTTTAATGCAAATAAAATAATCAATAACTGAAGCAATGATAATAATTAGAATTGCTTTTATCAAAGTATAATTAGGATTATTTTATCAACATTTTATCAAAGTGCTATGTATAATTAGGATTATTTTATCAACATTTTATCAAAGTGCTATGTATAATTAAAAAACTGTGATAACAAATTATGTTAATAAAAAAAAAAAAAATTTCTGTTTTTTGTATATTTTTGTAAAAAAGGTGCAGCAGATAAAATTGTAAGTTAATTATATTAATGTGAACAATAATAATTGCAGCAGTAGTAACTGCGACATTTTCTGCATGTGAATAATAACTGCGACATTTGCGCATTGTATGATTTATGAATTAGTGGTGATGAAAATTAAATGGTGACAAGATGCAGTCATTTTGGTTTGAATAACAGATTATAGTAGTTGTGAGGAGATTGACGAACACGTAGCAGAATGTGACAGTGTGACAACATAATGGTCAAATTTTTATTTTTTATTTTTATGATTTTTATTTATTTATTCTTTTTCGTTCGACAAAATGAAAACAAAAAAGAAGAAAAAAACTGATAAGAAGGAAGAGTTGAGTTTTAACTGACATCATTTTTAGCTGTTGATAAATTGGATGTCATCGATTGATCAGCATGATCAGTGCCATCGTTTTGATCTTTTAATGCTTTTGCACTTATCGTTTCTGGTCTTTAAAAAAGAAAAATAAATAATTAAATGATTTTTTTTTATTTTATAAAACATAATTAACTTAAAATATACAAATTAATTTAATTGAAAAACTTTGAATTTTTAGATTTGGAGAGAAATGAAAATGATTTTGTGTAAATATAATTTAGAAAAGTACTAATTTCACAAAAAATTATCAAAGTTAATTATTAATTTCGAGAAAAAAAGGAGATATGATATGATAAATAAGGAGAGAGAGAGAGAAAGAGAAAGAGAGAAAAATTGTAGAGAACCTGTTTATAGATGATAATATCTGCTCTTCATTAGTTTGTTTTAATTCTTTTCTTCTATTCTTTGATGATTCTTCTTGATATGTACGTCGTTCATCAGATTTTTCGATACGTTGCTTTGAGCTATAATAAAAAATTATTAAACTTTTTTTTTTTTAAATATAATTAAGTTTTTTTTTATATTTTTTTATATAATTAATTATATAAGAATAATTAACTTTGGACAATTTATGAAGAAAACTTTTTATGCATATTTTTGTTATATATTAAAATAATTGCCATTTTTTTCCTTCATTATTTAATAAATAAATAAACAAAAATAGAAAAATAAAGGTTAAAATTTATTAAACAAAAAATGAATTTTATTTGTAGTAAATCAAAAAAATCATTGAAACAATCACAAAAAATATTATAAACCGACGTAAAAATTTGTTTTGTTTTTTTTTTTTTTTTTATAAATTATTATTTAAAAATAAAAATAGAAATGAAAAATAAAATAAATAATTAATTATTTATTTACATACCTACTACCACTTTCATGTTTTTTCAGTGGTTTTGCCATACAAATATGCAAACTTTCAGTTCGATTAGTTCGAATTTGATCCAATCGCCGAGCTATTTTTAAGTACGAATCATCGGTTTGAATTATGAGATCCTATAATTTTGATTTTAGAAAGAATTAGTAATAATGAGAAATACTCAATAAATTGAAATTTGGGTAATATTAATTTAGTGGGCAGTTTAGAATAATATAAATACCATAAGAAATACATGATATGATCAATTTTAAAAGTTTAAATTTAAATATTATAATATTATTGAATAATTTTGACCCGTCGTTTTGGTTTTATTATTTTTGGTATGCATTCATTTGCATCACTGATTCGAGCACTCAGTGATGCATTGCATTCCTTATCAATCGAATTATCAGAGTTGAAATTATTCATGTCAAGCATCGTTTGCACAAATGTATCACAGGTATCCTTTGCTTCAATCGAACATTGTGTACTGTAATGATTATTTCATGAATCACAAATAAATAAAATTTATCTGAAATTAAATTTTATACTAATAGACAAAATTGATAAAATGATTCAAATAAATCGATATCAATTGCAATTTTATATGTTTGATAAAAAATAAACGATCAAATTGCACTGATTAATATATGATTATTTCAATTTATTTGCAAAAATGTCAAAAATCATTTGCTTTATTTATTTCTAATAAATAAAAAGAAAAAAGTTCAATAATTTAAAAAGAAAAAATAATAATATTAATAATTTAAAAGAATTTCTAAAGCAAACCTATTTTCAATCAAAAATGAATGCTCAAAACCAATACTTCGCACAGTTTTCTTTCGTTTTGTTGATAACTGTGATACTTGACGATTCTTAATTTTAAATATAAAATAATTTTGAATAAATAATAACGAAAGATTCATAAAAACAAGTAATAAATAAAGATTCATTTCTAGTTTTATTTTGAAATTCACTTAAATTTTGCATCAAAACTTTACTTCATCGTCATCAAATGCTGTCTGCACAGCTCGACTACATTCTGGTGTTTGTATCTGTGACATCCATGCATCTGTTTCCATCGATCGATGAAATACCTGCGAGAAAAGTTAAATTCAAGTATACAAAAATTAAAATCATATTAAATCCCTAAAAATTGTCTTATTTCAATATTATTTTTCCGGCAAATGTTCCATTATCGCATAAGAAATCAATTTATGCCAATATTTATTACCCATGGGTAACTGAGCTTACTTTCATTGTTTGTTAAACGAAGAGTCTGTGTTGGAATCTGTCCCCAAATTAGATTGTTTATAATTATTAGTTTCTTATTTACTTGACTCTTTCATTGTTTGTTACTTTCTTACTAACTGTAAGTAATATCACTTTGATAAGGTTAGCAGCACTTTGTTTACCTCACCTCTTCCTCATCTCTTCTACACTATCTTCAATCGTATTACAAATCATTCGTCCTACCGAATTAATGTTAAGGCTACCTTTGCTGAGGCTAGCTTTTCCGGATGGCAATCCGGCAATCGCTGCCTTCCTACAATAACTTCCTTAAATAACTACAATCGGTGATAATGTTTATCTCAATAAAATAAGGATTAATCAAACGTCAGCAACAACTTTTCGGCTCTATAATATCAGACCGTATTTTATGATAATACCTGATTACTTTCTTCTTCCGTTACAGCACTTTGTTCTACCATTTCAGGATGCAATGATTCAGTTTCCGTTGAAACATCCTACAATAAAATGACAATTTCAGTTTGGAAATTCTTCTTTTTTTTTTCATTTCCTCTTATACTCTCAAAACTTTCTGAATAACTTACAAGTCGTATGGGTGTTTTATCGTGATCCATACTCTTAATTAATTGTTTTAAATTCTCATTGTCACTGACATTTTCTTCTCGTATCGTTGGCATATTAACAATTCCTTCATCCAATGACGTTTCCATACTGCGATCCATTAATTTCGGACGTGTTCTAGCCTTAGAATATTTTAAAAGTTAAAAATTTCTCTTGTATAAACATAATTTAAGTTAATCTAAAATTTAAAAACTTTAAATCTAATATGCATAAAACGAATTTTTAAAATGAAATAAACTTTTAACCTGCAAATCATGCAATTTAAGCATAATTTCATCTACTTGAAATTGTGCAATATCTGTTTGTACAGCGCAACCGCTCAAAATACAAAGTTCCATCTGCTGTTCCTGATCAGCTAATGATACCCGTGCTTGTACACTACGATCAATACCTTCCGAGCTAAAATTAATAGTATAACATAAATTGTAAAAATTGGTGGAAAGAAAATGGTAAGTAATAAATTCATAAATAAATTGTAAATATTGCAAATAAATTTTGAAATTACTTTGTAAGATCCATTGGAAGTGATGTAACTTCAGATATCGAATTCAAATCACCGTCGATATTTGGTGCAGAGGTTAGCATATCAGTGATAAGCGGCGAAGATACTAAAGAGTCTTTCATTCTGCAAAAGTTATCACACAAATGGACTAATCACTAATGTTTATCAATCAAAAGAAAAGAACTCGAATTGTAAATATCAGAAAAGTATAGATCAACCAGAATGTTCAAATATTATGGATGGAAATTACCCGAAAGAATCAAAAATTTATTGATTGATAATTTTCAATTATAAACAACTAAATATTTTGCTAAATGCAACAAAGTAAAAGTAAGCTTTCAAAATACAAAAAAATCTTAGTTTTCTAAAAGAATATAAAGTAAGTCTATAAATTATCATGATTCAAAAAAAGGTGATAACATAAATTTACCCAGCATTTTCAGTATCTTTCATCCATTGCGCATTTACATCCTTCTCTTCTGAATAAATTTCTTCCGTAAAACTCATAGTTGTACCCATATCCTGAAATAGCTTTCTTATCAATTTTATCACCTCACATACTTATCAATGAATTAAGCTAAAAGGTAAGAAATGATAATTTAAAACTGATATGATAGTACTAACTTGCAATTTTACAGTTGAATTATGCATTGAAGATTTGTCGAAAAATTTTTCTTCCGTTTGAATATTTTTGTTATTTAACATTCGTACTGATCGTTCATAAGTTTCAGCCTGTAATTAGAACTTTTTTAGATAAAGAAAATAATTAATCATTTATAAATAATTACTTTTAATATAAATTTCAACTTGGAATTTATGTATTTGTTGAATATCTTTTGCTAAAATAAAATTTCTAAAATTTTATCGTAAATCTTTAGTTTAAATTCAAAATATAATTATAAAAAATACAGCTTAAATTTATTTAATCATTTTAAAATTCAAAAACACTTTACACTCACTCCACAAGTTCATTTCAATAAATAATTTTTAATTTTTGATTATTAAAAAAAAAAAAAAAAAGAAAGAACTAACCTGTTTATCAAGCTGAGCAGTTTGCTTTTCGGTAAGCAAATGTGGTGCCATATTTCGAATATACCATGGTTCTTTTGCCATTAAACGTTGTAGTATTTCATTCCGTTTTACCGGATCACCGCATGCTAAGGCACGTTGATATTCTTTCTGTAAAAATAAAATGATTTCAAATAAAAAAAATTTATGAATTAGTAAATTTAATATAAATTATAAACAAGAAATATTAGTGAAAATTTTTAATCATTGAAAAAAATTTATTTTTTATTTTTCAAATTACAATAAAAATTTGTAATTAATTGCCTGCATTCGAATCATCAAATGATAAAGCCATTCTTCAAATTTAATTTGTATTACACCGAGAAGCATCGAAACAATGGAAAGACCAATGATGACCAGCCAAAACATTAATATTAACATATGTGGATGATCTGGCACAACATCGCCTAATGTGTTCTGCTAATTATTAGTGAAGAGAAGTTGAAAAAGAAGAAAGCCAAATTTGAAGTTAAATTTAAAAAAGGAAAGTAAATAATTGTTGTTGAATTTAATAATTTATTAATATGAAAATAGTAAATAATAATTTCTAACCAAGGCCAATGGTTGACAATGAAATGAAGAAAAAATAAAGGGAAGTGAAATAGGACCAGCGCGTTTCCCAGAGGCAAAATAAACCCGCACAAATGCATATCCAAGCGATGCAGATGAGTAGTGCAAGCCAAACTGGTATTGTTCTGGAGTAATTGGAAAGAGGTACAGAAATGTGGCAAATAAAGTAAGGTTAATTAATTATCAATAAAATAGAACTAAAATGAAAATGTATTATAAATGATTGAATTTTATTTTTCATTTTTTTTTTTTTTTTTTGTGCTACAACAATTAAATATTTTTAAATGTATATTATTTATAAAAATTAAGCAAAAGATATAACAAAGTGTAATTATACAAATTAGCTTTTGAAACATTAACAAATTAATTTAAGATTGTCATTCAATTTGTAAAATAATATCGAAATATTAACATTCATGCAAACCTGCTTTCAACTTTTTCATCTTCAATTATTTCAGTTGTTTCTGAGATTGGATTATTATTATTTAGTAATCGATGATTTGGTCCTAAATTTCCTTCTTCCATATCTAGCATTCCTCTGTGAAAAATCAATCAATCAATTAATCAATATTTCTTTATTATTTCTTAAATTTTATTCAGCTTCATTCAATAACTTTAATTAAGTAAAAAAAAAAAAGCCTGAAATTTATCTGATGCCAATTTGTTTTTGTTTTTAGTAAAATGAACAGAGTAACTTTACTTAACTTTACTCAGTAACTTTAATTAATTGAAATGGCTGCGTTAGTCTGAAATTCATTTAATATTTAGATGCAACAAAAAATTGAAAATAATATTTATTCAATACCTAAAATACTTACTGCATATACTTCCATTTTTTAAGTTTCAGTATTTGTCGCTGTTTTGCTAATGCAATGCGTCGCTCTTTGGTGTAACCTTTAATACACTCGCGATACCTAGTAATGAGAATTGTCGGTCAGAATAACACACTACATTTCGAGAATTCTCGATGAATAAATATTTGTTTCTGACACACTACATTTCGAGAATTCTCGATGAATAAATATTTGTTTCTGACACACCATATTTCGAGAATTCTCGATGAATAAGCAACACTTTTTTTTTAATTTTATACCAATCTATATAATTAATGATTCTTTTTATTACAAAAATATCTAATAATTTTTACATAAAAATTTTTACTCAAACTTCTGATATAATAGTAATTTGTCTTATTTTGAAATCTTACATTAATTTAAATCAAAAAAAAAAGCAATTTTTTTCATTAAAAGTATTTCATTGTTCATTTCGTAATGTAATTTAATACAATTTTTGCATCTAAAATTACTGAAATGAATGACATATGATATCACTGAAATTGTAATCTTTTTAGAAAATTTGTTGAAAATTTCATTCAAAAACCATTTGTTGTTTTCTCTTCTTTTTTCTTTAATTTCTATTATTTCATATAAAACATTTAATTGTAAAATAATTATGGCTTTGCAGTAAATTTCAATTGTAAATTGTTTTGCAAGCAAACTAAATTGTTCGATTGCTCATAAATGATTTCATTTCATATAAATTTGTAATAAACAAACTTGTAAAAGTGAAATTTAAACGGAACAATCTGTTTAATTGACAGAAGCAGAAAAACAAAAGTTATTGGCATTTTAAAATGTAATTTTATTTATTTTCAAATGTGAAATTAATATCATAAAAACAACTATCTGATCTTTGCTTTCTTTCTTTTTTCTTTTTTTCTTTTTTTTTTTTGAAATGAAGAATGAAATGAAATGAAGAAAACTGAAGTCTCGTGAACAAATTTAGCATTAATTAAATATTTAAATTAATAAAAGAGAAGAATAATTCATACAAAAATACCTCATCCAAACATTGCTTACAAAAGTTGTGAGAGTTTTACCAAATTGACTCAATATAGCTAGTACAAGAGGTATACCAAAAATTGCATATACAATACTTAGTGCTTTTCCGCCTGGCGTCCTTGGCACTATATTACCGTAGCCTAAAATATAAAAAGCAATCAAATAATATAAATTTATTTTTTAACAAATTCAAAAAAGAAATTATAATACTATATTAGCATGCTATAGTGATAATATACTACCATAACTTAGAATATAAAATTTCTTATATTTAAATATATTTTTAAAGAGTAAAAGAGAAAAATAAATTGTTCATGGTACTATCTCGTCATGGCCTAAAATGTAAAAAATATTATAAATTTATTTTTCAAGGAGTTAAATGACAATTTGATGACTAACCGATAGTAGTAAAGATAGTACCAACATAGAAGAGTGCTCCCCACATGTCCCATTCTAAGCCTTCTGGCATTTTTAGTTTTGTTAATTGACTTTCATACCACAATAATATTTTTCTAAAATTTGAAAAAAGGAAACTGAATCATGTAATAGACTTAGATTAGTACATGTTTTAATATAAAATGACCTATGACCTATGACATTATGGTATTATGATATGATCAATATAATCAAATGACACATTTTAATCATTAAAATTATTAGACTGTTAAAGAGAAAGAAAATTAAATTTGAGAAAATGAAACTGTTTACTTTGAATTAATCAAATTTGTGTACGTATCTGAATTTTTGTTCTGGAAAACTCGCCTTAACTGTTGAAATGTATCATTCCTCAAATCATCTAATATAATTTTTTCTTTCCTAAAATTCAAAAAAAAAAAAATTATTTTCAATATTTCTGATACTTTTTACTTTTTTTTTCGCATATATCATAGTAAGTAACATAGATTAAATCTTTTTTTTTTTTTTTTTCTAAATTTATTTCATACTAAGACAGTAATATTCAATTTAACAATAAAAGATTTATTGTTTTTGTTATTATTTTCCATTGCTTAATTGTATTTATTGAAAAAAAAAAAAAATAAGATATCAATTAAAAACAAAATGTTAGTTAGTCTAAAAAAATAAACTTATAATTAATTAAAAAATTTTGATAATTTAAAAAAGCAAAAATGATAAACCTGATAAGCTCTTGTTCATGCGCTTGTTCCACCCAACAGAATAATATAGCGCCCAGTAATGAATATACTGTCAACAAAACAAACGGCGCAATATGTCGTAATTTATATTTGTCGTAATAAAATTTCGCCTAAAATTTTAGTAAAGTTTTTAATTAAATATTATAGCTTATCAATGAGATTATAATTGATAAATAAGTAATCATTTGGTGTAAGAAATGATAATTTTGCAATAGATTAATGATAATACAAACGAAGAAAAAATGTTATTAATCGTAAAAATAAACAAAAAAAAAAAGTCATTGATAATAAAAATAAATAAAACTAAAAAAATGATAAAAAAAAATAAGAAAAATGGCAAGAAAATATTATTAATAATAAAAGTAAACAAAATAAAAAACAAAAAATGCAATTAATCATAAAAACAAATAAAAATAACCAAAACAAAAATGCAAAAAATGCCTTTTTTTTCAATTATAAAAACAATTTCCTCGATTTCAATTAAATACAAAGCTAATATTTGCATAAAACAAAAACAAAGAAATAAATTTTTTTCTCAATTTTGTTAAATTTCATCCATATTTTTACAAATTCATAAATTATTAACTGAACTACCACTCTTATCACAGTAATGATTAATTTGAAATTAAAACATAAAATAATCACCTGTCCAAGGAAATCCTTTGGTTTTTGCTTCTGCAAATGTATCTTCTCTTCAGCTGTTCGATTAAAAACCTAAAATATTAAATATGCAAAATTCTTTTTTCTTTCTTAACACTGCTAAATTCTGATTGATAATCATAGGAAAAGTTTGTCAAATATAAATTATTGATAGAAATTAATTTTTTTTTTTCTTTTTGCAAACATTCAAAAATGTTTGTGAAAGACAAATAAATAAGATAGAATCAATTTATTGTAATAATTTCACAGTGCTAGCATAAATTTTCAATAATATTTTTTTTTTTTGAACAAAATTGATTAAATGACAAAACTAATACCAAAGTATTTCTAAAATTTGTGACAATAAATTATTGGATCAAAAGTTATTTATTTTCAAATAATATATTGTTGATGTTTAGATGATATATCAACAATAATATATAACGTGAACATTTTAATAAACAATACGAAATTATAAATATTAAAAATTTTATGACCAATAAAAATTTCTACAAAGTTTCTTTTGACACATTTAAATTTATGAATAAAAAAAAAAAAAAAAAACAGGAAAAATGTAATATCCGGTAAAAAATAATTTCAACCGGATGCATTTCTGGATATCCAACAACTTCAGCTAACGTAGTCAGTGAAAATTACATAAAAATTTTGCTTTCAAATTGTTAATTTTAAATTGTCAAAAAGTGTTACAACACATAACAGTAATTATTTATTAATTATAAAAACAATGGTAGCAAACTTTTAAATTAAACTAATTTTTGAATTTGAATTTGAATCAAGTTAATTTTTAATGAAATTATAAGATTTCAATTTTAGAAATGTAAAAAAAAAAAAACAAAATTAATTAGTTCTCTAGAAAGTATGGTCTTTTTTTCTTATTGAAAATTATAATTTCTAATTTAAAAATTAGTTCAAAGGAGAAAGTGTCAACAAAAGTGTCACATAAGTTCAATGAACATTTAAAGGATTCAAATTTTTTGATACAAAAATAGTTCGTAGATAAAAGTTGAAGCATACAATTCGATTATTTTCCACAAAAAGAGCATATTTTTCCTGATTTCATTATGTATACTTTCAGGAAACTTACGTACACACTTTTCCTGATTTCACTACTCGTACCAATCGTTTCATTTCAAAAGTTAAAATGTATGATATCTACATGCAATTTTTATTAATCGTTTCCGGTTATTTGCAATTTATTTATTTGTTTATTTTTTTGTTATTGTTTATTGTTAGTACAATTTATAGAAATGCCTGACGTATTAGCTTATTATCTCTTTCAAAGAAATATAAGTAAAATTTCTGTCAATTAAGCATTTTAAATTTTAATTTAGCTAAAAATATTATTATTACCATCCTAAAAAAAAATACCAATAAAAAATCTGTGTATTCTTATTCTCTCTAATTGTTTATTTTTTTTTTTTCACATTATGGAAATGCATTTTACAATATAAAATTTATCATTTGCTATAACAATAAAATGAAATCCCTAACCTTTTGAAAAAAGAGAGAAAAAGAGAGAAAACAATTTTATTATTAAAAATAAAATCAATGAATGAACTTTTACGCATTTTAGAATTGGACAGATTAGCAAAATATTTATGCAATTTAATAGTATTTTGAAAATAACAGAAGAAGAAAAAAAAGTATGTGAAGTGATCAATCATTGGTATTTGTTTTTTTTAATTTCAAATAGTTACAACGAAAAATTTAAGTTAAATTTTACTTCTGGTATATAGTTTCTTTTCATTTCTTTTCTTTCTTCATAAATAATTATATTAGCAAATAATATAATTATCATCAAATGATGTGTAACATTTATCAGTTTAATCAGTCATTGATTATTTTATATCATTTCAAATTGATTTCTATTATTTTTTTGATCGTTTCACATTCCAAATAGATATAATGAAAAATTTAAGCGATTAAATTTTACTTTTAATATATATTTCCTTCATTTTTTCATTTCATTCGTTTTTTTTTTTTTTTTTTTTTTCATTCATGAATAATAATTGCAATTTTAATCACCCAAATGTAAAACTATTAAATGTATAATAATAATAATAATAATAATAATAATAATAATAATAAATCAATATTTATGAATTCAATCTAATAAATAACTGAAGCCAACCTGGTCATCAGCATCGATGAAGTGATTGCTCGTAGGGTCATCCAAGCTGACCAGCTGGCAGTGCTGTGGCGGTGTATCTGTGGACGAATGCGAGAAGAGCGACAGTCCACTGCAAACATCAATCAATTTGTTTACAATAATTATTTGCAAGTGGTATTACTGTAGCACTACCATGGCTGTTTGAATCACTTAGAGACCATGGAAAGCATTCCTACCTGTCACCCTAAAAATATAGCTGACAGTCATCAGAATTGCATGTTTACTCGAGTATGTATGAGTGGAATATTATGAGATGAAAAGTGAATGAGTGAGGAGGTGAAAGGGAACAAAGAAGATTTAAAAGATATGAAAATATTAAAGTGGAAAATTATTCAAAGATATATTTGTATTGAGAAGAAACACTTTAACACATATATGAAAGTTTGATAAATAATAGCATAATTCATTGAAATAAAAAAAAAAAAGATGTATTGTTTACTTAGTTATTGTGAGCAATAGTAATCTTAAAGTAATACTTGTACTAAATTATAATTATACAATGATTTTACTTTATCAGTGATACAACTGATAGTGATAATAATCTAAGAGATAGTTCAAAGACTTCAATTAATTCATTGCACAGCAGTCAAATTACAACACTTTTCGCTTTTATTTGAAAACTTTAGTGTATGAATCTGTTCTGTCTTAAACTTTTCAATTTGAATAAAATTTAATTTTAAAATAATTTTGCCACAAACTGAACAATATGGAATATGTTAGCATGAATATTTGTTTGTTTGTTTATTTGTTTTTTGTTTTGTTTGTTTGTGTGTGTGTATGTGTGCATGTATGTATGTCAATGTATGTATGTATGCCAATGTATGCATTTTTATATTTATTTTGTTTAGTAGCACAATTTCAATATATCTTATAATTTTTATAATAACAATTATTGATAGAAGAAAACTGACAAAAAGAAATTTAATATAATTTCTTTTTCATTTCACAGTCAATTTTAACATTTTATTTTTTGTTTTATTTATTTATTTATTATTGAACAAGAAAGAGGAAAAATAAAATTTAATAATAATAAAGAAAACAATCATTTTAGAAGATAAATAACACTGTTGTTTTTGTAATATGAAAATGAATTTTAAAAAGATGAAAGAGTTTACCGATGAAAAGCAACGAAATAAACAATTGTGCAAATATTTTTATATGCATTTATACGCTATTATGTAATTTCAAAAAAAAAAAAAAAAAAAAAAAAAAAGAAAAACTAATTGGAATACTAATTGTTTTCTTTCATTGTAATTTTCAACAAAATAATATTTTTTCTTTTTTTTTGCAATAATATTTATTTAAATATTCAAAAACACTAATGGAATATTCAAAGACAAACAAAATAAAATTTTAAATTCCTAATAGATTTATTAAATGTGTAAAATTTAAAAAAAAAAATTAGTAACAAATTATAAATGATACAATTTTTTTTGGCTTTGAGTGATTTTTTTTAGTTCGAATTTTCTTTTAAACAATTAAAAGTAAGCATTTTTTCTTTTTTTTTTTTTTTTTTTTTTTTTTGAAGAGAAAAGCTCTATCTATTGAGAAAATGTTAGCATTTTAGTTTAGAATTAGCAAATGTGCTAATGAATAAGCGATTGAAGTTCAGAAAAAAAGAAAGACGAAGTAATTTTAATGAGAGAAAGTGAATTTATTAATAATTCATTGTTCTGAGAATGGACAAATTAACTAAATTTAAGTGAGTAAAGCAACATTAAAAAGAAAAAAAAAAAACTTAAAGAGTTGATAAGTGATAAACTGTGTGCTATCAGATTATACGTGATATGATTATCAGTAATAACACTGCATATAGATCAGATTATACGTGATATGATTATCAGTAATAACACTGCATATAGATCAGATTATACGTGATATGATTATCAGTAATAACACTGCATATAGATCAGATTATACGTGATATGATTATCAGTAATAACACTGCATATAGATCAGATTATACGTGATATGATTATCAGTAATAACACTGCATATAGATCAGATTATTCAAATTTAACAACTAACCAGGTATTATCATATCGGCTAATCAATGTTTCATCGCTCATATCCATCAGCATTGATGACGGATGACACGTTTGACGCCGTGATTCAGTACGTACGAACACCGCCATTGCTAATTAATTAAGCCTGAAGAATTATTACACTCATTATATATAGATACATACATGTGTAAATAATATAATAATACTTAACTAATTTCATTAATTGATGGGCAATCATTCATATTAGGCCAAAACTTTCTTATCACTTATCAAGAGGCATAAAAAAAGAAAGTACGGATGAAATTAATCACTTGTCAAGTAAAAATTTCGAAAAAGCATATCGCATCAATTAACAAAAATATTTGATTAATAACATTTAGATTTAATAAAAAATGTTGTATAATTCCTTTTTTTTGTCATCAAAATGACATTGATTATTAACAAAAAATATTCCATTATTTAATTAAGATTATTCAAATCATTTTCATATGTAACAAATGTAATTTAAATTAAATTAGAAAAAAACGTTCCGTTATATGAGTGTAATAATTAATAATAACAATAATGGCAATAGCAATAATAATAATGATAATGATAATAGTGATAAATGATAATAGTAATGATAACAGGTAATAGTAATAATAATAATAGATAATAATCATTGCTTAACTGTATTATTTTGAATGTGAAATTTGATTTTTTTTTTTCTTCAAAGAGTTGATTACATTACTTTTCTTTCCTTTTTTTTAAAGTTTTTTTTTTTTTTTTGAATTCCTTGAAGATATGCGTTGCAAAAACGTTTGATTGTAACTAATTCATAGTTTTTGTCATTCCTGAAAATCACATTTTCAAATTTATAAAATTATGATGCAAAAATTTTGAAAAAGTTAACGAATTTTTCGTCGTCGAAAAGATTGAAATGAAAAGATATGCATGAAAAAAAAAAAAAAAAAAGAGAAAGAAATAGGAAAATATGAAGTTGCCCTAAAGAAATTTGAAGTTGAGGAAAAGTTAAACGAATGTCTGTCGGTTGGCTAAAGAGTTGAATGCTTAGATACGAAACAATTTATAGGCATTTAGCAATGATTGATTCATCCTGAAATAGAAGTACGTTTGCTTGTTAGATTTTGAAAAATATTTGAAAAAAAAAAAAAAAAAAACTTTTTTCGTTTTAACTTTCAAACAATCAAAAAGAAGACAAAAAAAGAGTGAAAAAAGCGAAGAAAAAAAGAAAAAAAAAAAAAAAAAACGAAATATATTTGAAATAAAAAAAATATAATTTGTCAAATTTTTGAAACAAAACAATTTGTTTTTTTTTTTTTTTTCCATAATTTTCACATATATTTATTAAATTGTTTATTAATAAATATTTTAACTTTTAGTATAACTATAATTCATCAATAATAAACACACACACACACACATATATATAAATAAAATTTTTTTCCACCTGAATCATTAATATACCTGTGAATGATATTAACTAATTTACATTTGGAATGAGAAACAAAAAGAGAAGAAAAGAAAGAAAGAAAAAAAAATTTGAAATTTTCAACAAAATAATTTTAATGTGCGCAAATTAGAAAAGATAAAGTAGTAAAGATTGTTTGGCTGATGGAAGTAATTTATTGCTTAGACAAAGAATTTTTCGTTTCGTTTTGTTATTTCGTTGTCATTCACATACATATTCTTTTCTCTTTCTTTTTCTCTCTTTTCATTGATAATAAAATTTGATTAAAAAAAAAAAATAAAAAATAAATAAATTTGATACATTTCTCAATTTATGAGATATCTTTTCTTTTTTTTTTTTTTTTTTTGATTTTATTTTTTTGTCTAAAAGAAAAAAGAGGGAAATGCATGTGATTAAAATAGATAAGAATGTATGATTAAAAGATATGAAAATGATAAAAGATAAGGGAATGATATGATTGTGTGTGATTAATTTGTGATAATCAGAAAAAAGAAGAGAAAGAAACGATTCAAATCGTTGTTTATTTTCGCTGAAGTTTAAATCATTTTTTAATTAAATCAAATGCTATAAATGAATATTAAAAATATGATTAAGCTGAATACATTAATAAGAAATCTATTTAAATTTTTTTTTTTGTAATTTTAATCTAAAATATTATCAAATTTTTAGTATGTTTGATGATATGTAATAAATAAAATGATTGATTATGATATTGATTATTACAAAGGTATAATGTTTTGTTAAAAAAAAAGAGATGTAAATTTCAAAAATATTAATTAACTTTTATCATTGAATTGAAATGAATCAAAATTTATTGTGAAAAAAACTAGGAAGTAGGAAGGTATGTATGATAAAATTGTATAAAAATGATATGATTACATGATTGATTTAATTTTTTCAATTATATAAATTATACATGTACTTTTCGTTTTTTTTTTTTTCTTCTTTTTTATTTATAAACATTTAACAGAGAAAACAAATGCAATAAAATGATTTGATTTAAATTAATCAATTAAGAAAATGTGTAAAATATTTTGTTCTATTTCATAAATAAATAAATAAATAAGTAAACAATAATAATATCTATGTTAAATAAACGTTTGAAAAGTTTAATTCTAATTTTCAATTCATTAATTTGAATAAGATTATTTTAAATGTTAGGAAATACTTGAAATAATGCTAATAGTATTGTTAGTAAAGTAAAATAACTTAGTGCTAAACCAATTCATCCATTCATCCATTAAATCGGATGAATGCTTCACGATAGTTCAACAGGTGGATGAATTGAAAAGCTAATTGACAGCTGACCAACTATCAAAGTAGTAGAATAAGTTGATTTGTACTAGAACGTTGATTTTAAACTTGAACATTACTTCTTTACACAAAATTTGACACTGCTCCATTTGATTACCACTCGTTGCTGTTGCTGTGATACTTTAACTTACTTCTTTCTTTCTTTTACTTAATAAATTTATCATATATTTGTTAATGATTAATTTGTACGTAAATAATATAATTCATTATTATATTATATTATTCCTTGTAATAGATGACAATCATCAAATGTGCTTTTTTTTTTTTTTTTTTTTTTTTTTTTTGAATTTTAAAATTGTGTAACTTTAATGTCATCTTATCTAAATTTCTTAATTAATTTAGCAGTGTTACTTTTTCTTTCCTTCTTTTGCATATTCTCTTTAGTTTATAAATTTTAACAATTTTATTTTCGTGCATTGAAACAAATCAAATTTATTCGCTTTCTTTTTATTCATTTTACAAATACCTATAAGTGCTCTTCTAATATTCACACCTGAGTAGCAATTCGTGGTAGAGAATAATAGCAAAGTATTATTAGCTTAAATATTTTATCAACACCAATCAATCATTTGGCAAATATACTTTTAAATATACAATTATTTTTTTCGTGGCATTCATATTGCATACTTTCTTACATTTGTCATATGCTCTTTTATTTAATAGAATAAAGCTTCATTAGTCCTTTTAAATAAATCGTTTACCTTGCTAGAATAATGTTAACAGGTTAGCAATAGCATTATTTTAATATCAACATTTCAGAAATGCCAAAACATTCTTGAAGAAAAATGAGAATTTTTCTATTTCAATTTGCTAATGATATATTTCTGGATCAGTCATATAACTAATACTTTGCATCAAAACACTGGAAAGAACTAACTTTTATATATGTTATAGCGGTAGTTACATGAAATGGGTGATTAAAACGATCATAAAACAATTGGAGTTTAAAATGATATTTATTCATTTTCCATTAAAAAAAAAAAAAGAAAAAAATTGCAATTTTAAACAAAATTCAAAAGTACGTATGCTTCTTTAGCGTTATCTTTTAAAATATTTTGTTTTACAACAATGCTTTCTAAAAAAATGAAAAAACTTCTTTCTAAATAATTTTGAACATGTTAAATAGTTTATTTTTTTTTGCAAAGTCTTTAATAAGATTACTTGTATTTGAATATAATGAAAAATGATATCAATTATATCAAAAAGATTGAGGCAAAAGCAGCCAAAAGAAGAAAAAATGAAGAAAAGAACAATAAAAAGATAAAATAATATCAAACTATTGTTATTTAAATATATTACATGCTATAACGGATCCAAACCTATTAGTTACATGATTCTGTGTAAAATTGCAGGGACCAAAACCAGAAAAAAAAAAGCCTTGGTGACATAAGAAATTCCTTAGGTAGCAAAAAAAGCATAGATTTTTACTGCAAACTGATGTGTAAACTTATTTATCAGCACAGGTAGTGAAATGTGATTTTCAATAAAACAAACTAATTTCAAACATCAAAAACTGAGTTGTTTTCCTAGATTTTCTGATATGTTTTGAAGTGATATTTTCATCCTACTTGACCTATTAAAACTAAGATTAAAGCTCACTTTACACATTCTAACAACAGGGTGACACAGCATAGGCCACTTAACTGAAGCTTGTGCTACCACTGCTGCCAAATGATGTACACATACTATGATAACGAGTATTGTTGAAGGATGGTAAGGCTTCTTTACTTGAGCCAAGCTTTGCACTAGACTTCCGAATACGGGCAATATGCTTAGCAATAGCACACTGTTCACGCTTTTTTGTTTCATCTCTGGAATTTGTAGTATTCATTGAGTCATTACTGTATACAGACAAATTTAGTATGGTTCGTTGTTTCAATTCATCAACTTTTGTTCTTACAGCACTTTTTATCATGACCATTTGACGTCGATATCCTAAAATAGTAACAATTTTATTTTCATAACTTTAATTTTCGCTGAATAATCAAAACATCGTAATATTTAGCATTCACTGGTATTCATTAAAAAATGATCATCTAATGAAAAAAAAAAACGATCATCTAAGCATTTTCACAAAATATTAGGATTTTATATAAAAAGTAACGGCATTGAAGAATACGAAAATTTAAGATCAAAATGGAAGATAGCATACCATTATTAGATTTCGTGGATAATGGAGTACTGGCTACTAACGAAGTGTTCCGGAACTGTTCAACAGGACTGCTTTCGTCAAGATGATCATTAAATATTCGTTGTTTGCTTTCTCCAGTGTTCGGACTTTTGCTATTGCTAATGTTGATATTTTCAGTAATATTTTGCAAACTGAAATTTCCTTCCCGAAAAGAACTTATATTAGATTTGGAATTCTCCGTAAAGGCAAATCCATCGCCCATATTTTGTTGTTTTAATGAAGCAGAAAAATCAATAGAACTGTCATTATTCTCCTCGATTTTTACCTCAGATTTAGGCCTTGGAGTATATTGAAAATAATTTTGCAGAGCTTCCTCAAAATCAGAATCAGATGAAATACTCATATCATCTATTTCATACTTCTTGCTTAACTGATCCAGTTCATCATTAGTTCCTTCACAATGAAAATAATGCTGCGATATTTCATTCTCTGCATCAGATTCCCTTCTGCTAGGATTATCATTAGCATTCCTAGCCGGTACCGGCAATTTATGAGGATCAGCTAAATAAATATAAGCAGTGGATACTGCTTCCGTATTGGAAAAATCAAGTTGCAACATTTCCAACTGGCGATAAATTTCTAAAACAAACAAAAAAAAAAGTTCAAAAGAAATAAGAAATTTACCTTATCTAGAAATAGTTGAAAATACACAATTCAATGTTTTGTCAAGTAATATTATATAGAAATGAAAGGCGCCATTGTATAAATATGAAATATTATGGTGCTAAATAAAATAAAATACACACACAGGCAAAAGACGTACAACGGGCAAATATAAAGGGAAATGTTCGTTTAAGATATCAAACAATAAAAAAAATATATGTTGCGAAGCGAGAATATATGCTAATACCTCAAGTAATGCCTGGCTTTTTCATTTCTAAAACGACCGGTAAATTAGAAACAATTATAATTTAACAAACAAAAAAATTTTTACCATCAATGTTACTTGTTTCTTTCGTTGATGTGCCAAAATTCAGAGCTAAACGGATTAATTGAAAGAAACCGCGAAAAAAAGTTGGAATCATTTTTGCAGTAATACGTTGTTTATGTAACAATATATTTCGGTAATACTAGTCACCATAAATAGCACCTGAAATTTGTCAAATACCAATTCGAGTAATATTTAACTTTTGAGTGACCTATATTTGTAATTAATAAAGTAAAACATACTAATCTTTAATTGACAAAAGACTTAATTTGATTGATAAATAATTAATAAAATTATTTGTAATTTACATTAATTTTTTTAAACAATAGAAAAAGAGAAGCAGATGGGCAGAAATAGAGATTAAATAGATTTGAAAAAACTAAATTTGAAAATAACTCTCTTTCCCTCCGCAAAAAAAAAGTTGGAAATTTCCCCCTGAAAAAATAAAAAAGAAAATAAACGAATAATTTCGCGCTGTTTACGCTACAAACTTCAATCATTCAAAGTATGCGAGAAGTCGAACTTTACAAAAGTCTAACGGATTTTGAACATTCTTAGCTGTTATCATTACTGATTAGATGGATGTGACAGATGATAAGAAAGAGAGAGACTGGATGTTAAAATTAGAAATTCGAAAGTCAATCAGTAAATAAATAAGTTTAACCATGTAATAATTATCGATTAAGCATTAATTAACACTGATAATGTTATGCATTTTTCATCTTTACTTCTGATGTATTACTCTGATAGTTTCGTTTTATTTCATTTTATTCATGAAAATGATTTTCATTTTTGAACTATTTGGAGAGGTAAACTGTCATATACATATACTTTGTGTTAGCTTTTTCATACTCTCAAATGCATTATTTCTGTTTTGCAATTTTGCACTCGTTATGAGCTTATGAATTGAAACATCTCAACACTATCAAATAACTTATGCCTTTTACATTCTTATCGTTGTTTCACCTTAAAAAAAGAAATGGGGAAGAAGACTTGCAAAGTTTAGTGGACGATCGTTCATTTTTGTCTTCTTTCTTCTGTTTTTATCTTTTTTATGAAATATTGGTGTTTACACTAACGAGTGTCAATAAAACAAGTGTTAAGAAACGAAAAATTCTAGAAAAATTTATTAACAACTCATAAGTAACTTTTTTTTGTCCCAAAAACAATGAAATTTCTTTATCAATTTCACATTTTCTCGACAGTCTTCAGCCCTAATATTTTGAAGCAGTCGGCCATTATAGCAGCTGTCACCTTGCACAACACTAACCGCTGATAATGAATTGTAGTTTTTCCTTAAAAAAGAAACTGATCAAATTAACAGTTATATAATGGGCCTAATTACAAATAAACTACGCCTCGATCATAACTACAAATTAAATGTGCTTTTGGCTTTTTTACTTCTCTCCACTCTTTATCTTCCTTCAGCTAATTACATTTCTTTTCAAAAATATTAGTTCATAATAAACTGCACTTATTAATACAATAACAAAGTGATCGCATAGTTACAAATTATGAGAAATATGATAAATTGGATCGTTAGCTTTATGTTATTATAGGATTTCTTAGTAGATGGATGAACCAATAAGTTTTAAATATCTTCTTGACCCTAGAACTTTTTTATAAGTTAGACTGACAGTATTGATAGCTAATGAAATCAAAGCAAAATACATGCCATCAGTATCTTTCTGAATTACGTAACATTCGTTATAAAAGTCGTGGAATGTTGTAGCTAGCGAATAGACATAATCACAAAGCTGGAAAATTTAAGAGTGATTAAATTATGAAGAAACCATATAAAAAATCCAGAAAAACTTCAATTTCATGTCCATATGGTATAAAGCAAAGCTAAAAGAATTCACAAACAAACTTACTTGATGCAAAAGGAAATTATCCAATGTATTCAAAATACAGTCAGTAAATTTCAGAATTGTTTTTGCCAATCTAAATTCTGATTTATGTTCCAACGGAAGAAGTCCATTAGGCAAACTTTGTAGATAGTTATGTATATCCTCTTCAGAAACTCCACTATTACGACATATTGATCTAAAAATCAAATAGACAAAAGAAAAGAAACGAAACCAAATCTCATTGACTCCAACTTGATCTAAACTACTTTCAAAAAGTTCTATCCAAACAATATTTTGACCAAAACTGAAAAGTTCAAAGCATATGCAAAACAATGTTTCCTTTAAAAAATGAAATTCAAATTAAGTGAAAATGAAATATAAAATAAACTTACTGTATTCTAGCAAAAGCGTAGAGAAGATAAACAGCAGTATTACCTCGATCATCCAACATCTAAAATATTATTTTTTTAAACTTATTTCTAAGAATCATTTAAACAATGTAAAGCACAAAAACTTTACAATTTTAAATTTCCAAGAATAGATCGTACCCGATCAAACGAGAAGACATAATCTTGCGTACGAGTCTGCGATAAATCAGCATATTTCACACAACCATACGCAACAGCATCACGAGCTAATGCCAACTCTTCCGGAATCATAACCTTCAAGAAATATGATCAACGATATTAATGTCTTTTTTCAAAAGATAAAGACTTAAATGTCCTGGAAATGAGCGAATTAAGTATCGAAAAATAAAAATTCTGGAAATGAAGAACCTTATCTCGTTCTTTCTCTTGTAATTTTGCTTCTGCTCGCTTCACACCCTCATCAAGCAAATCTGTTAATCGAACTGAATCACCCGACCGCGTTTTAAACTTTTTTCTGAAATCGTAGTAGATAGATTCAAGTTTTTAAGACATTTGTTCTTTACCAAAGTCAATAATACTATATGAGTCTGAATTATGGCATTAAGAAAAATTTTAATTTAAAATAATTTCAAGCTTATTTCAGCAAAAGAATGAAGATAGTCCACATGAATAACATTTGCCCACAACACCTCTCTTTTTTGAAAAATTCTTTGGAATTCAAAAACTTTATACTTACTTGTCTTCTCCAAGAACTAAACCAAAACTGACAAGTTCGACTCGTTTTTCAGACGGTGAATACCATCCGAGTTTCTGACCGGCAGCGTACAATAGCTAAAGTAGATCAAATCATACTGGCTGCTTCACTCGAATAATTAACAATTAACAACCGATTAATCAATCACATTAAATATACTAAAGCAAATACAACAATCTAAACAATTAGCAAAAACTGAAACTGTTTAAAATTGAAATGATACAAACTTCAAAATGTAGACTTTGCCCAGCATCAACAACGTAAATGATCCAATCCGCTTTATCAACAAACAAGCGGTATTTCAGAGCTGCTAGATCAGATGTGTCGTATGTAAAACCACCATCTGATTTGACGACAGTAAGTGGAACTCCTTCACTAAGTTTTAAAATTTTCCTCCCCTCATCAAGTTCCAAAACACCTACAATTATTTGGTGATTAAATTGGAGATCAGAGCCTTATGCCTAGGAAATATCGGTATATATGTTAGCTTAACATCCAATTACAGAATATTATAATAATGCTTGCTTGAAACCTGAAGGGATTACCAAGTTTGTCAAGTTCTTCGACGAGTTCAACCATATGTTTCTGATAGAACGATTCGCCCCGTTCAACAATATTTATATCCAATCGGTCGTAAATTTGACTGAAATCTTTCCGAGAAACATCGCAAATCATTTGCCATGCTTTCAAGAAATCTGGATCGAAACTTTGTAACTTGGTAACACATTGATAAGCGCGGGCTTTAAATGCTTCATCTTCATCAAAACGCTTCTTTGATTCCTAAAATACATTTAAAGTTGAAATCAATGACCAATGCACAATATTTAAATTGAGAATGCATGCAATTTCGAGATAAAAAGTTTTAACCTTGTAGAAAGCCTGCAGATCCGAAATTGGTGGTACCTCATTAATGAAATTTGGAAAACAATCTTGCAAATGAGCAATCAGCATGCCAAATTGTGTACCCCAATCACCAATGTGATTCAAACGAAGAACCTTTAAAGTATTTAAGTTTTATACGAAAAATGCTTTTCACTAGCAGATCGAAATTTCGATCACTCAATATTGTGATTATTAGATTTCCACGTCGATTAAATAAATCAACAAAATAAACAATTTTTTTTTTTTTAAGTAAAAAATTTGAGAATCAAAATGAAGGACAAAGATATTCACTAACATCGAAACCAACGTAGGTGAGCAAACGAGAAATACTGTCGCCTATGATTGTGGACCTCAAATGACCCACGTGCATTTGCTTAGCGATATTTGGAGACGAAAAATCAACTAGAACACGGCGTTTTTCAATTACTGGGACTTCAATACCCTGAAAATTTTTGGATGAACCATGCTTGAGTTCCATATTTATTGAACAAATATTTTCTAAGCAACGATAACAAAAATATGTACCTTTAGAGCGATATTTGTAATACTAGTGGCAATCCAACTTCTATTTAAAAATATATTAATATAACCAGGTCCAGAAACTTCCATCTAAAAATAACATGAATAATGAATGAATCGCAATTAACAAATCTTAAATGAATTCATAACTATCAATTTAATTGCCTTCTCAATCCGATCACATTCCGGCAGGTTGTCCAAGATTTTTCGTGCGACTTCTTGAGGGGAAATCTTCTGGCCATTTCGTAGTAACTTCTAAAACAAATTGCTACAATTGTTTTCAAAACTAATCATTTTAACTAAAAATTTCCGAAAAAAAAGAACTGCAAAGAAGTATTTAATAAAACCTGAGCAATGGACATGGACGAATTGAACTGATAGTCACCAAATTTAATTTGCTGAGTTTCTGTTATTAAAATAGGAATATCAGACATTTCCGGATAGAGCTGAAAATTTATTTCATACACAGCTTGTGATAAAATTAGTAATATGAGAAAATTCTCACTTATACAACAGAATAATATTTTTATTCTTATTCTCATGGCTCAAAGCAGCAAAAATTAACGGAAAACTTACCTTAGAAACGCTTTCTAAAAATATGGCACGCAACATGCACAGCAGTGAACTTCCGAAATCCTTCACAATGACATAATTGTATTTTTTGCTTTCCTTCGAGGGTCTTCTACATGAAAGTTTTGTGGACAATTATGATCAACAAAATAGTGATAAGAGAAGCATATGCATGTATATGAAATGAAGACAGAACAAATTCATTGTGTAGCAAATGCTCATCAACCTAATTTTAACGGAATCTCCACAAATATTTGAAAAAAAAAAAAAAAAAAAAAAAGCCAATTCAAGAATTACTTATCTCCTGCAGATTTATCACCATCGTTTTTTAAGGAAATCTTCGTTTTCGACTTCTTCTCCACAGGTACTTCAGCACTGCTGTTTTTAATTCCATTTTCCTCATTCAATTGTTCTTGCTTACGTATACTCTAAAACTAGCATAAGTAAACTATTTGTGGCTAAAGTTTAATGTGAAATACCCTATACCTTTACATATTTTTTTTTTTTTTTTAAATTTTTAGCTAATTCACTTTATTGAAATGCATTACAAAATATCAGTACATACGAGACCTACAGTGTTCCTCCGAATTCAGTTCTTTTAGTTCGAATCAGTGTATGCAAAGAATAATTCCAAACGAAACCTAGTCTTTCTCATCTCATTAAGTCCAGCATAACTCAAAACAAAAAACTCCTCGCAAAATGAAAAAATGACTAGTAAATCTTCCCTCTTCACAACAGCGCAGGACAATCTGTCATTGCAGAACCGGAAGAAGAGGAGTAGAGTCTAAAACAGTATTATTACTCACCGCCTGAAGGATCTTCATCCTATATTTGAGTTTTGCATTTTCCATTATAGCTTTTGACAAGTTAGGACAGTGTTCCAACACAGCATCATTCATGTCTCCTTTTTCCATGGCATCTAGCAAACTTCGATATGTAACTAGTTTCTTCTCCTAAGAAAGAAAAAGATCTCCTAAAGTAGGTATTAAATAATTGTTTTAATGAAACAATAAGAAGGATGAAAATTTTATGCACCCCAGTGCTGCCAGCTTTTTCTTTCTTTTATTCCTCAGTGGTATAAGTCGTAAAGCGCAGATCACGTCTGTCTTCCTTTTCAATGATAAGTTGATTCGACCAACAATATCTTACAATTTTTTTTTATTAAATGTTTTAATCAACATTAATGAAATATTACTTAAAAATGGAAGATATTACCCAGACTAGAATTCCTTCCCTCAATAATTAGTAACCCCGTAATTTAAAGGTCTTTTAAATTCCATCAAATAAATAATACCTTCTTCTAAAAACCGCAACAAAATGACCAGTATTAGAAAATCTTTTTACATTAATGAGCCATTATGGACTAGAACCAATAAATAACATCCTAATTATTTACTTTGCCGCCACCTTGAAATGAGAATAGAAATTTACTGATTCTTCAAGATGTTGCTTGAGTTGTCGTAACTCGCTGTCACAAGAAATACCATCCAGAGATTCCGGTTTCATTATAGCACTTTATGTATTCTGTAAAATCATTTAATACCGCCTGGTGGATTCAAATGTTCCAAAACACATTCAAGATAATTTTGAGGATTTTGGATTCCGAAACGCTTCCATCTAGTTTCCACCGCCCTATAGATACTGCGAAGAATCAACAGTAAAGGAGATTCACTTCGATTATGCTCTTCACTCAATATGAATCACAAAGGATTAAAAAAAATTGTAACACCATATGCTTGCTCATTAAAAGATATGTTTTGAGAATCACAAAATTTTTGCAAGGAACAGTATCAAAACAAAAACAAAAAAAAAAAATGTTCGCACAACAAAAACGACACAGTGAGAAATGCAGATTAATATGTACAAAACAAATATAGGAAGCATATCAATAACAATTAACAAAATATTTCAATAAAGCACAAACTGTATTTCCCAACAGTGTAAAGGATATACTCTGATAAAAACCAAACTTACTAGCTTCAGAAGCTCCCACCAAAAATCTAAAACCAGCTTATAAAAGGAAAAAACTATTACAAACTAAAAGACAACTTTCTTCATCAATAAATAAATGCCAGAATCAAGTTCGAAACCATGCAAATTATTCGCATCACCTTTTAACCGCATCAGCAGGCCACCAAATGACGCGTATGCTGCTAGAGTATTTGTTTCAGAACTCGATTCTTCTCCTTCAATTCTATATACTTTCCCAAACATTACATATTCGAATGGATCTAGTCGTGGATAATGAGTCTGAAATTTGGACAGTAAACAATAAACCCTCAGTATTATTTCGACAAAAAGATTATGATGTCACCTATTTGCTCAATTCAACGAATTAAATTCTAAAATTAAACTATGTTCTCGGTTATTAAACAGAAGTGAAATGTCATACCTGATTATCGAATTCTCGTTCATCTGGTAGACCATCGTCACGCAGCGTTGTTGCCAGCAATAATCGGAATTTATCATTTAGATTCATTGGGTATCTGCAAAAACTGCCCAGTTTGTCATGATTTCATTTCATCATCCTCTGTTATTTTACTTTTACTTTATTCTTCAACATTCTGAATTTTAAGAATTTTTTCTAAATTTTTAGAAATTTTAAGAAAGTTACAGTTAAAATCAAGGAAGATGACCTTACAGTTGTGTGTTTACATCAAGGATGAGTTCCATTTTAAATGATTCACTGTCGCAGAATAGACGTGAAACACGATCAAATTTCTTCCCTTCCGGGTCAACATCTTTCACAAGGAACATATCATCGAATAATATACCCGTTGCCATCTCCTGGAATCATACACCAATAAGAGAAATAAGCCTACATGAATTTGATTAATGACACTACTAGTTACTTCCAAAATCGCAAGTTGAAAAAAAGAATATAGACATTTATCTTATCCTTAACCCAAAAAAAAAATCACTAGAGATTGTTACGTTAAAATCCTAATTAGTAACAGCACACCACGAAACATTTCACAGACGTGACGTGACGTACGTGAACTCAACTAACTCCTACCACACCTAACCAGCCACTACAAGCAATCGCAAAGTGTACTTTACCAGCCGGCTCTGAATTGATACGCTGAAAATTACTAGCAGATATATTTCTTAAAGGAGTATGGACGGGAGGTTAGAGAGTAATAAAATAGCATAGTAAACTGGGGCAGAATAGAAAAGTAAATTGGATGATATGAAGGTGGGAGATTTAAAAAATCATTCATTTACCTTACGTACGCGACACGTTGATTCTTTTTTGACGTGAAGGCTTGCGTGAAGATTACGTAAGTCTGCATATTATTAGCTTAACTCATCATGTTAATTCATAATCAGTTTCTCGTATTTTCTTCCTTTTTTACCATTGTTTTTTTTCTTATTTGAATTCTACCTTTTCTAGAATATATTTAGTATAATTCACATTACAAAACGATTATTATTAAATAATCCTTTCATTGCTCCTATAGTCATATATCTTTCTTTATTGTACACTCTCACGTACTCTTTCCATCCCTTTTTTTTTCCTCTTTTTTAGTACATTTTTCCCTGCTTTTTTTTTTTCGTTAACTTCACTATCTTTGAATTAAGTTTTACTGTTAATTTTGCTACCTTTGAATTAAATTTTTTTTAGTGAATTAAATTTGAATTCGTTGCTAGAATATTCTTTCCAGTTAGTATTAGAATATTTGGATATTATTTTTAAGGAAGGTAATGATTAAGAGATAGTAAGTGAATTTTTTCTTTTTTTAAGAAATAATGGCGTTGTGGATAGATAAATATAGACCGCGAGAGCTGTCCGCTCTAACATATCATGTCAAACAAGCCAACGATCTCATTGAAATCGTCAAGGTAAGAATTTTCTCAATTATTTTGCCTTTTATCGTTCAACAAAATGAGAGATAGGAAAAAGACTGGAATTGGCAATGGAAGCATTAGAAAAAAGCGGTATATAAATATGAGTGGAAACTAGTGATTTTTACTTTCATCCATTGTAAAGATCAGTTAATTGTAGTTTGCTAATTCGTTAGCGAAGGTTGTTATGTTTCACTATATATTTAAGGTTTATCTGTGTTTATCTGCAGTAATTCAGTCTCTTATCTCAATCCTTCCCGAGTGATTGCTCTTGTGCATAAGCATTTTTATGTACACGGACTAACTTGTTGCATATCGAATATAAATAGCATTTCAATACACTTATAAAAAAAATGGTGAGAAGGTTAAGAATAATTCATGTCTTGTCTTTGGAGTTCATCTGTAATTGGAAGATGACCAATGCTTGGATTTGTCATTTTTTGATTGTTGATTCATTGTTCTTACCATAATTTATGACTTTAAGGTTAGTGCATTAATCGATGATAAAGTTAGCGTTCAATTCATTATTTTAAAAAATAAATTGGTCTGGTAACAGGTTCTCTACAGCTATCCATAGCTACAAGTTTGGGAAATCCATAGTCAATCTGTGATTAATAGTTGAATGGGAATTATCAGCTGTATGATTGATTTTCGTTTTCCCGCAGCCAAAAGTGGACATATTATTAGAACATCCTCTAGTGACAGTGGGCATACATAGTAGAAGGGAAACATCTTTGAAAAGAGTGTTAGAAATTTTAATTTTAAAGAAACATAATTTCAGGCCGGTGATTTTCCACATCTTCTTATATATGGCCCAAGTGGTGCGGGAAAAATGACTAGAATTTTTTGTATTTTGCGGGAACTTTATGGCAGTGGTGTGGAGAAATTACGAATGGATGCACGAAGTTTTCAGGCTCCATCTGGCAAGAAATTAGAAATACAGACTTTTAGCAGTAACTATCATGTTCAGCTTAGTCCTGGGTAAGTTACTTTGGAACTCCTTGTATTGAAATATAATGCAGTTTTTGCTATATTTTTTTCGACTAATAAAAAAATTTTCGAAGCACTTAAAAGAGAATTCATTGTTAATTGCGCACTTTTATTTAAACATTGACTTAAAAATTTTTGGCTTCTAGAGAAGTTGGTATCTACGACCGTATCGTTGTCCAGGAAATTGTCAAACAAATGGCACAGACGCATCAAATTGTTACTGCAACGCAGCGAAATTTCAAGGGTCCAATGAAGTCTTAAATATTATTGCAAGATTTTGTGCTGTAACAGGGTTCAGTTACTTTTTTTTTAACAGCGGTACTTACCATCAATTATAAGAAATGATGTGTCGTGGTAATATGTTTCACTTACACATAAAAAAGAGATAGAGTAAGCTAACATCTGGGGATTATACTGTGCTTATGTGCTCATGCCTATATAATTCGTTTTTGCAATTTCAACACACTAAATATTTTCGAGTTGAATCTAATTTATCTTCTAAATTTCGTACTTTAAGTTTATTTATGTTGTAAAACTTTAAGTTTATTTTTGTTTTATCGTAAAAAAAGATTTTATATAGATTCAAAGTTCGTTTTTTAGTAGTAGTCTTAGTGGAAGCAGATCAATTAACTCGGGATGCACAAAACGCATTGCGTCGTACAATGGAGAAATATGCGCAAACATGTCGACTTATATTGTGTTGTGATTCAATCAGTAAAATTATTGATCCTTTGAAAAGTCGGTGTTTAGCGGTTCGTGTAGCTGCGCCTTCAGATGATGATGTAAGTTTTATACAAAAAGATAACTGTTTCTGAGATGATAATCATGTTTATATTCAAAGATTTTTATGTTTCAAATGTTTGCATGGACTAAACTTACGCTATTCAAAATTCATAACTTCAATTTGTATGTTCAAGACTCGTAAAGCTCGGACCTTATTTCTTATGCATTGATTATCTCTTATATTAAAACTTTAAAAATATTGCATATTCAGTAGTTTACTGACTTTAAAATTTCATTCAGAGTTCAAATTTTCACTTCTAGGTGGCCAAAGCTGTTAGACATGTTTGCAAGCAGGAAAATGTTTCTGTTCCTGAAAGCATCATCGCTGCAGTTTTACAAAAAGCCAATGGTAATATGAGACGAGCTTTACTGATGATCGAAGCGGCAAAAGTACAGAAGTAATATTTAATTATTAATCGTATAATTGTATTTATACCTTGAAAATTTTTGGAAAAATTGTTACGTTTTCAGCTCAAAATCTCAAAATTTTGAAATGACTGCAGTTAGTTTATCTCTGTATTAATACTGTGTTCCAGGTCATGTATTATTTCAGCTTTGTATGATCTTTTTGGAAAGAAATAATCATTGTTGGTGGATAATTAGACTTCTTATTTTCAGTTATCCATTCAAAGAGAACCAAGAAATTCCTGATCCAGAATGGGAAATTTATTTGCGAGAAACGGCTAAAATGATGATACAGCAACAAAACCCTGAAAAGTTTGTCTTCAGTTACTTTAAAAGATTATCATGATCTTAAGCAATGACTCTTTCCTTTTGTCACTTTTTTATTTACATTTTTGCAGTCTTCTCAAAGTGCGTAATAGATTTTACGAATGTATTGGACATTGCATACCTCCAAATGTCATTTTTATGGTATGTTTTTGTTATTCTCACATGTTCGAATTATATGGATTACTTTTGTTTTTTTATAAGTGAATCTTCTATTTGACTTATTACTCATTTGCTGTAAATATCGGTTGTATTTTATTGCTTAGCATTCTGATCTTTAAAATAAAATATTTTCAGAAATTACTGCACGAACTGTTAAAATCATGCAATGATAAAATCAAGGTGGAAGTGGTTGCTGCAGCAGCTGATTATGAACATCGCTTAACACGTGGTAGCAAAGCTATATTCCATCTTGAGGGTTTTGCTGCATCATTTATGGAAATCTATCACAGACATGAAAATGAGAATGCCATGGAGCATTAATGAAGAGTCGGCAAACTTTCCTGTAGACAGATTTTCTTTGACACTTAATAACTAGTTATAAATTTATATCTTTAGTATTTAATTTGTATTTTATATTATTTTTGCTGCATATTGTAGATCCAAAATAGAAAATAATGTTGAAAATCATTATCATACGATTCCTTATACTGAAATATTAGTGTTGTTATTTTTTCATGTCTTCTAATGGAAGTATTAAGTAAACTATTGATATTTGTGGGAAAATTCTGTAATATGGTTGCTGAAGCAGTTTGACATATATTATCAATTGCTTTTTTAGGCTCTTATAATTGTTAGTATTACTATATTTTTGGTTTTTTCATGTTCTTCGATTTTGGTCCATACATATACAATTTTAGTGACAATCAGGTAATTTTCTTTAAAAATTAAAATATGTATATGTGCATAACGTGTTGCATATTTATTCCTTTCAGTTTGTCTTTCGCTTCTTATTTCTTACTTTCCGTAAATCATTTATATTAAAGATCTACGAAATTGTGATCAGAGCAGTTTATCAAATGAGCGATGTACTATTTCAACATTCTAACCTGAATAATTTATACAAATATGGTGAAATTGAAGTTGCAATAATTTTAATTGTTCACTGATCTTACTACTAAAATTCTTTTTTTTTTTTTTTCACTTCATCTTGTTAATTCAATATTTTGTTTTAAATTTAAATAAATATTTCATTTCATTTCTTTTTTAATTTTAGAAGTATTTCACAGTAAATGTTGATTTGCATTCATTATGATAGATTAGTGTGCATCTGAACAAACATTCACTTTTCATTTGAAAATTTCTTTCATTTTTGCATTACTTCAAATTAGCCATAGCTTCCACTATTAATAAATACATGATCTTATTGATAATTAAGATTTATATTTATATTCTTTTTTTTTTTTTTCCTTTCCCGCTCTTCATATCAATATTGTTGTTGAATACTAATGAATTTGAAATTTTTTGGTCCCTCTTTTTTTCTTTCTTTTTTTTACAATTTGCAATTCGAGAGAGATTCATATTTTTACCATTGATTTTTAATGAACAAGCATTGTGTACGCGGACCAAATAATAATTGCACATTTGGAAAACTTGCAATGGACGAGCAATTTTAGTTCTGTAGATTAATACTTGCGCATAAAGTATTTCTCTTCCATATGTTCAAATTTTCATTTCTTTTTTAAATTCCTCAAAATTTTTCACAAAAAAAAAGAGAAAATCAAGAATTGACGATTTATGCTGTTTTTGCGTTTTTTTTTTTTTTTTTTTCAATTTCCAAAATATTTGAGCAATTTTTTTAATTCTATTATCTTAATTTCAGTATGCTTTATAAATATGCATACAGAATTGATAAAATTATATTTAAAAGATTAATCTTTTATTTCTATAGTAGGAAAAGAAGAAATAACATTATTTCATTTCTAATATAATATTTCAAAAAAATTTTTTTTCATTAAATTATTATCAAAGTTGAAAATATTCAATTGTAACAATTTTATACTTACTGCACCCAAAACAACAGCTAAATAATTAAATAACTTTTTTCCTTTAAACAGAAAAACATTGATAACAACAAAAACTAGTTCTGTTGCACATTGATTCTATGTTTAAGCGCTCAAACATTCCTCATTCTTTTCATTTCGGAAAAGTTAATTCTCATCAATTATACCTCATTTTTATGCAAACATTGCAAATTTTAGGATTTGAATGTTAGCAAATTTTTAGTTGACAAATAATCACTATTGTTTATTGCATTGAAAGATGTAAAGATTAAAGTATTACGATTAATCTAGCAAAGATGTTTATCTTTCCACCTCTCTCTCTCTCTCTCTCCTCTCTCTCTCTCTGTGTGTGTATTGTTATTGTTATTATTATTATTATTATGAAATTGAGCATAGTTTCGTGTAATTAATTGATTGATTTTATAATAAATCTTATAAAAAGTAATGATAAATTTTCTGCATTATGTAAATGCTTAATTTCTATAAATCCTTTTGACATTTAAACAAAATAATATAAACAAATTTATTCTAATACTTTTCTTTTCTTTTTTTTTTTAAATTTTAACTTTAACCAATATGTTTAGCAGATGTTATTTTTATCTCTCTAATATTTTAACATTTTATTTTGAATATTCTTAACTTTTACCTATTTTTTTTTTTTCGAAGCATTCTTTAACCATTTTTTCTTTCAAAATTTATTTATTGCTTTTTCGAGTTTAAATTTTAATTTCAAATAATCATTAATGTTTTCAATATGATTGAACGACTGATGATTGCCTTGTGCAATTTTCAAAAAATGATTCATAGACAATTTTTTTTCTTTTTTTTTTTTTTTTTTTTTTTTTGTAGAAAGGAAATGACGTTAGGCTACATTAGTTGTTATTCAGCTTCCTATCGATAAGAAATATATTTTTCCAGAATTTTTTTTTTTTTCAAGTAATTTATATTTTCAAATTTTTAGCAATACTTTGATCTATTTAGACTAATCCAATTCGTAAACAATATTAATGATGATCGATGCACATATCTACTATTATTTATTATTTGTCATTATCAGTAATTATCAGTTATTATTATCATTACCATTATTATATTACTGTTATCAATTATTATCAGCATAATTATTATTATCAAAGAATATCGATGTACATGAAAATTCTAAATTATTGTTTGGTTCATTTTTACTTGTAAAAAAATGACTTTCTATCGTCAATCATATATTTCTCATTAATGTCACATTGATTCTCTTCATTTCGCTATTTTATCTCTTTTTTTCTTTTCTTTTTTTTTTCTTTTTTTTAAATTAAAAAAATGCTGTCGAAAATGTAGAAAAGAGCACACAGAAAGATGAGAATATTCTTCATTATCTCTTAAGAGTTAACAAATTTATTTGAAAAACTTATTTGAATTTTTATTTTTGTCCTTTTTTTTTAAAGCAAATAGATGAAGAGAAAGATGAAATGTGAAATGTAATGTTTCTAGAAAGATTATAAAGAGGATTAGAATAATTTTTGAATATTAACAAATTCATTTTTCTTTAATGCTCAAATTTGAAAGTAATTTCAATTTGCATGGTAGCAATGAATAATTTTAATTGTAAAAACTTTTTACACTCTTCTTTTTTCCTCTATCATTTCTCCGAAAAGTTTCTTTTTTTTTTTTTTTTTTTTTTAAATGAAATCAGTGATCTAAAATTATTTTTTTTTTTTATTTTTTGTCTTTAAATTATTTTCAAATTTATCCGAGTATTATTTAAAAAAAGAGGATCATCGTACTTTCGAGAATAATTACATCTGAAATGATTAAACATTATCTTTTATTGTTAATTTACAATTCGAATATCATTAATTTTCTTTAGGCATTTTTTTTTTGTATGATTATTATTTACAAAATAATGCTTTTATTTAAGAAAAAAGAATTATCATATGTAAATTTAATTTTAAAGGATATATCATATTGCTAGGACATTTCGAAAACGTTCAAAAGCACATTTGAAATTATCAATCAGTTGAAATGACAAAGGAAGAGAATGATGAATTAATGATGGAAAGTGATGATAAGGATGAAGTGATAAGATCACAGATGATAACATATGCTCGTGGTGGGAAGGAAGACTTCGTGAGCTTAGTTAATGCAAGCAATGAAAGTAATGGTTGGATACGGAAGTACCGTGATTATGACTGCTACCGAAGAATGCTCGGTCCGACAAAGTTGCATGACATTGCTGCGAGAACGAAAAGTAATTTCTTTTTCTTTTTTCTCCTTAGTTAAATATTTTGATAATTTTTAATAAATGAAAGAATAAAATATAGCATAGGAAAGAAGAGAGAGAGAGAGAAAGAAAAAAAGAAGTTGAATTTTTCCTTTTCCATTATTTAAAAAAGAAAATTGTCATATAAATCTGTTTAATGCATTGATGACTTTTTGTTGTAAATTTAATATTAATCTATCTTAATGGAATTATTTTTTTTTTTTTTTTTTTAATTCTTTTTTTAGCTAAATTATGTTGATATAAAATTTTTTGGTAGTTTTTTTCTTTTCTTGTTTTGTCTCAATGTAAGAAAAATGTTGTTCAATGATTTAATATTTATATACTTATTATTTTCTTCGATATTTTTAAATATTAAAATGATCCGAAACAGAAAAAACAAATGTGACTTAATTTGAAATTATTATTAATTTTGGAATAAATTTAAAATTTTAGTTGGTGATTATGTTGGCTCGTGTATATGTTTGGAATTTGATAATTATGCATTTGTATCTTTGTATTACGTACGACCGGAATATCGAAAGAAAGGTGTTGGAGAGGAATTATTTAAGCGTGTTGTTAATGATAATTTACGACGGAAAAATATTGGATTAAATGCTGGTTAGTTTGTTTTTTTGGCTAAATTTTGGAATAGAAAAATTTCTGTAAATAAAAAAAAAAAAAATGAGTAATAAATAATAAAAGCATTTTTTTTTTTTAGTGCAACAAATGTCATCAATATACAGTGACAAACTTGGTTTCAATAAACGAGCATCTTGGATGATTGATATTATTAAAGTGAAAAATATTAATAAACAAAAACTTATTGGTATTTATATAATATAATAAAAACATTTTTATTTTAATTTTTAAAATGAAAATTTTAGACATTTTAAAAGTAAAAACTTTTTGTAATTTTGAAATTGTAATGAATGGAGTTGATATGCTTAACAAACAAATTGATAAAATCAAATGAATGAAATAATAATATGTTTCTTAACTATTATTTCACTAAAAATATCAATGAATTAAAAAAAAGTCTTAATTAATTATAAGTCCTAGCCTAAAATCTTAACTAATTTTAGCATTAAGAAAGAAATGTAAAATGAAATATTGAGTTTAACAAAATTTCACCTACAATTGTAATTTAAGATTTAATTACAGTTGATGATATTCAATTAACCATAAAAGATGGGAAAGAAGTAAGCTTACAGCGAATTATTGATTACGATGCTAAAGTTGCAAAGTGTCAACGAGAAGACTTCATTAGACATTGGGCTGTGGATCGTATTGATGCAGTTTGCAAGGTATAAGGCAGAAGGGAGGAGAAGATTCATATGCCACTGATAATATCTTATCAGTGAAATGATTGGTGCATGTACATAATCGAGTACATTCTTTAGATGTGCTCGATTATGATCTGATTAAAGTAATTCCTGGCGATCAATTATGCATATGACAACAAATTAATTTTTTACACTAATTATTAGTAAAAGCATCTAAAATATTAACATATATTTATGTTTTTTTTTTTTTAATTTTTAAAACTAAACAAATACACATTTATTTTAAATTATTAATTGATTATTAAAAATAAAAATTGGTAAATAGCAATGACATTTAGGTATTGGTAAATTCAAATGATGAAGTTGTTGGCTATGGCTGTGGTCGCTTGTTATCAATTGTTGGCTATCCACAATTTGGACCAATTTATTGTGATTCAAATGATGGCTTCAAGCTTCTCTTTCATATTTTACATTCATGTTTTAATGATGAAATTAATGAGCAAAATGTAATTAGCTTACGTATACCAACGACAAAGACAACCACAGTGCAACAAATTCTTCATAATATTGCTGATTTTGAATTGGTAAAATTTTTTAATGAAATTTTTTTTTTCTTTATAAATTTATAAAGAATGGAAATTGAAAAAAAAAAAAGGAAAAGAAAATTTTGTTTCTTAATTATGTTATAAATTAATTTATAATTTTGCTTTTTTTCACTTTTATCTTACAAATAATGCAATTTATTTTAGAAGGAACAGCTTACTCCACAATTTACTCAACAAATACCAGATCATGATATTGATAAAATTTATTGTGTTAGTGATGTGACAATGTTTATTTAATATTCTCATTTCTTTCTCTCTCTCTCTCTCTTTTTGTTGTGCTTTGTTAGCAGTGTTAATTTCATAGAATATTTTTTTCTTCTTTTTTTTTCTCTCTCAGTTTTAAATTTTACGAAAAAATTAATTAATTTGATAATATTTCATTATCGTTCCTTCTAGTTTTTCCTAGATCTTTCTTACTATTTCTATAATTTTCCTCTGTTCCAATAATCTGAACAACCATCACAACACAGATATACAATAAAGCATAACTTCACTCCTATGATTAAATTTAATCAATTGTTCTCAATTATAATAAAAGATATATTTTGAAATGACTAACAACTAAAAAGGTTAATTAAAGTTAACAATTTGTTTCACAAATCGATAATTTAACAACAATCGATTCTTTCCTAAAAATTCTTTACAATGTGGCATAAATTGTAAAATGAAAGGATTATATCACTTCGCGATGAGTTGCACCAAATTATCACAACGACGAATTAGCATTGCTGTACGTATTAATTTTGATTAAGATTAACATACTATTATTGTTACGATTATTTATCATTAATAATTATTATCACTGCGATATTGGCTATTATTAAGAATAAAAGCTTAGTCCCGCAGTGGGCAGGATTCGAACCTACGCGGGCAGAGCCCATTTGATTTCTAATCAAACTCCTTAACCACTCGGACACCACTGCATACCAATTACGTTTTCAATTTTTTTTTTTTTAAAGAGAAACTAAAATTAAAACTGTGACTCGTTAAACTGACTTGCACCTTATATTGTGTTAAATTCAAATTTCATTTTATTTTCTGTCTGCGTGTGATACATAATAAGTAATTGAATTAAACGTGATGATCACGTAAGTGTCGTACGGCTTCACGTAGCATTAAAAGAAGGCAAGAAAATATATTTACAAAATATAAAATTTAACTGAAAATTGTTATTATTATTACTATTATTATTATATGTATTCGAAATGATAGTGATGAAAAAATATTGTGAAGGGTAGAGAAAAATACAAAGATTAAAGCATTATAAGGATTGAAGAGATTTAGAGAAAATGCTGTTGGAAAATTTAGCGCAAATATAAATTGCATTCAAAAGTATTGGCTACAAATTGAAATTTAGTGGTTTTTTGAGTGGTGGTGTTAGGTTTGTATTGAATGTTTAGTTTCTGTTTTTAGTAGTGTAATAATTGAAGTTTGGAAATGAGATGGAAAAGAAAGACTGAAAAATTTTTATTCATTAATAATTTATGCTACAGGTGAATAGTGAGATAATGAGAATAAATCATCAGTAAATATTATCAGTGTTATCATCGACTAGTAAGCATTGTATCATTATCGTCATTATGATCAGATAGCAATCATATCACGAATGCATCATCTGGTACAATCATCATTAATGCGAAAGAAATCGATGGCTTCATCATTGCCGAAAATTATTCGCCATCGTGAGGTAAGATTTTGCCTTTACTTTTAATCAATTTATTTACTTATTTTATTTTTTTCCTATGATAAATTTATGGAATTAAAATATTTGTGATTGATAGAATAATCAGATGGCGAGGATTTGCTTTGAATCAGTGTGAAATATTAGACTTTTTTTTTTAATTATTGTATTCACTGAACGGATAAGTGTCAAATAAAAGAAAGGAAAAGTTTGATCTTTTCAGTTAGTTTGAAAATTCTATGCAAATTTAAATGTCGTTGTTGTAGTATTTATATTCCAGTTGCATGGAGAAGCAAGACAGCTTAATCGCATGACTTGTCGAGTGCGATTAGATCAGTTAGAATGTCCATATCTAGTCGAAATTTCAGGTGTAAAACGTTTGTTGGATATTACTCGAGAGTAAGTTGCTTCAGCATTTCTTTTTTTTTTTACTTTTGAACATCAACATTTTGCACTAGATCTCAAGAAATGAATTAAAGAATATGAAACTGAATTATGTCTCATTCTTTACTTCTTTTACAAACTTCATTTGGAGTATACTATAGCCATTATTGAATCATTATGAAGTGAATGTTGTTAAAGAGCGCAAAGATCTCTTTTTTATAGTTTGTATTGCATTTTCTAATTGCGTATAACAGATTAATGCAGGATCGTCAGACTATTTAGACGAACTTTTAAAATACATTAAACATTGAAAATATCGGTCTAATGCATTTAAATAAAAAAATTGCATTTTTCTGGACTTAAAAATTTGTGAAGAAATTAGGTGATTAATATGAACAGTCATACACAGCACTCTTTCGAGAGAGTAGCTTCTAATGTTTTTTTTTTTCTTATATTTGACATATCCACAAAGTAATAATTACAATCATAAAATGTAGGTATTTTCGTGGAAGAAAATTAATCGAAATTGAATAAAATATCTCAGATTCTGATTCTCTCAGATCAAGAAAAATATAAAAAACTGTTGATAGAATCATTTTTATTGATATGTCATCGAACAAAGTTAGTTTTTTGATAAAGATGAAATAAGTATAATAATTCTTTAAGTAAATGAACCAAAGTTTCAGATGTATTTTCATAGGTCTTTCGAATGATTCTCGCTATGCAGTTGGCTTGCTCTATTCATTTTCTGACTCACATCATTCAAGTTCAAGTAGATTATTTTTGTTCTTTCAAGATTGTAATCTCAGTTTGTTTTGCTAGCGTAAAACGTGACTACCTCTTCTAATAACTGTAACACTAAATATGGTTTAAAATGTGATATTGCAGTGGGACATGATGAAGACGAAGCAGAGCTCAATGTTATTGTATTTGAATTGTCAGCAACATTGCTTAGACCTGTAAAAATTTTGATATTTTGTTACATTTTTTACACATTTTTTTTGTACATTTATTAATTCTGAAGATTGTTGAAATAAGTTCTGCATTGTCAGTGTATTTGTCTTTAAAATATTTCGTTTTATTTTTTGCAGGCTTTCATTACAATTTTCACAGCCTGGCCGAGTACTGCGAAAGTTTATGCAACATTCCCATACAGCTCTTCACATATCTCAATCGTCGGTTTTGCGTCAGTTTTTTTTTTTTTTTATCTTTTGCAAGGGTTTGAGAATAATACTATGCTTCTGTTATTTATTTCAGAATAGAGAGTGTGGTTTCATTTTCTGAGATGTGTTTAGAAAAGTCAGTGATTCATATTTTCAAAAACCTTGTGATTATTGGTAAATTAGAAACTGTTGAGAGGTTGAAACGCATGCTAAATCCGAGTATTTGATATCTTGGTTCATCTTATTTTTTCAGAACATTAATGGGAAAAAGACGAACTGAAAATTTTATCTTCAAGATTTCAGGAAACAAAACACTGAACCAAGGAACACAACTATGTCAAGGCGAGACTTGGAGCCCTTTTCGGTTATTGCCAAAGTTAAATTTATATTATTTCGTTTCCGTATCACTATCTCTTTGACCACATGCCTTGTAATGTCTTATCGTTGGAATGGCTTGAAATTATCGAAGTATTCTTTAATTCTTTTTTATAGTTACCCATAAGATAGTTTCTTTTTTTGGTGTTATTCTTGTTCTAATTATTTCTTATTATCGTATAAACGAGATAGTTAGAATGTGAGTGATACTGATTTGACTAAGTAGGATTATGTATGCACTTTTTGTTTACTCAGTATTCTTTTACTCGACTTTGACTTATTTTTATGTATTAAACGATGGCATCAGGCAACTCTCTTTTTTATATTATCAGTCGGTTTTGATATATAAGTAATTTATAAAGATCATCCTTAATGAAATTTAGTTAATCATTTCAAAACGACCAATTCACAAATATTTCACCTTGTAATGAGTGCTTTTTCTTTTTTTTTTTTTTTTTTTTTTTTTTTGTTTTTTCTGTCTAGCATTCCATTTTTTGTTTATAGAGCAGTTTTGCGTTCAACGGATCATGGTGGTATACTGAATGGTGGAACTGCATTAATTTCATATCTGTTTACAAAGAATTGTCCTCCTTTGAAAGCGGTTCGTATGTCACGTATGGTATGTTAGAAATCTGTGATTTTTAAAATTAATTTTCTGAGAGAAAAGAATGCAATATACAAAATTACTTTCAAATTGTTAGCTCTGTCGATTGCATTAAGTCAGCTTGTACTTTAAACTATTTTTTTTTTTTTCTGAAAACAGTGAAAAAAATAATTTTCATAAATTTTTTAGACAACATTTGAACATTTGTATAGTACTTTAAAATTGTTAAGTTTCTTATTTGTTGCAGATAGCGCAAGTAATTGACCCAAAAATAATGGATGGTGGTGAAACAGTAATATTTGAGGGATGTAATTCGCAAGATATTAGAGTGGAAGATGCAACTGAACATTGTGGAAACATTGCTCGAAAATACCATTTAAAACGAGTTACTGTTGAAGGTTTATTTATTCTCATTTTCTTTTCATCTAAGTTAATGTGATAATGGTGCCACTGTGTAGTACACACCAAATTCTGCGGTTTCGCTGTAAAATTTTAGGTTGCACTCTTTTTTTTTGCAGAAATCATATCATTAATTTTTAAACTTGCTGAACTTATTCTGGGCTTCATTAATTTTGTAAATAAAATTCAAGTTTATGCATCTAAAGTTTAGATAAGAATCCTTCACCAGCAGGCCTAAGTGAACCGCTTTTCGTTACGGAAACTCTAATGGATATTGAACGTTTGCTGTATGAAATTATGCCTGTGGTTGTTTCTAGGATGTATGGAAATTATAAATATGAAGGTTTAATCGATTATGAGGTATTTTTCTCCTATTTTTTTCTCATCGGAATGTTTTAATTTAAATAATCTTTGTTTGGAATCATTTTTGTGTTAACCATTAGGCATGATGTGGTTAATATTAAAATCTTTTAATTCTTAATCTTTTACTTTTTTCATTATATGCAATAATTTTGGAAGATTTTTATAATGTAACTTTTTTTGATTGACATGATAGTGTTTTTTTCTTTCCCGAACATAATTCTTATCAAATAACTTTTTGAAAACATGTTATGTCTTATATCCACATTGCTTATTACTATTTTACGATGAATTCAGCAACAGAGATATTATCAATAGCTTACAGTTATCGATAGCTTTAATGTTTTTAAAATAGTGAAAGTTTCCTCCTACATTTCAATATTTTATTTATCGTAATTTAATGTTCTATTTATTCTTGAATTATAGTTATTGCTTCCTCTATTTGCGTGAATTATTGTTCTAAATTTTTTCATATTTCAGATAGATCTAATCGATTGTGAACAATATATAGCTAACATTGTGTTAACTGCAGTTATTGAAGCTAAAGGACCTGGTGAAGGGGGTAGAAATTCTGCTTACATTGTTGTACTTTATATCGTGTGGAATACTTTTGAGGGTATCTTTTTTTTTTAGAAAAGTGAAACTATTATGCTTCTGCCTAGGATTAATCTTTATTTGTCCTTTGACAGCTAAGCGAATAGTCCAATTGCTTTTAATTTCTACTGCTGGTATATCAATGCTCTAAAAAAAAACGAAAAAGAAAAAACTTCTTGATCTATTGCTCATCTATAATAACGTAATTATTTATTTATTCTAAAAAATAAACCAGAAGTAAAAACTGTTTTAATAAAATTTAGAAAATATCATTTCAATTCAGGTACGCGTCAGATATCTTCCTTTAGAGGTATGCGTTTGGTTCCCTGGACAATTGCTCATCGTCCTGATCAATGGTACCCGTTTAAAACCATTCTGAAAAAGGAGCTTATACCGGATGAACGAGTTATATCCAACATTCCATTTCTGAATGGTTCCTTTTTTTGTATAATATAAAAAATTGAGGATTTCTTACTACATCAACCTTTTCTTCATGAAAAAAGTTAGCTGATAGATAGAGCAAATTGAATAAACAAAAATTTCCTAGTTTATTAGCTTTTCATGATCTAAATTTTATTGCAAGTTTTACTAAATTATACTTCTAAGTTGATTTTTGCTTACTTCATTTACTTTCAACAATCATGAATAGTACTAATTATTATAGTTTTTAGGTGAAAGTTTGGGTTTTTTGGCATCAGCTTCACCAGGAATTACTGTTTGGAAAGAATTTACTTGCCGATCCAAAATTACTTGATCCAAATTATTTCGAAAGCCTTATTTGGCTTGAAAATCGGAAATATTTAAAATATTCATTGTTCTGTCTTTCAACTAGTTTCTTTGTTTGCAGTTTTTTTTTTTCTATTAATGTTATTATTTTTGTTTACTGTTATAAATAGTCATATTGTTTTCCTCTAACATGAGAAGAGGCAAAATTTCGCTTATTTTATTGCCATTTGTTTTAAAATGATGTTTTATTCTTGTGTTTTGCAGTTATTTTATTTTCATGAAAGTTGTTCATGCAGTTTTAATTCTGATGAAATGGAAGTGCTTTGAAAAACTCATGGAAACATTCCAGGACTATGATTGCTCATCTGAATATAAAGTTTTTTTTTAATTTAAACATTCTGTAATTTTTTACAGACAAAAGTAAAAATTTTAATATGTGTTGTGGTAATATACATAAAAACAATTAATCTATCCATTCTTCTATCCATGATAAATAGAATTTTTGCTTGGAACATTCCAATGAAAATAGTTTCAATTCATTATTTCACTACAAATATTTTACAAATACTCCACTTCTTTACAATTAAAAAATGTTACTATAACTTACAAAAATTTTAATTACTTTCTTGACAACATTATATTAATTTTTTCTTAATGTCAAAATTCTTCATTTTTTCATTTCATTTTATGTCCAAGTACTCTTCTTTTCCTCTAAAATATGCTTTTCATATTTTCATTATGATTATTACTGAATTTTCTTTTATTAGAAAACCTACTGAATAGTAAAATTAATTACATTTAATGAAATGAAAATAATAATTAAGCCTAACAAATATACCATTGCATCCTACTTTATCTGTTAAGAAAAAAAAATATAAAATGTAGCCTAAATAGGAAATGTTAGCATCAATATCTTGCAATATGAGTTATCTGAAGGGATTACAAAAATAAAGAAAATGAAGTTCAAATTTAAAAAGAAATTAGATTATTCCATTGATAGCAAATATTATTTATTTAAAAATAAAATCAGATTAATAGTGCTTTTCTCGAATATCATGATAAATAGCACAAAAATTGCAAATCATTTTACTTTTCCTGAAAAATATTTTAATGAATTTCCTTATTCCATACATTTTTATCTGTTATTATTATTAAAATAACTGCTTTAATAATTTCACTTAACGTAATACTAAAACAGAAATTATAGGTTCCATAATTCAAAATTTTACTTTCATTTTAACTTAATTTTAACTTCTGTATTTTGCATTAATATAGTTCTCTCACTTATAACAATATAATTGTGTATGACTCAGAAGTATTAAATAAATAAAGTAAAAATTCCACTGCGCTAAAAACAAAATTTCAGGAAAAGTAGTTTAAATGACTCTCATAAATCTGTTTTATAAGTCTTTTTCTATTAGCAAATATAATATACAGAAGATATCACTCTGATATCACCCTAATATCACCAACTGTCGCCCTAATATCACTAACTTTCACCCTAATTTTTTTTACAATATTATTTGAATGATCAATTTTAATTGTCATTAATAAAAATTAGGAATTCCACCTAGATAATGACAAAGTATTATATAGTTGGCATCTTATGTTTAATTTTTTGCACTATATATACCTTATATATTCATAATATTTCTAGGTTTTTACCTATATAAGTTGAAACTCACTTATAAAGCGTTTAGGACAGTATAATATACTAATTTGTAGGAGTGAAGAGTAAATACTGTCTACCACGACATATCTTTTGCCTTTTTTTTGCCTAGTAAATTTCCAAAATATTTATGACTAAAGGTTAGTTGCAACAAGAAGCAACTAAGTCACGATTATTAAATATTTAAAACATAAAAAAAAATATTAAAGACTTCTTTACACCCAGGTCTTTTATCCTGTTCTTTTCACATCCTATAACTGAACTATCAATCTCTTTTGTAACTAAAAAACGGCATATTAACTGAACTGTTTGCAATAGACTTTCAGAAATGCTAAGTGATGTCGAATAACGATAGAGCTCTCCGTAAATCACTACCCAATACTGCTTTATCGAATAACGATAGAACTCTCCGTAAATCACTACCCAATACTGCTTTATCGAATAACGATAGAGCTCTCCGTAAATCACTACCCAATACTGCTTTATCGAATAACGATAGAGCTCTCTGTAAATCACTACCCAATACTGCTTTGTCGAATAACGATAGAGCTCTCTGTAAATCACTACCCAATACTGCTTTGTCGAATAACGATAGAGCTCTCTGTAAATCACTACCCAATACTGCTTTGTCGAATAACGATAGAGCTCTCCGTAAATCATACCCAGTACTGCTTCCCTCAGATTAAATATAATATCTTTATCCATAGGCCAGTATATCCATCACACTTTTAGTAGATACTGCACCACCTTTATTACACAGGACTGCTTGATTCATTAAAAATGAAACGTTCCGCATTGAATTGCCAGAGTGGCGCGCAATTAACTCTACTGCTTCCTTTTCAATGAAATAATTTCCTCTCTGTGAGACTTGATTTCTGTAGTTAAATAATGGACTATCAAGGTGATTACGGCTTTCTTTTCAGAACTTATTAAGTTTTGCTTTAGCTACTACAACTGGTATGTCAATAGGTGCTGTGTAAGAATTTCTGAATAGGGTTCCAAAGTATACTACCCATTCAGATTACATAAATATAGCACTTGACTCCAGTAAAAAAAATTCAGACACGACTTATACCCTGAATACAAAGCAAACAGAGTAACTCCTCCTGAGGATTTAATTCCACAGTTCGTAATACTGAGGAAAGCAATAGAAGCTTTTAATCTCAGTTATGAAGAGATTGAAGGCTATGAAGCAGATGGCATAATTGCAACATTAACTGCAAAATATGCCAACCACCAAGATTTAAAAGTGGTAATAATTTCGTCAGATAGAGATTTGTTTCAGCTCTAGAACTACAACAAGTTTTAATATTCGATCCTATCAAAAACATATACATCGATGAAAAACAAGTAACAGAAAAATCTGGTGTAAATTCAAATATTTTTTTTCTCTAACTGAAGGTATCTGACAACATTCCTGGCGTTTCAGAAATAGACCCAAAGACTGCAGCTAATTTGCTGGATACATTTAATTCGTTGAGTAATATCATAGAAAACATCAATAACATCAAGCAAACATCCCAATATCTGTGCTCTGGATAATACTCACTTCAGGATTACTACTTTCTACTGGAAATTTGCCGGCATCATGCTATATATATGCCTGCTATATAAAAAGGTTGATTGTGTATCTACTCATAAGATACTAAAAAGGTTGATTGTGTATCTACTCATAATATACATGATACAAAAACCAATGGCCATTACTTGAAAGATTTTCAATTTATTTTTATTGAACTACCTAAATTGTCTAGGAGTAAAGTAGAGCAATTAATAAATATAGTAGAGCATTGACGCTTCTTTTTTAAGAATGCAGAGGATACCACTGAAACAGATGTAAAAGCTAGCATACGATGGGTTAAATGAGTTCCGTTGGAATGAAGAAGATAAAATAGCGTATGAAGAAAGAGGAATCTAATGAATCTACAGAAAGACAAAGCCATCCTTGAATACAGCTACTAAAAAAGGTAGAGGAGAAGGTGTCAAAACCAGCAAAGAGAGAGGCATCAAATTGGAGCAGAGAAAGGTAAGAGTGAAGAAAGCTAAAATAGTAGTACCGAAAAATTCACTTAAGGCAGGTATGTCTATAAGTCTTCCAACGTTGAAAAGAGAAATAATAAAATCAAAAGAACTAAACCTAGTAGAAAAAATAAAAATAGAACAAATAATTATGAAATCAATAACTTCAGATGCTAGCAAGAATAGTAATGAAAATCATTCTAATGCAGAAACAAATGAATACTACCGGAATTATTTACCACACCAGGAAGAAGTCTAACGCACACATCAACAACTACTATCGCTGCTGGTTCACCTCCTGAAACAGTATGAGGAGTATGCTCACCCATACCCTCAAATCGACCACATGATGTCGTTACATGAGGAAATCCTACCAACAATAAACTTCCCATTATCAGTTATAAGTCCTCTTGTGCGTTTTCACTCCATTCTATCATTTCAGCATTGCGGACTGTCTGTAAATCATTCTGCGCCGACTGATTCAACTTATCCTCTTTTACATTTGCTTTTATTTTCCTCACGAGGTTTAATATCTATCTACATGAATATCTCCCATTTCTTCAGAATGCTTATCACAGATAAGCTCCTCCTTCCTTATTCGGCCAATTCGATTGTGCACAGAATTACAGCTATAGTTGGTGATATATTTGTTCAGTAATGTATGGCAGAGAAGGTGCAAAGCAAATAACCGCAAAGTAGTATTCAACACATATGTCAAACTTTGTTTGCCTCTCTGCTTACTTTATCTCCATATGCACTTGTTGTTTGTTGCTAATTCCAAGTGATTGTCACAAAAGTCTTTCCAAAAAAATCCTTCTACTGCACCCAAAGCTTCACAGTATTCAAATTGTAATAAGTTATTCGTTGCTATAACTTTATATAGTTTAGACAGTATCTATTGATCCATGTCTCAGCTGGATACCTTTCCATGAATTAGAAACAAACTTGCTGGCATTGAAAAGTTTTGTAACGAGGCACTTGCCAATTTTGATATGTTTTCAGAGTTAACTGTATCAACTCCAAGTCTTCAGTCTGCTGTCCAATAACACACTACATCTGCACCGTATGTATCAAGTATCGATTTTGGAGTTATTATATTACCTTTGATTCACTCCTTCCTCTGCACAATCATCATTCAAGCAACCCTCAAAGAAAGTTCCTTTCTCCTTTTCTGGAATATTGAAATAATTTGGAGATATTTCAGAAAAAGACAAAAAATTGCTTATTTTCTCCATATTCAATAAACACAGCTTGCAAAAAAGACTGTACACGTTTTGCACAAGCAATATTCAGCTGGGTAGAGCGTTGCCCTTCAGAGGTAGGAGATGTCGGCAAGGGTGCAGCAGGAGAGTCATCGATGGAGGAGCGTGTGGCAGGGATGGGTAATGGCACTGCAACAGGCGCAGCGCTCGGTAATTGCAAGAGCAGCAAGAGAGGCAAGAGCTGGAGCGTCAAAGAGTGATGCAAGCTCACTTAGCTTATTCTGGGCAAAACATGCACAATTGCGCACTTTCTTCCCAAGTGACGTCATGACAATAAATAGGTAGCATTGGTATTATTGATTACAGTAGCCCAGAGGTATCAGTAATAGTGCTGAGCTGAGTTGAGCTAGATGACATCTTGAACACTTGTATTCTCAAAGAATCAGTAATATTACCATATAAGCAAATCAGTAATATTACCATATAAGTCACATCTATTCTTGCAGTAACTTTCTCATTGCCAATCCCAATGAAATACAATCTAATAAATGCACTGAGAGAAATGGCTAAAACTATGAATATAGTAACTAATAGCTTAGCGGTGAAGTTGTGCTCAAGCCTCTGCCAACAAGGAGAATAGTTAAAGCTGAAGATGATGAAATAATGCAGATTAGGTTTTATGTAATGAAATAATTGCCTGGTATTAGATCGCATCTTATTTTGAAGTTTCTAAAGTTAAGTTATGGATTTTGACTTCAGGAGAAAGAGGAAAGGTATAGTATAAAGGAACTAGTCTATAGCGTGTCTTTTAAAAGAAATACGCTCACGAAGATTTAATATGATAGTCTGATTTCTACTAAGGAAAGCATTATGCCAAATGCAATGCTCGAAAAAAGAGGAGCCGCCGTAGCTAAGCAGTGGCAAAGTTATGCTAAGTGGTTAGAAGAGTGTCCAACGTTACCCCTATGTTTATTGTAAATTGTGTAATAAAGTGAATTGAGATATCCAAAGTTAGCAGCAGATTAAAGGCAAAAGAACTCCATATAGAAGTTGTCGTGAAAGACGAAATATTTAAATTATTATATCCAAAACTAACAAATTCCTCTTATCTATTCCTTTTCCTCACACAACAAAAACCCTTTGTTAGCAAACCATTTGTTAGCAAAACCCTTTATTAGCAGTCTTTGTTTCACATCAGTTAAATATCCTCTGCCGGATATCTGGTCAGCTCAGTTCTGCATATAAACCATCGTCCTCCATACGGTGGTCCTTTCTGCATTTTGGGGTGGTTTTGATATCATTTTAATGTTTTATAATTATATCTTTCGTTACGCGTTTGTTAATCGGTGTAGCATCCGTACGACATGTATAAAGCGCTATTATTTGCTTCATGATAAATAAAGGTTTAATTACCCAAATTTGAGGTTTCACGACAAAAAATAATTTTGGTGCCCGAGGTGAGGTATGTCGGCCAGTAGAATTGCTCAAGCCCCAGCTACCCAAATGGGCTATAAAGCTGAACTGGTTCGAAGAATTGGAGAGGTTTTCAAAATGGAACCATTTAATCTGGATTCTACTGCAGGAGTGATGAACGTACCACATTGGATTCAAGATCATGATTACTGTGTTCTGGTATCGGCTATTGATATGTTTTTCAGAAAATTCCCAAACCACAAATTCGAAAAATATCGAGCATGTACGTTAGGTACATTCTTAAAAGATTGTGTAGTCATAACATCCCTGAACCAGGCAGCACAGTGTCTTTCCATTGAACCAGGTGTCTTGCTCCAATATGTATTCAGCAAAGATATCGCTGATGATGTCAGACGGCTTATCGGAGGGGGGCCGCATGAAGAGAAGAATGTTGATCACTCATACTTCCAATATATGAGGGAAATGAATCTAATACCTCGATCTCCATATTCGGCATCGATCAATCCCAACCTTTTTACTTGGTGTCAATTCATTGGGGTTCTAATGGGAAAGAGACGATCAGTCTACGCAAGATTATTAGACTGTTTCAGCCCATCCATGCTTCTCGTTTATGCTTCATACGTCGTTTATTACATCTCCGGAGCACCAGACGTTAATCTGATTTTTGCAGACTCAGTTCAGAAAATGGAAACTCTCCAGAGAAAAACTCGTGAGACACTGGGAAAGTACCCTTAAAACTCTCAATGTTTTTTGGGAAATCTGGAGAACCGAATATTTAACTAGCCTCAGAGAACGCACGCAAAGGGAAATTACCTCATCCAAAGGAGCACAAAAAAGAACTCCAAGAAACGGAGAGATTGTACTCTTAAATGAATCGGGAATTCCAAGAGGAATGTGGAAATTATTACGGATCAAGGACATCAAAATCGATAAAGACGGTAAAGTTAGGAACGTTCAGGTGGAAACTCCCACTGGGAAACTTCTCGATCGTCCAATAAATGTCTTATATCCTCTCGAAGTTAATGATGAAGAAATTCATCTTGAACCTAATAAGAAAGAAAATATGAAAATTCCGGAAACCGAACAGAACACTGAGGAGCTCCAGGAACCTATTACGATGCGAACTAGGAGCAATACAAAACGACAATCTCGATTAAAGGAGGACCAAACAACTATCACCGCACCATCATCAGAAACCTGTAGAGATTTACACGATCAAAAACAGATCAATGGAAGTAAACAACCCCCACTTTCTTATGAACCCCACGCATTACCCACCTTTTCTGGTCGGGAGTGTCGTGAAAGACGAAATATTTAAATTATTATATCCAAAACTAACAAATTCCTCTTATCTATTCCTTTTCCTCACACAACAAAAACCCTTTGTTAGCAAAACCCTTTATTGGCAGTCTTTGTTTCACATCAGTTAAATATCCTCCGCCGGATATCTGGTCAGCTCAGTTCTGCATATAAACCATCGTCCTCCATACGGTGGTCCATTCTGCATTTTGGGGTGGTTTTGATATCATTTTAATGTTTTATAATTATATCTTTCGTTACGCGTTTGTTAATCGATGTAGCATCCGTACGACATGTATAAAGCGCTATTATTTGCTTCATGTTAAATAAAGATTTAATTACCCAAGTTTGAGGTTTCACGACAGAAGTTGTTCACTCTCTAATCCTTTAAATTGCCGTACTGTCTTAAACGTTTTATAGGTGCGTTTCGATTTTTAGAGGTAAAAACCTGAAATTTAGGTAAGATTTATAAAGGCATGAGGTGTAAATAGTGCAAAAGTTAAAAAATACGAAGCCATCCCTGTTATACGCTTAATCTGTACAGATTGAGAATAAATAAACATCTTCAATTCATGATAAAGGGTTGGCAAGGTTTATCAAGTTGTACAGCTTTTGGTTGTAACACAGCTTGATATTATACATTAAGGTAGCAAAGCATCAGAAGAAATACTGTTTTTATATTGTTCAAGAGAGGACAGTAGAAAATTGGCATCTGTTGGGGGGCAATTTTGTAAGAGAGTTCCTAAGATTTATAGAGCTATAAAATGGTAATGTAAGGCTATACTTTTTTCGAAATTTCGATGAATTATATTTTGCATCTACAGTTTAAATGTTATAAGGAAGCTTAAAATTATAAGTTAAAAAATATAGTTGAATATTTGCAAAAAATAGTGTATTACTATTAAGTTAATTTCTTATGGCTTTTTCTAAATTCCTTACCAAAACTGGACCTGACTTTCAAGAAGATCTTTGGCACGAAATAAGTAAGAATATTCTTACCCATTTTTGAGCGATGTTTTAGGGTATACTGAAGTTAATACTATGCAAAAAATAGAATTCATCAGCGTCATTATAAATTCTGAATTTGCTTCTGAGAAACAAAGCATGGTTGATGTTCTCTCAACGATTCTGTTGGTAATAAGTTTATGGTTGAAATGGAGCTCACTCGTGACAAGGACTTTGAAAAACGTGCTCAATATTACATTGCCAAAGCTTCTCAAGGCTATCTGGTGGATTTACAAAAGATTTTCTTTATTACAATATCAAACTGCACTTTATTTCCCGATGAGTGAGTCAATTATATATCCAGCCATACCATAAGAGACGATGAAACTAGTAAGCATGATTTACAAGATTTTCAATTCGTGTTCATTGAACTATCTAAATTTCCTAAAGGTAAAGTAGACTAATTAACAAGCATAGTAGAACGCTGGTGTTTCTATGCAGAAGAAATAACAGATAAAAACTTAAAAAAGATAGCAGGAGAAGTATTAATCATAAATTAAGCATATGATGAGTTAAACAAGTTTCACTGGGATGAAAAGTACCTAACAGCGTATGAAGAAAGAATAATGAATCTGTACAGAGAGGAAGCTATCCTTGAACAGAAACTTGCAAGGTATGGAAGAAGGAAAAATTGAAGTGGCAAAGACAAAGGCTGGCTGATAGTGTTGACACCAATACTATTGTCAAGTTTACTGGTCTTTCCATCAGTGAAAGTGAAAAGATTGCAGGATTAGAAGACGCTCATCAGTTAACCCAACGCGGGAAGCGAGCAGAATGACAGAATGCTATCAAGTGTACGGTTAATTGGTAGAGTCCCTCAGTTTCTCAAAAAAATTTTTTTGAGAAAAAAACAAAAAAGCGCACTCAGTTTCTGATACCCCGTCATAAACTTCAGGTATGTGGTTGCAAAACTGAAATATTTTAGCACCATTTTCAATTTCTCCACCTTTTGAATTATAGGCTCTAGAGTACAATCGTCTAACCCTTAAAGGAAATAGCTTGAGCACACATCGGACATGTCTCTAATGTTACGTGCGCACATGTGTCTAACAAAAAAAAATTGTTGTGGATGAAAGAAGAATAAATCGCCGACAAAGCGATGCAAAAATCAACGGGGCGAGAAAAGAAAAAACAAATAAAAAACCGTGAAAAGAAGAGCGTCATTGGAAATAGCTATCAATTATTATTATGTGTACAAACAGTACAATAGTGACGCAGAAAGAAATCAGCACTTTTAAAACACCACAAGTTTTCTGATAACTCAAAGCCAAATTCTTCTAAACGGCTGGATTAATGGCGAATTGTCTGTGGGAAACCAGCACTTGGTGCACCGTAACCACGACTGCATAGCCAGCACGGCGTCCAAAGCCACGCGCACGACCACGTAGGATTCCAAGACGACGTGCTGGGTCAATACGGCGCCAGACGTACTTCCTCAACTCATTGAAACGCTTTTCTATTTCCTGCTCTTCATATGGGCCATGTGCGCACATGTCAGTCAGCATTACAGTGTACTGATGATTCACATACAATTTGCATCCTGTCTCATCACTAATATCTCTCTGTGCATGTGCAGTTGGATTGTTGGATATATTATGTGCGAAAGAAATGATGGTATTGTCTCTACTAACTAGCAGTACTCCTGGGGGAATCTCATCAAGCTTAGCTTACTCAACGGCAAACTCATATATTGACACTTAAACACTTTCCTTTGTTTTCTGCTTCTGTTTTCTTAACTTTATTAACTACTACCTTAACGAATGATACAAAGAGAGGATGAGGCTTAGATTGATTGGAACTCTGGCTGAAATTGAACACCGATAAACCTTCTAACTCCACTGCTTCACGTCACTATAAAAAAAACTACTATAAAGAAATAACCCTCCTTGTTTATACTAAAACACATAATCTTATTGACAATAATCTGTTATTAACAACTTATCATCTATCACTTCATGAATCTCATCTTATAGTACAATTTTTGTTGATAAGAGGCTCTGAATATTGCACTACTGACAATATGAATATTGAAAGAAAGCATGCCCCAATGATAAAGGAGAGTGCAAGGCATTCTTTGCAATTGAATCACACTTATGAAGAAATAAATGCCTTCCCAGAATGCTGAAACACAATTTGCATATAATAAACGCATTTGTAAGAAAAGAGATAGTTTTCGAGATAATGTTACTCTAGCATAAAAGAGTTTAGAGAAAGTTGATCGATTTATCTGTCACATGTATATGTCCCGGTGAATCTGAATGCAAAAAAAAGAAATTAAAAGGAACAAAATGGTGAACATTTTTATGAGGAATTCACGTAAAGATACCTAAGGACGGTTCAGGAGACATTGCAAAAGCTTTTGCAGCTGGTGCTGATTCTGTAATGATCGATTCAATTTTTACTGATACTGATGAAAGTACAGGTGTGATTATCATGCATAAAGGTTGAGCATATAAAGATTATCGAAGGGAATGGGGTCTATAGTGTAATGAAACAAGGTTATGCTAGCCGCTGTTTCAAGATAAAGACTCAAAACTCAAATTAGTTCTACAAGAAGTGAAAGGAAGTGTGCCATTTAAAGGTCCAGCTTCAAGAGTAATCCATCAATTAATTGGCGGGTTGCAAGATGCAATGGGGTATACCGGTAATAGAAATATAGAAGAGATGAAAAAATGTACAGGTTTATGACTGCATCAGGATTGAGAGCTATCCCGTGATATAATGATCACACAGGAAGTTACAAATTATGCTTATCAAGTGTTTAATTTGTCAATTGATTCAGACATTAATTGTTAGTTGTCAACTAGTACGATAAAAGTAAACAGAGTAAAACAGGAGTTTTTGTACTAGTGCAAAAACCCTTATTGTGGTTAATGCATTATTTCTTAGTTTATGAAGTTGTAATGCGTGTTTGTTGTAATGTATGTAGTTTACATTATATCTGTGCTTACTGTACAACCTGCCACATCTATCGCATCATTATCAATTACTCCAACACTATCTTCTATAGGTTAATCATGGCCATTGAAGATATTCGGTACAGCAGCTATCTCTTCTGCTTCATTAGAAGAGCATTTTGCATGAGCTAAAATAGCTTTTGCAAAGTAAAGTGATTCCACTTCTTCAACTGCAATTGAATTTACAAATTCGGGAGTTCTTTTAAACATTTGTCCTTTATGTAAATTTTGTTATGAAGTAAACTCCTTAGATTTTAATAGTAGGCAATCATGCTAATGTCTAATATTAACTTTATATTAATAAAGACCTAAAATTATTTAAAAAAAAAAATTCTGATGAAATCACGACACAAATTAATATGCAAGCAAATACAGATCCAAATATTACAGCGTTAAGGTTACACATTGCATAACTAATTTGGGGTAGATGGAAAAACTACCAGAATATAAGATCATTAATATATCATAATATAAAATGAGTATACTAACTATATATATGCTATAAAACAGCAGTTAGCATAGGGAAATTTATATTTGACCCCATTATTAATAAGATCTTTATTATTATATGAGATGGGTGGAGTAGCATTTATAAATTTATATTGTGTTACGTATAGCTCAGGTTACATGCTGGAATGATACCAATATGTAACCTCAACGGTGTAATACTTGGATCTATACTTGCCTGTAAATTAATTTGCACCGTGATTTTATTAGAATTTTCTGTTGCCTATGCTAACGAAAATTTTGACATACAAAAAGCCTTTAATAGCGTTGCTAAGTATATAAAAGCCGACAAAAAATGTAATGGCTTTGACGTTATTGAAAAAAAGAGTGACAAATTCAATACTAAAATTTTACAGAGCTTTAGTATGCACTCTATCTTAGAAAAGGTAAAGGATTCCTTTGAGACGGAAGATAGTGAAAACAAGTCTCTACAAGATTGCTTAACATAAAAATGCTTTAATTGGGCTAGGAGATAATTATTATGCTAATAAAGAATATAAAAGAATTTAGGTCTAAAACTTTTAAAAGAATATTCTGGTAACTCTTATATATTAGAAAACTTTCAAACAAAAAATTCACAGTACAATCCTGATCTAGTGTTAAGTGGAATATTGAAATTTCATGATGTATAAAAAAATATGCTCCTTTGTTTTTTAGCAAAGTTAGGTCTGCTCTATATGAAAAAGGAAAACTATAAAAGTGCCAAGGGATACATGGTAACTGTAATTTCCCATGATCAAAATGATATTTCTTATATCTATAATCTATCTGTTGTTCTAGATAAATTATCAGATTTCAAAATTGCTGCAACATTCTACCTAAGGCTGCAAATTTGAAGAATGTGAGTAAAAAAATACCCATATGCAAAGTGGAAGCAAGACTAAAATTTATAAAACTTAACAGTACACACTAGACGATTTTATAAAAGTCAACCTCTGTAAGATAACATATTTCTAAGAATATAGGCAGTGAGACATAACCAGTGGGAATCAAAAGCAAACTATTAATTCAAGCTACCAAATACAACAGTAAAGAAATTTTAAAAGCTACTCTAGGCCTCTTCAATGCATTAGAATAAACTCTTTTAATCTGCTAAGAGAAAGGAATCCATTAATAATAAAAAGGATATCAGCACTTAAACGATACACTTGCGTTGCTATAGAAAATCTCAAACAACATAATAGAATTATTTATCAGTTCAGATGCTAATGTTAACACATTAGACAAAGATAACAAGAATGCTATAACGCACACTGTGAGAAACACTAGCTGTCTTAAAGTTTATAGTTGGACCTATCAAAGAACTTACCAAAGGGAATAATCTCTCATCCTATAGTACAATTTTTGTTGATAAGAAGCTCTGAATATTGCAATACTGACTATATGAATATTGAAAGAAAGCATGCCCCATTGATAAAGGAGAGTGCAAGGCATTCTTTGCAATTGGATCACACTTATGAAGAAATGCCTTCCCAGAATGCTGAAACACAATTTGCATATAATAAACACATTTATAAGAAAAGAGATGGTTTTTGAGATAATGTTACTCTAGCATAAATGAGCTTAGAGAAAGTCAGTCGATTTATCTGTCACATGTATATGTCCCGGTGAATCTGGATGCAAAAAAAAAGAAATTAAAAGGAACAAAATGGTGAACATTTTTATGAGGAATTCTATCATTATGGGAGACAGTAATTCACTTGACAGTAATTATTCTAGCACAGGAGAATAAAAAACACAGGATAATTCAATTAATTTGTCATAACAATATGCTGAACTAGGTTTTGCTGGAGAACAAGAAACAAAAGAACGAAATAGTAAGCGCATTTACATTGAAATTTCTAATATTAGGAAATGTAAAAATCCGCTCTACACCAGCACAGAATAGTGTAAAGCACAGAAAAAGTTACTAAAATAAGATCACAAAGACAGGCAATATTTATAAACGATAATTCTGGAATTTACCATGGGCTAGTGCAAGATAGAACAAGCCAGTGGGAGAAAAAATAAACGAATATGAATCCTTGGAAGCTAACACAGTGATAAATTTAAATATCAAATTTTATGAAAATTGTACAATTTTTAAAAGTTTCTGTATATTAAACTATGAAATAAATCCCGTCATATTTCATTTTAATTAAATGTTCAAGTATCGAAAAATATCAATTCATTAAAAAAAATTGATATTCTGAACTTAAGTGATTAATTTTTATGCATTGCATAGGTGCTGCTCATTTACCGTTAGTCATTTGATCAGCATAATAATAAAATAATCATTAAAAATTAGGTTTTAATCAATATTTCATTACCAAAATTAATTAAATTCTTTATTTGTCACGGTATTTCATTCTTATAATTAAAATTAATTTTTATTTCAAACTTAAATATCAAATTTTATGAAAATTCAATAATTTATTGCAGTTTTGTATATTAAAGTGTAAAATAAATTCTAGCAATGTCAAAAATTAATTTAAATTAAAAATTAAAATAATGACAAATATCAATTCAATAAAAAATAGGTATTTTGAACTTAATTGATTAATTTATAAGCGTTGCATAGGTACTGGTATTTACGGTTGGTCATTTGAACAGCACAAATAATTAAACAAACTTTAATAATTAAGTTTTGAGTAAAATTTCAGTTGTAAAAATAATAAAATTTTTAGTTAGTCATAGATTTAATTCATTCTTGCAATTAAAATTAACTTTTATTTCAAATTCAAATATTGATTTTTATGAAAATCGTATAATTTTTAAAAGTTTTTGTATATTGAATTGCCAAAAAATAGGAGTTATCAAATAAACAAAAAATCGTAGTGTCAATTTTCAATTTAATTGAATGTTAAAAAATTAAAAAATATCACATCATTAAAAAAATAGATATTTTGAACTTAATTAATTTATAAGCGTTGAATAGTACTGGTCACATACATTGGTCATTTGACATTTTAAAAAATAAAAAATGCTTAGGTTTAGGTTTAGGGTATACTTAGGCTTAGGCTTAAGCTTTATTTCAAATCTAAACATTGATTTTGGTGAAAATTTTATAATTTGCAAGAGTTTTTTTTTATTAAACGGGAAAATAATTTCTAGTTTTATCAATTTTGATTTTAATTAAATGTTAAAACTATTAAAAAATGTCAATTCATTTAAAAAAATTAGTTATTTTGAACTCAATTGATTAATTCGATGCATTGCATACGTACCGGTCGCTTACGGTGTGGTCAATTGACAACATAAATAAGAAAATAAACTTTAATAACTAAGTTTTTTTTAATATTAGAGAAGTGAAATCAATTAAATTCAAATTGAAAATTAAAATTTTGTGATTAAGTTTTGCTTAAAAATTCATCAGCAAAATTAATAAAACTTTCAATTTTCTAATTCAATTTAAGAATTAAAGTTTAATTTATTTTAAATTTAAATTTTGAATTTTTAAAAAATTTTTAAATTTGTAATAGTTTCCTTCCATTAAACAAGAAAATTGGTTCTAAATTATCATTTTTTATTTTAATTAAGTGCCAAAACTGCTAAAAATAGCAATATTTTGAAGTTAATTCATTATGTTATATGCATTGCAGCAGAGCAAGTATGGTGTGGTCATTTTATAGTTTAAATATTAAAATGCGCTTTTGTAATTAAGTTTCGCGCAAAAATTCATCAGCAAAATTAATAAAACTTTCAATTAATAATGGTTCTAATTCAATTTAAAAATTAAAATTTAATTTATTTTAAATTTAAATTTTGAATTTTTTAAATATTTTTAAATTTGCCATAGGTTTCGCACATTTAACAAGGAAATTGGTTCTAAATTATCAATTTTAATTTTAATTAAGTGCTAAATCTACTATAAATAGCAATATTTTGAACTTAATTGTTTATGTTATACTTATTAAATTCTTACAGTTACAATTATTTTTTGTTTTAAATTTAAAATTCAATTTCTATTAAAATTCATTAATTTATAAGAATTATAAAATAAATTCTGGTAATATCAAAAACTAATTTTAATTAAATTTAAAATATTAAAAAATCTCAAATCATCAAAAAAATAGATATTTTGTAGTTAATTGATTGAATTTTATGCGTTGCATAAGTACTGGTCACACACATCGTGGTCATTTGACCAGCAATAATAATAAAATAAACCTTATTTCATTGACAAAATTAATTTAATTTTTAATTTTTCACGATTCCTATTCATTCTTACAATTAAAATAAATTTATATTTCAAATTTAAATAACTCATTTATAAAATTCCCATAATTTGTACTGGTATTTGCATATTAAACTAGGTAAAAGTCTTATTATGATCAAAATTTAATTTTAAAGGATGTTAAAACTATTAAAAATTACCATTTAATAAAAAAAAATTGATTATTATATACGCATAGTGCGGGAACAATGTGGTCATTTGACATCTTAAATAACAAAATAATGCTTAGGCTTAGGCTTAAGCTTTATTTCAAATCTAAACATTGATTTTGGTGAAAATTTTATAATTTGCAAGAGTTTTTGTATATTAAACGAGAAAATAATTTCTAGTTTTATCAATTATGATTTTAATTAAATGTTAAAACTATTAAAAAATGTCAATTCATTAAAAAAAATTAGTTATTTTGAACTCAATTGATTAATTCGATGCATTGCATACGTACCGGTCGCTTACGGTGTGGTCAATTGACAACATAAATAAGAAAATAAATTTCAATAACTAAGCTTTTTTTTAATATTTGAGAAGCAAAATTAATAAGATTTATAATTTGTTGTAGATTTAATTCATTTCTGCAACTAGAATTAATTTTTGTTTGAAGTCATAAGATAGAATTTTATGAAAGTTTTATGATTTGCAATGAATCAAAACCTTTTTTGTACATTAGACTTTTTTCTATAATTTCTAGTAATATCAAATTTTACTTTAATTAAATGTTAAAACTGTTAAAAAATATATATTCATTAAAAAAAGTTAGATATTTTGAGCCTAATTGATTAATTTATATACATTGCATGGGTACTGGTCATTTACAGTTGGTCAATTGATCAGCATGAATAATAAAATAAACTTTAATAATTAAGTTTTAATCAATGTTTGATAGGCAAAATTAAATAAATTTTTAATTTGTAACGGTTTTAATTCTTTCTTACAATTATAATTAATTTTTTTTTTTCAAATATAAAATTTAAATTTTATGAAAAAGCAATAATTTATTAGAATTTTGCATGTTAAACTAAAAAATAAATTGTAATAATACCAAAAATTTATTTTTATTAAATGATAAAATATTGAAAAATTTCAATTCCTTAAAACAAACAGATGTTTTGAACTTAATTGATTAAACTATATGCATTGCATGGATACTGGTCACATACATTGTGGTCATTTGACAAGCATAAATAATAAAATAAACTTTAAAAATTAAGTTTTAATCAATTTTTTATTAGCAAAATTAATTAAATTTTTAATTAATGACGGTTTTAAATCATTCTTACAATTAGAATTAATTTTTAATTCTAATTTAAGTATCAAAATTTAGGAAATTTGTACAATTTTTAAAAGCTTTTGCATATTAAAATGCGGAATGAATCCATGTATTGTCAAAATTTATGTGCAGTGCACACAAATTAATCAATTAAGTTCAAAATATCTCTTTTTTTTTTTAATGAATTGATATTTCTCAATATTTTATCATTTAATTAAAGTAAATTTTTGGCAATATTAGAATTTATTTCATAGTTTGACATGCAAAATTCTAATAAATTATTATTTTTTCATAAAATTTAAATTTTAAATTTGAAATAAAAATTAATTAAAATTGTAAGAATGAAT